GTGCAAATCACTCCAACAACTATGGTTTATGATACTTATTCCTATAGTTAATAGGCTTTGTAAACCACTTTATAACTAGGGGGCCCCGCATTGTGTGGAGGTTTCTTAAAATGAAGCATGCTCAAGTCACCATGGGTTTCAATACAACAATGGTGTAATGATTGTGGTGATTTGGGGCTACTCTAGGGTAAACTATCTGTAAAGTCCTGGCCACATCCGCAGGGTGCAGGGCATGACCCACCTATCATTGGGGGTTTCAAGGGGAAATCTCCAAAATGGATGCTGTATAATGGAAAATCTTATTAAAATGAATGATTTTGGGGTGTACCCTTGGTGGAAGTGAAGGATAAGCTGTGGCGCTTGAAAATGAAATGGGACTCTAATCAGGATTCGTGCGAGCACATCATTTCGTGTTGGCCCCCGTGAATGGGAATTATACGCGCACTATCAGGTGCGTAGCGAGGCTACACCTGGCAGTAACCAGTACGCGGGTCCACGCCCAAATGGATCCAAATGATACGTTTTAATCGGAAAAATGATGATTAACCAGACAGTATACAGGGGTACCCAATGGGTACCCTCTTTTTAAACCGCATCAAGTTTGGTGGTTAACAGCCATTGAATTTTTGATGATTTATTGTTTTAGTAGTTGTGTGGGTATGTCTCAAGACTAAGCACCGCAAAACCCTACGATTTCATCGTCATCTGGTTGGTGGTTTCAAACATTCTTATTTTCCATAATATATGGGATAATACTTCCCATTGACTTTCATATTTTTCAAGATGGCTAAAACCACCAACCAGTCATGTTCCATGAAAATTTGCCATAAAGACGGGGCCCAAGGCAGACATTCAGGCCCCTCTTGGCTTGACCGCTTGACTCTCCAAAGTGGCAGTGCTTCGTTCCGTTGGTGGAAAAATGGCTGAACTCATAGAGTTTTTATGGATTAACCGTAGTTCACCAATGTTTCCACCAACTTAGTTATATAACTATAGATATTGGTTGCTGGTTTGGAACATGAATTTTATTTTTCCCATCATATTGGGAATGTCATCATCCCAACAGACTTTCATATTTTTCAGAGGGGTGGCCCAACCACCAAACAGGATATATCCCTCATAAACCACCTTTAATGATGTATAGAGATATCTATAGTTCATGGCGTTTATAAACCAACTTAGTTGATGGTGATTAAGTAATGTCAACCCTGGGTTAATAAACCCCAAACGGCTGTTTAATTGGGAGGGTACCATAAAAAGTATATTGGAGGAGTACCCCCCTAACTAATAAACCATGGTTTAGTCTCATCCGGGGTTGACATTACAACATACTATAACTAGAGTTGGGTGGGCTTTACTAACTTGTATAACGTCCAGGGCACAGGGTCACGTCCAGGGAACTAGTGAAAAGCCGGATTCAGCGTGGCGCGAGCCCAAACGTGAAGCCCACTTGAGCCGTGAACAAAATATCTTGGTTGATTGGTTATGAAATAGGGAGTTGGACTAACTAGCTCATTGGGAATTATGAACTGTCCCATATTTGGGAAACCTGTCAACCAACTAGTCTTTCGATAGGACAACGGAGTATGTTGAATGACGAACACTTGGTGGCTTTTATCCCATGAAGTATTAGCAACCCCGGGTCGTTGATAGAAACGTTGGACACCTGGAAAAAAATAGGGCGAACATCATCAAAAACGGCATCCTTTTGGGGATCTTTGTAGGTTATAACTTCAACTTCAAGCAGGATTAAAATCTATAAATACCCCCCTATAACTGGCCTTTTAACCGACTTACTAACTGGTTGTTTTTGTCAATTTTGTGTTGTACACTAGCAACTGAACAGTTGCTGCCAAAGCTCTGTTGATGGTTTCATGGGGGTTTTACTACCAATATGCTTGGGACTATCATAATCCGTTATGGAATGCCAGGATTTTGAACATTGCTCATGTAAGTATTTAAAAGAAATCCTAGGCCTTCCATTTTACCCATACTAACTGGTATTTTACCCCATGATCTTAGTATGTCTACGAATTTTGATGCTACTTTGAGGGTTGTATAACTCATCGTTGCACCAAGGTGACTCAGGGCCGGCGCTTGGGTTCACTCGTCTTCCTTCGATGTCTCAACGACGTGGAGTCCCTTGGGGTGAACAAAGCGTCGGTCGCGGTCGCATTTTACTTGGGAGACTCGCCCCAAATGACCTCCATCTCAGGTTGGTGAATTGCAATTCTGGTTGGTGGTTTGGAACATTTTTTATTGTTCCATATATTGGGAATAATCATCCCAACGGACTAATATTCTTCAGAGGGGTTCAAACCACCAACCAGAATTAATTTATTCAGAGTGTCGAATATCTACAGGTTTCCACACATGGAGGATCCCCAAAAAGGTTGGTTTATAATGGAAAACCCTTTTAAAGTGGATGATGGGGTACCCCTATCGTATATATATATATATGTATATATATGTTTTTTTTTTATTATTTACATATCAGGTGAAACTAAACCAACAAATATACCTGGAGGGGCAGCACCTTGCAATAAGATATACTAGCCAGCCAGCTAAAACAAAAAAAACAGTGTATCTTAGATTGGCGATGAAACTGGGGTATTCCCGTACTCCCTCGAAGAATCAGGGTATACTGACGGACCAAAATGCTGATTCAATGGCAATGGTCCAAGTAACCAAAGAGATAAGGTTTATATTGGAATATCACCTACAAAAGTGGAGATTGACATAGACTGAACCTGCTGGAAAATTTCCCCCTGCTATCCCCCATGAATGGAAGGTTCATGCGAACATCATCTATACAAGGTGCTGCCCCCGGTCGATAGCTAAGTTGGTGGACATAAGTCCAATAACTATGGTTTTTGGTTTTTAGACTATTTGTTTATAAACCAACCTATAGTTACTATAGTTACTATATAAATAATAACTAAGTTTTGGTTGGTTTACCCCCCAGTTTTGGTTGGTTTATATCTATAGTGACTATGGTTTATAAACAAACCTATAATTTGGGGCGCACCACCGAACGTAAATGAGGGATTTTCAAGCGCCATGTTTGATCACCGGTGATTATCGGAGGGTACCTCCAATATACCCTCCAGAAAACTGACATAGCAATTGAAAAACTTCATGTTTCATAGGTAAATCGTCGAAATGAATTGGCAAAAGGGTAGTCATGATTTGCTTCGTTGGTTTTGTTGACTAGAATAACATAGAATAGCTATGGTTTATACAGGGTATGACCAATATAACCGAGAGCCTTTGAAGTTAAAGCTACTGTGATATCTAGTCACAACTCATTTTAAGAAACCCATGAACCAATTAATAAAATTGTTTTGGCCTTTAGTGAATACCCATTCGGCCACCTCCAATTCCAAGTATTGTCTCAAGAAAAACCCTTGATTCCAATCTGTATGCACAATAGGTAGTGAATATATTACCATAGTTCTTCAGGTTGTTTATATGTTGTTTATATCTGGGAATTTATTCACTACCAATAGGTAGACCAGTAATTCTTGAATTTTGCACGATATATTCCCATCAGTCATCCCATATACCTGGGTCATCCCCCTTGGCAACTGCTTAATGACCTGGGTGTGAGTTAAAGTCCTTGATTCGTACGTGATCCCACTAAGTGAAAGAACTAGCCATGCTTACTAACCAGTTACATAGTTAAATGCCATGAAAAATGATATGGAATCACCATTTACAAGGTGCTGCCCCCGGGCGGTAGCGTTCAGTTGGGGGCCACATAACTCCAATATCACTATGGTTTTTGTTGGTGATATATCGAACTTTTTTTTATGGGATTATCAACTACCATTCACATATCTTGGGGGGCACCACCTTGTAAGTCCCACATCATCATTTCTCATGGTTACTACCCTCTGGTAATTTAACATAGCTATTGAAAATGACCATTTATAGTAGAATTACCCATCAAAAATAATGATTTTCCATAGTTATGTTAGTTTACCATAGGGTATTTGTTGTATGACCAATGACTTTAGGTCCTCTTCGTTGTGTTTCCTCCATGGAACCCCGTTCGGCCCGCTCCGAGGTGGGAACCCGATGTCGGCAGCGTCACCCTGCGCTGCGGCATGGCTGGTGACAGGTCGGGAAATGCTGGGTGGATGCGGGGTGGAACTGGTTGGAAGATGAAGCAATAACTATGATTTATGATCTTATAACTATGGAAGAAAATGGTGATTTCATGGGATTTATAGCTGATTTATGGTAGCTAAGTTGGTGAACATAAAGCCCAATGTCACTATGGTTTATGATACGCAAATAACTATACTTAGCTGGTGTTTATAAGCCAACCTTGTAGCTGGTGCCCATTAACTAGTTCGATAGATCACCTATAAACCATGGTGAAATTGGAGTTATAAACCAACTAACAGTGCTTAGATGGGCCATGGGAAGCTGACGCGATTCCTGGTTCGTAACTGGGGATTTGTTACCCCAAAAAAATCGCAATGAAATAATCCATTTACTAACTAGTTAACTAACTCCATGGCCCATCTAAGTAGATTCTTGCTCCATGTATGTAATCCTGGGTTTGTTGAAGGTGATTTGGCTTATTTTCCCGAAAATCCACCATGACTGGGGAATCGATTAAGTGAATATCATTTTTTGGGGGGAACTCCTTAAGCAAATCCAAGTAATACATGTGTAATGTAATACATGGTACATATACCAATATTTAGCCCACAATGCCCCAGTGATGTCGGTAAATCTCCTATGGGAGTCATGCCCAGCGCAGTGCCCGTGGCATTGGCCCGGAAATGATGGGGGTCTGTTGGCTGGTTGGTGGTTTGGAACATTTGGATATAGAAAATCACAACTTTTAATAGGTAAACCATGGTAAACCATCTATTTCTATGGGGCCATTGTCCATAGCTATGCTAGTTTACTAGAGGATATTCAAAATATTTTTCCATTTCATAGATGTGGATGTCATCCTTCGACGAACTCATATTTTTCAAGACGGTTATTGCACCACCAACCAGTTGGTTTTTACCCCTGAAACCTCACGAACTCACCTTTTTTGTTGGTTATCCTCTGGAAATCTAGCATAGCTACAATGAGGGGCCCCTGGTCGATAGCTAAGTTGGTGCAAATAACTCTAATAGCTAGGACTTATGGTAGATATAAATTATATCTACAGTTAATGGGATTATAAATCAACAAACATAACTTGCAGGGCAACATCGAATGTATGGAAAATGAACCATTTAGTTCGATGATTTACCTGCTAAGAATTGTTCTTAGTCAATATTAAACTAGCACAGGGGAACTCCAATTTCTGGTGGATACATCGAACTAGTTAGATGCGATTATCAATTACAAACATAGGTTGGGGAAGCCCCAGATTGGAGGGCAGAATCATATCTGCCGGTTAGCCATATTGTTTGTCATCAGAGTCAACAGCGATCTTTCTTTTTTTGAAACCATAAACCACCATGAACAACATCATGAACAGCCAATTGGTAGTACCCACAACAGCCCTGTGTAGATCCAAGTTTCACCTCAGAGACGCCCAGTTCATAGGTGCCCTAGTTCGGAAAGCAAGAAATATGGGATTTTGCTACCAAAAATGTTGTTTTTAGTTTTGCAATCGTTGATTTTCGTTAAGTTGGCTTTTATTTTTTACATATAATATATGTATATATATATATATATATACTATTATATACACATTGTTATGTATATATATATATAGATATCATTAATACAATATGGTGATTATAATTCTAGTTAGGTGGTATGTTCACATCAGCAAGAAACAAAGCGTTGGGTCCCGCGCCGCGTTGCCCGCAGGCGGCACGGGCTCTGGGTGGACGCTTTTGGCGCGCCGGCGACAGCGCTGAGGTGTCGGCAGAAGGTGGTGACCACCACGGAGACGACTTCGACCAGTGCCTTGGTGAAAGGGAAAACCATGGTTATGAACGGTTAATATCGTTTATTAATCGTTATTAATGGTTATGAATGGTTATTAATGTATCAAATCCCATGAATTCACCAAGTTCGTGACTGACATCACCATAAATCGTTTATGAAATTAACAGCTGGTTGACCCAAACCACAGTATGTTGATCAACATGATATTCCCACTTGACGGGATTGTCATGATTAAACCATCATGTTTTGCTGGCTAAATCACCATTGAATACTGCTTGGTGCTTTGGAACATGAATGTTATTTTCCATATATTGGGAATGTCAGAATCCCAACTGACGAACTCATATTTTTCAGAGGGGTAGGTATACCACGAACCAGTTAATATTCTTTATGGATGGTTATTAATTTTATTAATGGTTAACTATAATGGTTAATCAACTACCATTACAGTTGTCAATGGCGAAAGGGATCATCTACCAGTGTCATGTGTTTTTGTTGATTGTGTTTTAATAGGAAATCACTGATAGAAAAAAATAGTGTTTGAATGGGATGTGTGGTAATTATTGAATATTTAGCAATCGTAAAATTCACCATGGAGATTATGGGAATAACAGGTATTTAATTAAATTTAAGTAACCAAGATGGTGCTTTAATCTGGTTGGTGCTTTGGAACATGAATTTTAGTTTTCCATCATATTGGGAAATGTCATCATCCCAACTGACGAACTCCATCATTTTTCAGAGGGGTAGGTATACCACCAACCAGAATTTATTGGCTTAAAGACCATCAACTATGCTCTATGCTTCATAAACCCTAGTTAAGCATACTTAAAGCAAGATGGTTAATGATTCCCCACACCAACTGGAGCTTTGAATGAGAAAACCCTGTCAAAAATCATATGGAAACCATGGGATTTGATGGTGATTTCTTTGGAGATTTCAGCAAGAAAAATTGGGTATTTTAATGGGATTCTAATAACAATTAGCCATATGTTAATTGGATGGATTGATAATATTAATTGGATGAACGGTTTTCATACATATCCCATGACGGATCCTAACGGTGCTGCTATATATGGTGCTCCATGGATCCCATCAACAAAAACCCCAGTCATGTTAGCATATATACCAGCACCATGGATCCGTCATGGGTTATATTACCATTATATACCCTCTTATACCATTATATTACCATTATATACCAGTAAATCTACCATTATATTATATTACCATATATTATATACCATTATATACCATTGGGTATTATTCAATCTTTGCTGGCGAAAAAAAAATGGATTTCCAGCAACGCCGACTTGCTCGGCGAGGTCACGAGATCCCATGCGGATCCCCCCCTTTGAGCCAACAATCCATGGGGAAAAAACGGAATCTTTAAGGGGAATCCCAAAAATAGCATCATTTAGATGCCTTTTTGCATCACAGAATGGGAGCTATGCCTAATGATCTAATGGCCCATGAAAAACAGTTAGTTCATGTTAGTTCATTGGGAATCTAAACGCCGTAAAAAAAGTGGTGTTACCCATAAACATACCAAAAACGATGGAAAGTCACCATGCTAACATAGACCCGGGCAAGCCGGCGGCGGAAGTTTCCCAAAAATAAATGACCTATAGTTCAAAGGACACCCTGTCCCGACCGTGTCCTTCCCTCGACAACCGTTTGATTTTTTCAGCGAGAGACGAAGCAAAGTCTTCACACTCCACACTTCACACTGCACTCTTCGCACTCCGAACTTGAAACTTCACACTCCACACTTCACACTCCACACTTCCAACTTCCCACTGCTTCCTTCACACTTCACACTTCACACTTCACACTTCCCACTGCTTCCTTCACGAAAATGAAAGCAGCCAAAATCTGAAAGATCCTTTTTTTTGTCACATGTATGCAATACGATCATGGTTTCTTGTGTGGTTCGTAACAACGCACACAGAAACGAAAATGAAGTGACACAGGCATTCTGCCGTCTGCAACTCGAAATGAAAGGCGAAGCTGAAGCACAGCAATTCAGACTCGGATGCGGTTCACAACAACGCACACCCAGCCCTCGGCAGTCAAACGAGAATTGATCCCTCTGCGGCAATACCACGTACTGTTGCTGTGCAAGATGTTGAGCCATTCTGCGCACTGAGCTTCGGTTCTGTGGCGACGCAAAGCGTACCAGAGACTTCGGCTTTCTCCAATGGCCCCAATCTGAACTTTTGGCGTTCTAGTCATTCACCACAGGTGGCTGCACACTTGCCGCCGTGCTTGTCTGACTCTCCAGCGCCGTCTCGACCATGCTGGACGCGGAACACAACTTCGCACGTCCAGTTCCGGGAGGAAAGGACGTTGCTATGGTGGCTTCTGTGAAGCCTCGGAGTAAACCAGCTGGTGACACGACGTGCAAGACTGACACAAGAGTTTGGCCGCGTCGCACGTCGAACAAATTGCAGTGGGCGGACGTGTTTTGCAAGCTTCACACCAGCTATGTGTCCAGCATCCACACAAGTTGCATGGCGCCGCGCCGAGGCTACGACCCATGGCCTCTCGTTCATAGGTTGCGACTGCGTATGCCTCACGAGCTCCCGGAACCACCAGTCGCTGACCCCAAGTGAGTTGCAGCGCAACTTCCCGAGGGTGAGCCCGCAGAAAGCTAGCAGCTCTATCCTTCCATACCAGCCAGTCGTATGCGGCGAGCGCCATGGCAAAGGTAAAAGCAGTCCGTAACGACGTACTTCGACAATAAGCACTGAACGTTAGTTGGTACGTCTTGCATGTACGACATAGTAACTGTGCTGTCCGTTGTGACCGCGTTACGTAGCTGTAATGTCAATCCACATGTATGCGCAGAAACACAGCTGACACATCTGTTTATTTGTGAAGTCCTACGGAAACATCTGTTTGTTGTGAAGTCCTATGAAACATCGTTGCTCTTGATCCTGCGCTTCAGCGTGTAGACAGTCAACATGTCGTGACACACCATGTCTCAAACGCAAGTCTGTGCAAAGATATTTTTTCTGAGGGACATGTAATGAGCCACCCATGGCACCTACCCATGACACCTACCCAACAGTCACCTACCGAGTCGATCGACCAGCACACCGTGGACATGAGCGATAGACACTCGAATGAAACAATGAAACAAGCACAAACAAATTCTCAAGGCAAGAGCCTCCCCTATGGGTTGACACCGAACGGCTTTGTTTTACCAGTCACGTCAGCGCATCGTCCTGATTTTATCAGCTACGCAGTCCACAACGACGCACGCAGCTAGCGAATCCAGCATCGCTCTAAACCTACGTGCAACAAAACAACACTAGTGCCAAAATGGAGAAAATCTGCTAACAAATCCATGTCGCAGCCTTCATGCAGCCAGTCCAAGACGATTTACGAGATCCAGCTGCAAAAGACATTACGCATGCAGCCAAAGCAAGAAGCAACCTTGACGCAGCCATTCCAATGCGATCTGCGGAGACTGAGTTGCAAAACACAAGAGAACTACGCGCAATGGCGTCGGAAATTGTAGCTCCAAAACCGGATCTCGACGCCAGAGCGAAAAAAAGACGATTTTGAAGCACTTTTTAAAAGGATTTTTAGAAGGAAAATCACTAGCGCCAAAATGGAGAAAATCTGCTGACAAATCACTGTCGCAGCCTTCATGCAGCCACTCCAATACGATTTACGAAGTCCAGCTGCAAAAGACAATAGTATTACGCATGCAGCCACAGCAAGAAGCAACCTTGACGCAGCCATTCCAATGCGATCTGCGGAGACTGAGTTGCAAAACACAATAGAACTACGCGCAATGGCGTCGGAAATTGTAGCTCCAAAACCGGATCTCGACGCCAGAGCGAAAAAAAGACGATTTTGAAGCACTTTTTAAAAGGATTTTTAGAAAGAAAATCACTAGCACCAAAATGGAGAAAATCTGCTGACAAATCACTTCCGCCACAGAGGTAGATCATCGAGGTTCGGGGACGGACTTTGTATGGAAAAACATAGGGTTTCGTGCATCTGCTATCTCTCAAAGACGCATTTCGTGCGAGACTTCCTCCAAAACTCCATCGGCAACTCATCCACCAGCACCACTTGCAACCCCATTTACAATGCGGGAACGATCCTACAGTTGCAAATCACAATGGAATTCTGTCGACCACACATGCACGAAAAACAGTTGAAACCCCATTTACAATGCGGAACCGATCCGAGCATGATCCGAGACCGATCCGACCATGATCCGAGGATGATCCGACCACACACGAGACCGTCTCGCACCCGTCGCACCGCAGAGGTAGATCATCGAGGTTCGGGGACGGACTTTGTATGAAAAAACATAGGGTTTCGTGCATCTGCTATCTCTCAAAAACGCATTTCGTGCGAGACTTCCTTCAAAACTCCATCGGCAACTCATCCACCAGCACCACTTGCAATCCCATTTACATTGCGTGAACGATCCTGCAGTTGCAAATCACAATGGAATTCTGTCGACCGCACATGCACGAAAAACACTTGAAACCCCATTTACACTGCGGAACCGATCCAAGAATGATCCGACCATGATCCGAGAATGATCCGACCACACACGAGACCGTCTCGCACCCGTCGCACCGCAGAGGTAGATCATCGACGTTCGGGGACGGACTTTGTATGGAAAAACACAGGGTTTCGTGCATCTGCTATCTCTCAAAAACGCATTTCGTGCGAGACTTCCTCCAAAACTCCATCGGCAACTCCTCCACCAGCACCACTTGCAATCCCATTTACAGTGAGGGAACAGTTTCTTTGCTAACTCTTTCCCTCACTAACTCTTTCTTTGACTAACTCTTCCCCTGACTAACTTGTTTCTTTGCTAACTCTTTCTTTGACCAACTCTTTCCCTCACTAACTCTTTCTTTGACTAACTCTTTCCCTGACTAACTCTTTCTTTGACTAACTCTTTCCCTGACTAACTGTTTCTTTGCTAACTCTTTCTTTGACTAACTCTTTCCCTCACTATCTCTTTCTTTGACTAACTCTTTCCCTGACTAACTCTTTCTTTGACTAACTCTTTCCCTGACTAACTGTTTCTTTGCTAACTCTTTCTTTGACTAACTCTTTCCCTGACTAACTGTTTCTTTGCTAACTCTTTCTTTGACTAACTCTTTCCCTCACTATCTCTTTCTTTGACTAACTCTTTCCCTGACTAACTCTTTCTTTGACTAACTCTTTCTTTGACTAACTCTTTCCCTCACTAACTCTTTCTTTGACTAACTCTTTCCCTGACTAACTGTTTCTTTGACTAACTCTTTCTTTGCCTAACTCTTTCCCTGACTAACTCTTTCTTTGCTAACTCTTTCTGTGACTAACTCTTTCCCTCACTAACTCTTTCTTTGACTAACTCTTTCCCTGACTAACTGTTTCTTTGACTAACTCTTTCTTTGACTAACTCTTTCCCTCACTAACTGTTTCTTTGACTAACTCTTTCCCTGACATTCTAAAAGTCCGTAACACGGAAGTTTCTCCCCCTAAACTTCCTTTGATTAATGGGTTTTTATCAACTATTTCGACTTGGCCATTTTCAATAGCTATGCAACAAAATAACAGAGGGTAACGATTGAATGGGATGTTTTATGATGATTTATTCTTGAATTTGAGGGGGGATATTAGGATATACTGGGATATGAATCAAATTTATATTCCTTCCTCCATATCAAGCATTCCCATCAGAAACCATGGATGTAAGGTTTTTTTCATCACATATGACTGGGACCATAGACCGGTTTTGTGTTTTCTTCGAGGATCATCGAACTCAGTAAGTCGTTAAAATCCCTTGTTCGTAAGTCCCCGATGTTTGTGTCTTATCCCATCATCTCCCATGTAAAAATTGATGCACCAACTCTGGCTACTAACCATGTTACCACCTAAAATATGTTTCATTTCCATAAATTCTAGTAGTTGGTTAATGATATTGTTTCACATGATTTCCATGCAAATTCTATCTGGTCATGATTTCCATGAAAAAAATCTTCGTCTGGTTATTAATCTGATTTCCAAGAAAATTAACATATGATATTAATGGCTATTTATTTGGTCATATTAAATGTCACACTTCGAGTCCCACTTCAAATAAATCACTGGCTGGTGGTTTCAAACATGGTTTTTTATTTTCCATGTCATATATGGGATGTCATCCCAACCCCATTGACGAACTCCATCATTTTTCAAGATGGTGAAATTGCACCACCAAGCAGTTGGTTTTGACCCCCTGAAACCTCAACGAACTCAGCATTTTTGTTGGTTATCCTCTGGAAATCTGGCATAGCTACAATGAGGGGCCCCTGGTCGATAGCTAAGTTGGTGCAAATAACTCTAATAGCTAGGACTTATGGTAGATATAAATTACATCGAACTAGTTAATGGGATTAGAAACCAACGTTCACATAACTTGCAGGGATCAACACTTCAAGTTCCACAAAATAAATCACCGAGGGTCACCATGGGATCCGAGGGATTCTCCATGATTCTCCGCAGCGGGCGAGGTTTTATTCCAACACGCGCTGGGGTGATCTCGGGTCTACCAGGTGCGGAAATGCGAAGTTTCATGTTGATTTCATGGATTTTCATGGTGCTAAATGGATTTTCATGGTGATGAAATGGTGAGTACATGGTGATTCATTTCTATTAAATGGTCAATGGGTGGGAATCAATGAGACTGAAAGGGGATTTCATGGGACTTTAGGCGAGTTAATGATGATTCATGTGGATATGGCAAAGTATTGGACGATTGCAATAATAGAATTGTGGAATTATTCTGGGCTGATATATATATATATATATATACATATACATAATTATATATCATGGGATATATAATGGGATATTTGTGATACCAACCCACGCATTTTTTCATCCCATAAGAATAGTTAAGGATAAGTATTTCCATGAAAATCCGCATTTTAGCGATAGAAATGTGCACGTTGTGTTGTTTATTTGTTCAAGATTTTATAGGACAATTTGTGGAATTTCACCATGTTATAAGCTGGGTGGGCGGTGACGAACAGGAGGTTGCGGGGTTCATTTTTTAAACTTAGTAAATTGTGTTTTAACTTCAACGGATTTGAAATAGTATCCAGCCTTAAAGATACATAGTGGAATATAGACACATATTCACGTATTTCTCTACTGAACTATTGATACAGAGGTTTGATCAAATTGAGGAACAGAAACCATTGGTTTCCCCTTGAAGCATAGTTAACTTTGGATGATTCTGCTGTCCCCCCTTGTAACAAATTTCCATGTCCCTTGGTTGGGTTCCTGGCCCCCCATTTTGGGTGTTCACCCCAGTCGCACGTCTCAACAATTGAAAGTTTATGGGGGAAATATATGTGCATGTGTATACATTTCATAGGAACAATCATAGGAAAACCATAGCAAAATCGGGATTCCATGGGGATTTATAGCTGGTTTATGATAGCTAAGTTGGTGCAAATCATTCCAATAACTATGGTTTATGATACTTATTACTATAGTTAATAGGCTTTATAAACCACTTTATAACTCGGGGGCCACACATTGTGTGGAGGTTTCTTAAAATGAAGCATCCCCAAGTCACCATGGGTTTCAATACAACAATGGTGTAATGACTTGGGTGATTTGGGGCTACTCTAGGGTAAACTATCTGTAAAGTCCTGGCCACATCCGCAGGGCGTAGGGCATGACCCACCTATCATTAGGGCCCCACATTGTACAGTTGTTTCTTAAAGTGGGGGATCCTCAAGTCACCACAGGTTTCAATATGTTTCAATGCTAGTTCATGGTCTGATGACTTGGATGATTTGGGGGTACCTCCATGACTTAGGAATCTCCATATGGATTCATAGAGATATATCTCAACCAAATTGGGATTTGATGGCATTCAATGCGATTTATTGGGATTTGCTATTGGTTGGTAGGTGGGCTTAGATGAAGTATATATTCGATTGATGAAGTAGAAAAAACAATCAACGTTGAACATAACTTGTCAACTACATCCTCATAATATGTTTGATGGTTACAACCCATAGAGATGTTGGTTAAATCGCCGTCAAATATCTAATCAGCTGGGGTTGATATCATTTTTGGGTTACGTATCTCATTCTCCCATGGATGGTCATTCCACTTAGTAACTGGTTAGTCACTGGCTTGTGACCTACTTACAATTGGGATAACCCCAGCTTGGGGGATTTAACCATTTATATAGTGGGAGTTGCTATGATTGAATGAGAATAAGATTGGGATATAAGACAATAGGTATATCAGATATGAGGATATAGCCCATCCCATATGCTTCAAGTATGGCTTAGACCCCCTTTCAGCAGCTACTTGAAATTCAGCCCATGAATACTAGTTCGTTATGTAAGTTATAATTCCCTTCAACCATAGACATTTTACTTTTGTTCACCAGCTATGTGAAGTGATGTTCCAGCTAGAGTTAATTACAGCAACTATAGTCACAGCGTGGCATTGGTTCCCATTCATGCTATGGTTGCCCTCTGGTAGATTCACCATGTCTAAAAATCACCAATGATGAGCGATTATCAGCGGGAAACGAATCTTCCAACCCCTGCCCTCTGGTAATTTAACATGGCTATTGAAAATGGCCATAGAAATAGTGAGTTTTTCCCGTTAAAAATGGTGATTTTCCATAGTTTCTTGTGTGTTTACCAGAGGGTAATCTGGCAGGATACCATATCCCCATGGCATTTGGGAACAACGACATCCCGTTACGACAGCCCTTGACCGTACCTTCCAGGCGATCAAGGGCTTCAGGCGGTCCGTTACCATGCGGCCAATGCCACCCTGCGACTTGGCGCCATGGGGGAAACGAAATGATTATGATATGTATAAATATATATATATTTATTTATATATATATAAGTTGCTTGGACAGTCCTTAAGTGTTCTTGCCATATTTCTGTGGGGCATGATTCGCGAGTTTAACCCGTGAATTTCTCTTGGCAATCTTGGATTGGCAATGTACTGGGGACATTCATGGGAGAGTTAACACGTTAACATGTGGAAGCCCATATGCTCCATGTATGGAATATGTACCTACATAACTGGGCCATTTTTGCGGGAAATGTACATGGAGCATATGGGGAAGGTTAAATGTGGAAGATATAATGACATTTGGCATTTCTTCGGAAAACCGTTGCGATAGTTGATGATAGTTTGATATCGGTGAACAAAAGGCCAGAATAAGGAACCACAGATGGGCTGGCTACGTGAATCAAGTATCCACTTTTGATAACTTCCCTACGGTAATCAAATTAATGGGAAAACCACAGACAATTCATTGGAAAACCGTAGGAAATGGGAAATCCTCTACAAAAAAGCAGAGCACACCATGTTTGATGACACCGGAGGGTATGATCTGTTAGTTTTATCTTCATTCATGTTTTACCATGTTGCAACCTCATTTTTGCAGGCCAAAGATATGACATTATTACAACAATGGAGTTCTCCTGTATTTTTCTGGTTGGTGGTTTGGAACATTTTTTTCCATATATTGGGAATAATCATCCTAACTGACTTTCATATTTTTCAGAGGGGTAGGTATACCACCAACCAGTTTTGGTTCATTTTAATATAAACAATCAATCATGATTCTTTTTAAGTCAATGGTATTTGCTGTTTTTGTTCCTCATGTTTGCTGTTGACTTCATGTTTTATCAGTTTTTGTTGAACAACTTACATGATATTTATCTTTAACCCAACATATGAACCCAAGATCTTTACCGTTGTTCATCATATATCCACATTTTTTGGTTAAAAATATCCCAACCATGACTGGTTATTAATATCGTTTATTAATGGTTAATGATAATATATGGTTAACTATAATGGTTAATCAACTACCCAATGGCTAATCAACTAGCATTACAGTTGTCAATGGCGAAAGGGATCATCTACCAGTGTCATGTTCTTTTTGTTTTTTCATAGTGTTTTAATAGGAAATCATTGAGAAAAAATCGTGATCATCCACGAAATCATCCCACCTTTTCCATCGTTTCAACTGATTCCAGCTACCCCCAGGTCCTGTGGATATCCCTTCGTGAACGTGGGAGGTGCCGATGGAGTGGAGAGTGGAGGGCCGTCCTGGCGATTTCGGGAAGCAAACTGATGATTTTATGGGATTTGATAGGAGAAACTGTGATTTTATGGGATTTGATAGGAGAAATGGTGGTTTTATGGGATTTGATAGGATTTGCTTTTTGGTTTTATGGGATTTGATAGGAGAAATTGTGATTTTATGAGATTTGATAGAGAAATTGTGGTTTTGTGGAATTTGATAGGAGAAATGGTTGTTTTATGGGATTTGATAGGAGAAATTGTGATTTTATGGGATTTGGATAGGAGAAATTGTGGTTTTGTGTGATTTGATAGGAGAAATGGTTGTTTTATGGGATTTGATAGGAGAAATTGTGGTTTTGTGGAATTGGATAGGAGAAATTGTGGTTTTGTGGGATTTGATAGGAGAAATGGTTGTTTTATGGGATTTGATAGGAGAAATTGTGGTTTTATGGGATTTGATAGGAGAAATGGTAGTTGTTTGCTAGGAGAAATGGTGGTTTTACGGGATTTGGATAGGAGAAATGGTGGTTTTATGGGATTTGATAGGAATTTTTTTTGGTTTTATGGGATATGATAGGAGAAATGTAGTTTTATGGGAATTGATAGGAGAAATGGTAGTTATTTGCTAGGAGAAATGGTGATTTTATGGGATTTGGAGGAGAAATGGTAGTTTTATGTGATTTGATAAGAGAAATTGTGATTTTATGAGATTTGATAGAGAAATTGTGGTTTTGTGGGATTTGATAGGAGAAATGGTTGTTTTATGGGATTTGATAGGAGAAATTGTGATTTTATGGGATTTGGATAGGAGAAATTGTGGTTTTGTGGGATTTGATAGGAGAAATGGTTGTTTTATGGGATTTGATAGGAGAAATTGTGATTTTATGGGATTTGGATAGGAGAAATTGTGGTTTTTTGGGATTTGATAGGAGAAATGGTAGTTTTATGGGATTTGATAGGAGACATGGTTGTTTTATGGGATTTGATGGATTTGATAGGAGAAATTGTGATTTTATGGGCATTCCGAGGCTTGGACGGGAGCTGCTGGTTGGCCCCTGGAAGCAGTCCCAATGGAGCGGCTGCGAACTCCTGTCGGAACCAGGTGGACGTGACTCTTGGTCTGCGGTCCTCCATGTTGCGCAGTCGGATGGAGATGGACGGCGTTGCGCGCCTGCCTACGGCAGCCGAGATGCGGGAGACGCGTTTTATTGTGGGCGGCGACGATCATGGTGTTGCCCACCCTTGCGCCCGGTCTTACAACTCTTGGGGGCGACGAAGGAGTTGGGGCGGGAATTCAGAAATCCCTGGTTTTATCGACCTTTTGCTGCGGACACGGGCTTCGTGGAGCTCTATGCGTTGAGGCAAAGTCTTTTGGAGCCGCATGCATGGTACTTTTCAGAGGAGCGCGCGTTGGCTTCGCTTCTTCTGCCCCGCAAGCCCTGGGAAACCAATTGTTTTTTAAGGGCACCAAAGTCATTCTTTGAAGGCCAAATGGCAGTTGCAGGCCACCTAGGCCATTGCAGGCCACCTGGGCAAGTGCACAAACCAGGCAGGTGCTGGGCAAAAAACCGTTGCCCGGATTGCAGAGCATAGCTCAGCGAGTCTACAATGACGTTGCAGTGCATAGACTTATAGCGACCATAAAGCAGCTCTCAATCACCTGAAATCATATGTTTTGCTTGGTTAAAGTACCATTTTCCGATGGTTTTCCTAAGGCCTCCCCTTCCCCGAGGCGACGAGCACGTCTACTGCGTGGTCGGCCCGGCCCAGACGCCGGACGGCACCGGCGGCCGATGGGTGGACGCTGCGCCTTGGCGATGCGGAGATGGGGGGCGGCGTTCCGGGACCATAATGCGGGGTCCCCCATAGGAAAAATCAAAGGAAAACCATAGGAAAATGGTGATTTCATGGGCTGATTTATGATGGCTAAGTTGGTTTATATCTCGGAAAATCAGCCAAATCACCTTCAACAAACCCACGATTACATACATGGAGCAAGAATCTACTCAGATGGGCCATGGAGTTGGGGAAAACTAGTTAGTAAATGGATTGATGCATTGGGATTTTTTAGGGGGTAAAGAATCCCCTGTTACAAACCAGGAATCGCGTTTTTCTATTAATGGCCCATCTAAGCACTGTTAGTTCGTTTATAACTCCAATAACTATGGTTTATAGGTGATGTATCTATAGTCAATGGGCACCAGTTGTAAGTTGGTTTATAAACACCAGTAACTGTAGTTATAAGTTATAAGTTATAAGTTATAAGTATCATAAACCATAGTTATTGGAGTTATTTGCACCAACTTAGCTATCGACCGGGGGTGCCACATTGCAGGCACAGTTCCTGGGTAGAAACGGACGTGATCTGCAACACATGGTGAGTTAATGGTGAGTTGCTGGTGACTTGATAGGGATTTTCATGGGAATGAACGGCGATTCTTCATGAAATTGAAGGATGATTGAAGGGTTTTTTTACAGAGATTTAAGGAAACTTAATGGTGAAAGAATGGATTTTACGGAGATTTATTGGAATTTAATGGGATTTCATGGAAATTTGAGCAGTGCCTGCGGATACCCCCTGTTGTTTGATACTTTCAGGATATCAACGGGGAATCACTATCAAGCAGAATGGACGAGATGAAGCCTCCCCGTTGATGATAGTTACGTTGATGCACATAAGGTGGTTAACTAGCATTCACGGAGGATATGTGATATAACCTTTAAACTATAGTCTGGTCGGTGGTTTCAAACATGGCTTCTATTTTCCATTTCATATATGGGATGTCATCCTTCCCATTGACGATCTCATATTTTTTGAGTTGGTTAAAACATGTTTTTCGTGAGTTGTCCCATTAAAAGTTGTATTTTCCATAGCTATGTAAACGTTTACCCGAGGGTAAACTATAGTTCATGGTGTTCATACATCAACTCATAACTGGGACGCTTCACCCATGTGATTTGCTGGGAGTTTTGATGGGAGAATTGGGATATCTACAAATACCATGGTTGATTGGATACTATACAATGTGAGGCCCCCTAGATAATTAAGTTGGATTTAACTCCAATAACTATGGTTTATGGTACTTATAACCATAGTTAATGGGGTTTATAAACCAACTTATAGCTGCGGGGCCCCACATTGTAGGGGGCTATACTACGAAATTTATTGCGAAGTCTGGCAAATCATAACAGGAATACAATGGAATAGGGACCGCGGGATATTTTTCATGGCTCATTAGAGCTACACTCTGGTAAACTAACATAGCTATGGAAAATGGCCCATTTATAGTTGATGTTCCCATTAAAAATTGTGATTTTCTATAGCTATGTTTGTTAAATTACCAGAGTGTACACTCTATCTGGTTTCATCCATTTTCTTGACAGGCCTGGCAGCGGAAACTCCATCATGAACGTGCCAATGCAAAGATATTTTTCCCTTTCAAAAAAGACAAAAAGTGTCCAGCAAGACACTCAAAGTATCCATAAAAATCAGTTGAAGTGCTGAAATTATGGTGAACAAAAAATACATGTTTTTGAAATGGATAAATGGAGTGTCTACAAGGTGGTGTCCCCCCGCTTAGAAGTTGGCTCATGAACCCCACTGCCTACAGTTTGTTTTTTTTCAACGTAGTCATGTTAGTTATAAACCAACTTGGCTAGCCCAATACTTAGCTAAGTTTGTTTGAAAAATAGGTGAACTTTGGGGTTTATGGTAGGTATATCTTTACTGTATATACTTAATGAGGTGAATCTAAACGAACAAACAAGGGGAAATCACTTTGCATAAACCAACTTGGCAAACTATGAGGCACCACCTTGTTTGGACATGTTTTCTTGCCCGGCCAAGGATGGAAGTAACATCGAGCTTCCCATTTGCGTCGTAAACTCAGCATGGCAGCAGATGCATCAACGGCATGGGAGAAGTGGGGCAAAGGTTTTCTGGGTCTTTGGTCAATCGGTGTTGGTCATTTTACCCTCTAACATAGCTATGGACAATGGCCCATTTATAGTGGATTTACCCATTGATAGCATGGTCATTTTCCATAGTTCTGTTAAATTACCAGAGGGTAAGAGGGAAAATGACATCATGATCCATGTGGATTAATCAGCTATACCAGCTATGCTGATGTGAATCCTGGATTGATGTTGACCCAGTTTACTGGTCCGGTCGCTATTTGTAGGTAAATATACCGGACACCAAGATAGGCGTGGAAACACACAATTTATAGATCATTTTCCCATGAAAACAAAACAATAGGTGTTTTCCACATCTTACCCTGGGTACTACCATACATGGGTTTGAATGGAATGGGGTAAACCCCGCAATGGCAGGGCAAATGATGTGTTGACCCACTGTGCCCCTCAGATAAAGCTGTGGGTTCATATTACCGTCCATAGCCCATAGCTATGGAAAATGGCCCATTTATAGATGGTTATAGACGATTTTCCTGTTCAAACTGATAATATATGGTGATGTTCCAGAGCTTTGCTAAGTTGTTAATGGATATATACATAGCTAGATTCAGAAACCAACTTCGCCAACCACTGGGTCAACCGACTGGTTAGATGCTAGCTAGTACAATTTTTCATCTTTTGCTATCAATGGTAAACTGGTTGGTGGTTTGGAACATGGCTTTTATTTTCCATTTCATATATGGGATGTCATTCTTCCCATTGACGAACTCATATTTTCAAGATGGTTAAAACATGTTTTTAGTGAGCGTTCCCATTAAAAATGGTGATTTTCCATAGTGATGTTAAATGGTTTTTGCACCACCAACCAGTAAAATTCCTCCCAGCGAAACTGCTTGGATTGCTTGGTATCTAAGATTCACCCGTGATCAAAGTCATCCGTGATCGAATTCAGGTTGGTTTACAACTCCAATAACTACAATGGCCCCCCCCAGTGATGTTAGTTGGTTTATAAACCCCATGAAAACTATAGTTATAAGATAAGTACCATAAACCATAGTTATTGGAGTTATAAACCAACTTAGCTATCTTGGGGGCACCGCATTGTAGGGTTTATGTTCCATAGCTTTGTGACATTACCAATGAGTAGCTAATGTATGAGACAGTGCCTTGTACGGGTGTAAACCAACTGGCGCTGAACAGCCAAGGCCGCTAGCGAGTCAAATTTTCGCTATCAAAAAGACACTGGTTCAACGGCCATCTCAGGAACCTAAATTGGAGGTACCTAGGCCTATGTAAAGGGGATATACCCCATAAAAGATGGCCTTATATGGTACAGTACCTCCATTTTAGGATCCTGAAATTCCCATTGACTGGTTGGTGGGAAAATCTGGCATTAGCATCCAGACATGGGAATACCATTGTTCATTTGATTATGAAAAATGATTTTTCCAATGTTTTGATGCGGAAACTACGGGAACATCACCTCTGTGAAAGGGATGTAATGGAAAAATGACGGGAATATAATGGGAATGAGCGCCGATAAACTTTCTTTGAATACCCTGATGGATTGGTCATGAAATGGGGATGTTGCCAGCAATGAAATCGGGAATCTTGTGGGTGTTAATGTATCAAACATATGGGGATATAGTTGGTAATCATGGTTACTGGGTTAACAAAGGGAGTTATACTGATACTACCTGGTTATTGAGAATTTGTGTGACCCATATTAGGGAAACCTATCGACCAACTAGTATTTCATCAGACGGGATAGGGCAACCTTTAATGGCTCAAATGATGCCAGCTCCTCTTGGTCCTCAACCCCCGACAAGAAATCTATGGGTTGGGCTTCCTGATGTGAAAATGCCCCTCGTAATTCCATAGATTCACCATGTTTTGCGGCTGTTTGGGGCCCCAGAAGTTGAGTAGAACCGTTGCTAAAAATTGGATGTGACCAATTTCAATCCTCAACGGGTCTCTGATGTAAAAATACATGCGAACGTTGGTGCGTTCCATGAGGTTTGTCAAAAGAGGCTTATTCGCCCAGCAGACGCCAGTCGTTTTTAATTGCACGTCTTGCCGCAAGGGTGCCAAGTCCAACTGAGGCCCCTCCCCCTTTGCACATGGGCACAGGGCATCAGATGAAATTTCAAGAGTTGTTCGCTGGTCTTGTTGCCAAAACTTGTTGTCTTGGATAGCTCCTGGAATTTGGGTGGCACATAGACCCCCCAATTTGGACACGTTTGGTGTTTTTCCTGCACAAAACCATTCAAATAACAATGAGCCTTACTATCACCTTGGTGCTGCTGGAACTCCCAAGCACCTCACACCTAACCTTAGGTCTTCCGCCGAGACTGGTGCCCACAGCTGGAATTGCAAAATTTGTTTAGCGAAGCTTTGCTCAGCAGCAGGGAGCCTCAGGTGTTCCGGGCGGACTGCAGGTGGAACCCACAAAGCGACAAAGTGGGCCCATCAGACTTTATAATTCTTGTGTGAAATGATTGAGTTGAAGATATATTATCCTAACTATAAGGATTATTGGGCCTCTTGGGGGCCCCGCACTTTAAGAAGGCTATGTTTTTTTGCAAGGCCAACTCCATGTTGGGTTGCAGTTTCTGGATCCTTGCCGCCTTTTAAAGATGCAGTGAAGGGTTCCAGTTAATGCCAAACCCACAAGAAAACAGCCACAGCACTATCCGTTTGCAAGGCGCCTATGAATACGGAAGCGTGGCCACTTTGCGGTGCCACATTGGCTACCAGCGTGTCTCTCGACGTAGATTGGATGGGATGGGCCTCAAGCATGACAGAGTGATTGCTGTAGTGGGTGATTCTTTCAGGGGTCTATTAGCATCACACACCAGTAGTGAAATTCCTTAGAAGCTCCCGACACGGGTAGCCGTTGTTGTTTTCATGGTTGTGTCCGGAGCAGCAGCATCACCAGTGTGGCAAACCCGATTGCAAGGGCACCCGTTGAGCGATGGTGGGCCGTAGTAAAGGAATGCAATGGGTTCAATGGAAATATATTCCGGTATGGGGATATCAGTACAACCACATACAACCACGAATATAGTTAGCTAAGGTGGTGGCCTAGTTTGCTCGCTAAGTTTGTCGACATGAGTCGTTTGCCCAGGATTTGTGGTAGATATGTCTATTCTTGGGGGTTTACAAACCAGTCTAAGACTAGGTGGGGCACCACCTGGTAGACGTTCAAAACACTCCGAATCATGTGCAACATGCTGGTTAAATCAAAAATGGTAAACGAAGCGTACACGAATTGTCTACGTATGATGTCTCAATATTTGGGATATGCATCAGTGGTGCGCGCACACGACCTCCACTTGGAGAGACTGACGGATTCAAAATTAGCGGAAGTATCCCCAAACATGGCCATAGTAAGTGGAAACATGTTGATACATGGGGATACATGGGGTGCAATGGGTACTTCGCTAAGTGTTTCAATTGGAACTTCGAATTGGTGGATTGATGACTAAAAACAGCAGTGGGGCAAGAACGGTCTTTGCGGGTGAAATCATCGGTTTTTAACGGGCAATTTCTTCGTGGTTGTCAGTGAAGTCACCATTACGTAAATTCTGTTGGTAAAATCACTACTTGGCAGTTGTTCCTGACAAATACTGGTCAAATTCGTTGTTGTTCCATTCACCAATGTGGTAAACCAAAAAAACACAACCTATTTATCCAAATGTACAGTTCGAAGGGTAGTAGAAACCAAATCCAAGTTTTTACCAGACTGTGCTCTGCACAGCCCCCAGGTGTAAGTGATAGAGTTTTTTGCCCATGTGATGCGCTGGCGGGGTTGAAACCTCAATCCCGCCATTTTTTAGATACATGTATATATAAATATTCCTTTAGACCATCTATTTCCCCATGTACTTTCCTAGATAATTTTTGATACATTAAAAAAAACAGATTCACATAGATCTTTAATTTACCCGCAAAAAATATGTTCTCCCAAGAGTTGTGTTTGTCACCTTTTCTTCATCTCTGTAAGATCTCCGTTGACGCTGATTGGGCGTTCCCAGGTCGAGGGAAATGTGACGTTGACTCTTTGCAGCGGTTTGGGTGGCGGAACCAAAAACTTATTTTGATTTGTGAATTCACGGATCCAAACAATTTTGACTTGAAGTATGTACTTACATAAGCATAGCTATATTATAGATAGATTATATAGATGGAATTTTGACGTGAAGTATGTATTTACATAGTGTTATTTTAGATAGATTAGATCGATCTGTTTGGATTGCAATGGATTCGATTGGATTATACATTAGATTAGATCACTACATTCATTTCATTGTCCAAAAAATAGACAATGTCATGGAATTACCAGCATTCGACGGGAACAGATTGAATATCACCAGCAAATTTGGGTGTATTTGACCAATGAGCTGCTGGTTCATTGTCTGCAACATGTTATTGGGCCCATTATTGGGCTGCAACCACCACAAACAAAAGTTGGAAAGGCGGAAACTTGGGAATGATAAAAAAAAAAACGTCCATCTTAGACACGAGGTGAGGAAATTGTACCGAAAAAATGATGCCTACACAGTATACATTCTTGTATTTCCACTCGAATAGCAGGGACCGTTTGTATTTCTTAAATTTCATTGAGTTGCCCTTCAATCATAGAAAATAGCATAGATTCCATTCTATCCCCATCATATCCCCATTTTATATCCCACCGGTCAACCGCAGAAAAAACTCCCAGCGGTCAAACAGCAAGGAATTGCATCAACCACGAATCCTTACTCTATGGTATTTGGGATGGCGAACCTTTGCGCCCCGGCTGCGATCGCTGTCGGAAGGGACCCTTTTTGGATCCATGACGGGGATATGTTTGAAATCATCCAATTTGGCTGTCTAGATATATTTTATATATTTGTATAATTATTTATATTGATTGTCTTATTTACGTTTTTCTTTCTTTGATTTTGACCTATGCTCATACTTCGCGGCTGTGAGAAAAAACGCGAAGATCAAAACGTGGAGAGTTGGACATGTTCTTCTGATCGTATCTCGAATCTCCGGCCAAACTTCAAGTTTGTTGATACCACAGTAACCCCAAGAAGACCAGAATTTTGGAAACTTGGAAAATATGGGAAAACCCATTTGATACCTTGCATCTGGGAAATCCTGTTCTATCTTTTTGGGGGTTGTGAACTGTTTCACCACCATGTTTGCCCAACAGTTTGCCCAGTCGCAGCTGAGGAACCGTTTGCTAGGACTTGCGGTACCACCTTTTGTGGGTTGCAATTCTTAAATGTCGTCCATCTATATTTTCTGGTTGGTGGTTTGGAACATGAATGGATCATAAATGGTTAATGGGGTAATGATGGTTAATCATGGTTAATATAATGGTTAATAATGGTTAATAATGGTTCATAATGGTTAATAATGGTTAATAATGGTGAATAATGGTTAATAATGGTTAATAATGGATAATAATGGTTAATAATCACTGGTTGGTGGTTTCAAACATGAATGGATTTTCGTTTCCCATCATATTGGGAATGTCATCATCCGAACTGACGAGCTCCATCATTTTTCAGAGGGGTAGGTATACCACCAACCAGTTTTCCATACTTGGTGGCTCATCCCACTTACTAAGTAGGATTTATATATCCAGTTATAAGTGAAATAAGTAGAGTTAATCCACTTACGACTGGGATTATAACATATTATAACCTACTTACTAAGTAGGATGAACCACCAGTCGTATGGGTTGCGTGTCATGCCAGCCCCGAGTCAACCTGAGTCAACCTGACCAAAGATACCATCAAAATCATCAAACAATGGCGACCTTTAGCCTTTCGCGTGTGACTACATTCCCTGAATTAGTCATAAGACCGGGAAAACTTAAGAGGGGATTCACAAGAATCAATGGTTGATTCTATGGGATACAAAGGCCATATCATGGGACAGAAATGGGGGGATCAATCAGGATCAATGCATATATTATATGTCAATTCCCACATTTATCCACCACAAGGGGTTCGTTTTGGAATGAGCATAGACGAATCGTCCCATCAAAATCGGGCGTCGCCTATAGAATCGCTCATGCCTCGGCACGGTAAATCCAGCGGCTCAAAGATAGCCACCCTCGGCTCTCGGAGTGTGTGAAAGTCAGGGTCTGTTCAAAAAGATTAGGGACATGGAGGTTTCCATAAATGGTGAATACCCGCAAAACTGGTTGGTTTATAGTTGAAAAAAACAATTTAATAGCTGGATGATAACAAGGGGTACCCCCATTTTAGGAAACATCCATATGACCAGGAAATATGGTGCGTCTACATCAGATTTGAGATGGGGTTATGTCCTTCTCTAGCGGGGAGATACTTACGGATATACCCTTTGGTAACTTAACATAGCTAGTGAAAATGACCCATTTATAGTTCATTTACCTAGTAAAGATTGGGATTTTCCATAACTATGTTAGTTTACCAGAGGGTACCCAATGTTCTGTCCACTTACTAAGTTCACACAGGCAAAATCTACAATGTGGGCCCCGCAGTTATAAATTAGTTTATAAACCCTATAGCCTATAGTTAAATTATTTGCGTGCCATAAACCATAGTGAAATTGGAGTTATGTTCACCAACTTAGCTATCATAGATCAGCTATAAATCCCATGAAATCCCAATTTCCTATATGGTTTTCCTTTGATTTTTTGGGGACCCCACGACTTCGAAATCGCCATGACCCGACCACGCCTGCCGCGGGCACTGCGGGCGCTTGCCCTGGGCGCTGTCGGAATGGCACCGTGGTGTTTTGCCGCGGAGATGCCGGAGATGTTTCGTGGCTGGGAAAGCCTTGGTGATTCAATGGTGGTTTCGTGGGATTTAGTGGGATTTAATGGGATTTAATGGTGAATTAATGGTGATTTAATTGTGATTTAATGGGATTGAATGGTGGTTTAATGGGATTTTAAGGGATTTGATAGCTTATTTATGGTATTTAATAAGATTGATGGTAATTGTATCGGCGCTGGCAGGAACAATATACCATTTCATGGCGATATAATGTTATAATGGAATAGTTCACAGGGATCATTGCATGATTAAATGGGATATAAGATATAAGTTAAAGAATGATTGTGTGTATATTTCTAGTGCCCCGTTTGTTGACTAAGGTATTTATATCCCATATAACTATGTAGAGTTTTATGGTGATATATCTATTCTTAAACAGGTTTACAAACCAACATACACAATCGGGGATTACTAAAGGATTATGACTTTATGCGGCCGTAGATGCAGGAATTGTTTTCAGATACCACTACCTGTTCTTATGACTATAGTCATGGTGTGGATCTTGGCATCCTCAAGCTGACCAGGGATGATTGGTTGCAAAGATATCCCACTCAGAATCCTTGTTTTGTAACATGATAGTTTGACATGGCTGAGTATGGGTCAGAATTAAAGGTGTGGGTGGTAAGAAGGTTCCCGTAGCGTACCTACCCATTTTGGGCAGCGTATTGTCCCTTCAGCTAGTTTCCAGAAGTTTTCTGGAACCAGTCATCGACGGACCCATTTGTTGTTTGGTTTGCAGTGCCGGTCCAGAAAACAATAAGAGTAAAAAAAACAATAACGAGCTTATACATGTACATGTTCATGAAGCCTGAAGATGGCAACCTGCACAGGCCTCCAAAAAAAATGCTAAACGATAACAAAAACGATAACGAAGTGTGAAAAAAGCGCGAGCGTTTGGGCGGATATACACCTTTCGAAGACCTGTATCTTTGATACATAGCGACGGAAAATGAAAGGACATGAAAGCAAAATGAAAGGAACATGAGAGGAAATGAATGCAAAATGAACGGCGATGAAAGGAAATGAAAACAAAAGATGACATCTGTTGACTCTCGACCAAGGATGCTTTCACACCCGCAGAAAGCTGGAAAAATCACACTTATTGTCTACAGGGAGCTCACCACCTGAGAAAACGATAAGAGTAAAAAACAAAACGATAACGTGATTTTGGGTCATTTAAAAATTAAAAAGATACCGGGTTTCTAAACAACCCCATTTGGCAAGCAAATCCTTCATGTCGAGACACCTCCAAATGTCATGTTCTTCATTCTTGATCACAGATCCAAATATGGGGTTTCCATAAATGGTGGTACCCCCATAGCTGGATGGTGACTATTTCATTCCCAATCTAATAGCTGGATGATAACTAGGGGTACCCCCCATGGATTGGAAACCTCCATATATATATATATGTGTAATATACATAGTATCTAATATGGATATATTTATACATAGTCTATATGTGTGTTAAACAATTTCAAAAATTTGGCCCCACCTGCTGATGGTCTCTGGATTTTACCGGTGCAACTCCCCCATCTGATTGGGTCTGCGGGGATCACTCGAGGTTTTCTGTACTTAAAATAATAGACCTTAAACATAGATACCTGTATCATGAAATATGTATTTATGTAGATTAATTTACATCTATATAATATATATATATTATGTATATGTAGAGTGTATATATATATGCACTAATTCACCTTAAACATAGATACCTGCATCGTGAAATATGCATTTATGTAGATTAATTTACATATATATATATATATGTATTATGTATATGTAGATTATATATATATAATATACATATCTCCACTATATCCCCCACCATTGCCACCACGAACTGTTCAAACCCATGAAGCAATCACCCTGAAATTCCATGGAACAACTCCATCAACTCATCACTACTCCTTAGATTTTCACAAAGTCACCATGAAGAAATCTCATTTAAAAAACACGGGGGTCCCCCCAGTGATGTTGGTTGGTTTATAAACCCCATGAACTATAGTTATAAGTACCATAAACCATAGTTATTGGAGTTATTTGCACCAACTTAGCTATCTTGGGGGCACGACCTTGCAGGTTACGTGCGGATTTGCAGCGTCAGTTCCAGCAGTTGCTGGCCCTCGGATGGTTGGGCCGCGCCTATCAATTCCTACCGCAACTGGTGACGGCCGTGCTGCCGAAGGTTTTTGACTTCGAGGCCTACGATGCAACGAAGGCGGTGCGACAAGAGGACGGGGCTTGGGGATTTTTTGGGGTGAGTTCAGGAAGGAAAAATGGTCGTTTAATAGTGATTGAATGGCTAGTTGTATGGGATTTAATGGGATTTAATGCTGATTGAATGGGAAGCAATGGGATTAATGGACTTTGAACTCGGATTTACTGGGATTCAATGAGGATTTGACGATTAATTCAATGGGATTTAATGGGCTAACCTTAGATTGAAGCAAATTATTGGGTAAAAAAACTATTTCTATGGCCATGTTCTATAGTTTTTTGTATGTTTACCAGAGGGTATATTCCATCAATCATTATTACTAACAATTACTGACAATCATTAAATATTATTGCTGATTGGTGGTTTGGAACATTTGGATTATTTTTCCATTCAGTTGGGAATGTCATCATCACAACTGACGAATTCATATTTTTCAGAGGGGTAGGCTCAACCACCAACCTGTTTGGCATTCAATTGGGTTTTGGATACCAGCTTGATATGAATTGACATCAGGATTGAGATTGGTTATGATTTCTTTATGCAAGAGTCATCATTCTCGAGAAATATGGAGATTTCCTACATGGGGGATCCCCAAAATGGATGGTTTATAATGGAACATCTTATTTAAATAGATGATTTAGGGGTACCCCCATTTTAGGAAACCTCCATATGTTCGTATCAGCATATCAAGATCACGGTTTCTCAATCTGTGAGCCTTGAATGGCCTTATCGCTTTATCTAAAGTGGGAAGCCGTAACTTTTCAGGCCAAAAATCATACATGGTGTGAGAATGATGATAAAGTGTCCAAACATTATTTTGGTTAGTACAGGTCATAATCTGGCCGTTGACATCGATTCCCAAAAGGCGTGGAAATTCGGAGGCAGAAAATGGGAGGTGCACATGTCCATATTTGTTCGCTGCATATCTAATATCCATTTGATTAGGATATTTCAATGCCTAATCCAATGGATATTAGATATCCTAATATCAGGCATCCAATGGATAATATAACTGGTTGGTGGTTTGGAACATTTGTAATTTTCCATAATATATGGGATGATCCTTCCCATTGACCAATATTTTTCAAGATGGTTGAAAACACCAACCAGATAATAATTATTAGATATCCATTTTATTGTTCTAGTATCAGTTGCAAAGCGACTTAAGTGACTTAGATCATCCTTTGTTACGATCATCCACACGTGGTGCCCCAAAAAAATGCTGGGGATACACTGGGAAGTGATTGAGGTGATTTCATGGGATGTTGATTTTATGGAACTTAAGATTAACCATATGTTGGGTAGCTATTATAAACCTAGGTAACTATACTGGTTGGTGGTTTGGAACATTTGGATTATTTTCCCATAGATTGGGAATAATCATCCCAACTGATTTTCATATTTTTCAGAGGGGTTGAAGCCACCAACCAGTACAGTATATATCTACCAGAAACCCAACAGTTCATCTATAATAGTAACCCACAAAAAAGATGCCCAAAAGTGTGCCGGCAAGGATGGTATAGATGATATTGAGCACATATGTCCTCGTGTATTTCTCATTTTTGGGCATCTTTTCGACATCAGATTTTCTATGTCCTGCCTGCCTAACCATGGTGCCCTTGCTATGTCGCTTCCAGGATGGGACGGTTGAAATCACCTTGAAGGAAAGCAGTATCCTGGCGCGTGGCTTACCTTTCCATTTCAGGCCAGGATGGCCGATGTTCCCAATGGAGAAATCCACTACAAGTCGGGGGGCTCCCGGTCGATAGCTAAGTTGATGAACATAAGTCCAATAACTATGGCTTATGGTACTTAAACCTATAGTTAATAGGGTTTATAAACTAATTTATAACTAGAGGTCCCCACATTGTAGGACTGGGGAATCTTTTTTGAGATATCTTTGGGTTGCTTAAAGCAAATCCAGTTGCAAGTGTAAGGCCTTAATATGTATGAGAAACTGCGCAGCTATGACTGAGAAAGCAAATGATTCTTGGTCGAAATTCCAGATTTGTTGCTTGAAATCACCAGAAAGAAATGCTATGTGGGTCTATACACCCCCCACTCTTCAAATATTGCTATTCTCCCCAGGCTTGAGACCTCCGATGACTCGCGGGTCACTCCGACTTCCATTTGAACTGCTGTTTGAAAAATGCACAGCTTCAGTTGGTGATCATAGAATCGCATGTCTTGAGCATTAAACAACTTCAGAGGCAATCAGGGAAGAGTTTCTTGGTGAGTTTAACCAGCTATGATTTGTCGAAGAAGCCATGGATGGCTTTTTCCGCTCACGAAAAATACAAGATCACCCTGAGTTATGTGGGTCTGTCCGAATATGTCTGAATAAAGGGTACACTTCTGCTTTGCAGAGCTTGATTTAGAGAAAAGTCACCATAAACACCGAGAATTCACGGATTTTTCCTTGATTTTGAATCTCCAGGTTTTAGTGGAATTTGACCAATTTCTATCTTTTCGGAGGTTGCGATATATCGGCATTGAATAATTCATTCACCATATTTTGTGCTGTTTCATCCTGTTGGCCACATGTTTTGTGGATAACTCAACAATATACGCCATACCTGGCCATACTATACCTCAAATTTGAGATGGTTTTTTGTCACCTATTTCTATGTTAGATTTGAGGATAGTTTATTGTTGTACCTATCACATACTTGTCCCAGAATGTCTCATGAATGCAAATATCCCGAATCTTACCAAATTGGATTTGATATGATTTGATTAGCAACAGAACCAGTTCATTGAATTTTTCCACATGTTTCCATTAATTGTCTACATCTCCGGTACGTTTCTTCACGCTCAGGTCACCTCTGCTTCTTTGTTGCGCATCGGCTGCGACCTCAACGCCCTCGCAGCCGGTGATGCGGTGGAAACGGGGCTGACGGAGGGCCAGGTGTGTGAGTGGATCAAGGACGAGGAGAACAAGAAGGTGCCCAAACAAAAAACGAATCTTGAGGGATTGTAGCCATACAGATCTAGATTGTTCAATTTGTTTGGGCTGTAGGCATACTATAGTGCGTGGAAAAGTTCGTAGCCATAGACAGATCTAGATGTTTGACTTCTTTTTGGAAATTCTTGGGCTTAGACAAGATGGATTTAGCATGATTTATTCCACTAAAAGTTAAACTTGAGTTTGGGATTAACAAACCACCAATGCCCAGAATGGCCGAAAACTGGATAAGCCTTGGCGGAAGACGAAATGAAGTGGGGTTTTGCCTAAGTGACATCAATGGATATTCATTGGCCAATGAAGGTACCAAAAACAGAGCGGAATTTACGGAATATCCTTCGCCATGAAGTGAAATTTCTTTTTATGCGGGGAATGCCAGTACTGGTTGGTGGTTTGGAACATTGTTTATTTTCCCATATATTGGGAATAATCATCCCAACTGACGAACTCATATTTTTCAGAGGGGTAGGCTCAACCACCAACCAGAGTAATATTTGAGTCAACTTTCTACAAGAAGCTGCACAAACGATCGACAAAGAGCTAATTTAATTTATTTTTCTGCACAGGGCAAGTGATTTTTTGTACCTCCAAATGGGATCGTCTAAGCAGCATACATAGGAGATTTCAAGCAAATTGCAGGTCACATCGCTATGGAATGTGATTCGAAGCAACTAACATGAATGGGGATGCAGCACCAAAGAAATAGCTATATGCCAATACTACAGAATCCCAGGGTATCTAACATAGTATATCAATTTATCAAATTATAATTCCATGATATAATGTATGTATTGTATATATTGCGTATGTATATATATATATGTATATATCGCCATAAATTCCCATTAAATCACCGGTGGTTACTTGAATCCCATCAAATTCACCATTGTTCCTTGGTTAAATCACAATTTAAATCACTATTTTGGTATCGATATATGATCTTGATATCTATATACTATACACTATTGTTTTAAGACTATGATCAAATTATGGTTTCATGTTTTTGGTAAGTTAGCATATTATATCCCCATATAATTGTTGATTAGTTAAATTGATCCCATTCAACTCCATTAAATCACCATATGTTCTTATCGTCCAATAAACCCAACTATGTTTTCTTTTTTAAATATGGTGTCTATGATTTGTCATCCCATTATGTCATATTAAATCATGCTTTGATGCAAGTTGGTGTTCTTTTGCATGATATCATGTTATGTTGCTATAACATATCATATCATATCCCAATATAAAGCCCGCAATAGTTTGATAGTTAAATTAATACTGTCCCCATGAAATCCCATGAGAGTGGCCCCCCCAAGTTATGTTTGTTGGTTTATAAGCCCCATGAACTATCATAAACCATATTTATTGGAGATATATGGATACTTATGGATAGAAACTATAGATATATCACCTATAAACATCTATAAACCATAGTGAAATTGGAATTCTGTGGCCCCCAACTGAACTCTATCATAAATCAGCTCTAAATCCCATGAAACCCCATGAATTCCTATGGTTTTCCTCTGATTTTATCGTGGCCACGGTGGCCCCTCCAGGTCCTCGTCTCTGCCCTGGTCACCGCCATCTTCGATCGTCTCTCCCCTGTCGCCGCCGCGTTGGACGCCGACGTATCGCTGCGCAGCACGGGGCCCAGGACGTTTTCGCCAAAAAAGGAGGTCTTCGGGCGCGAAGGGAGCCACTTGGCACAAGTTCTGCGGAAAACTGGTGATTTTTGATGGGATTTTATGGGATTTAATGCTGATTTTCTGGGATTTCATGGAAATGTCATGGACTTTCATGGTGAAAAGTTATGATTTCATGGGATTTCATCAGATTTAAACGAGAGAAATGATAATTTAGTGGAATTCAAACGTTCAAAAATGATGATTTTTTGGGACTTAGCCAAGAAAAACTGCTAACTCAACTGAGTTTTCACCAAGAAGAATTGCAATTGACTTTAATTTGATTGGATTTAACCAACAAAAAGTGGTGATTTAGTGGATTTAAGCAATAGAAGATGTGAATTAATGGGAACTGAATAGCCATCACGATGATTTGATGGGATAAAATGGGGATTCACTGGGATCTCCAAAACCTTAAAATGCCACAATTATACCAGCTACTCTGCCATGTCCATCAGGATTTTGATCTGCCATGTCAGAAAAATATGGCGCCATGACAATGGTGATTTGGCCATGCTGAAAACATCCTGAAAAATCGACAAGAACATGCCAAAAGGCAAGGTGCTTAGATACGAAAACACCAGTAGATGTCCGATGTTTTCGTTGCTTGGTTGAGATCAATAGAGAGGTAAGCCATTTTTTAAACAAGCAATACGCACATGATGATAGGGACCTAAACCGGCCCAGCTGCATCCCGGGTAAGCATTGGACGGGCTGCTTTTCCATGCTTTACTCTTTTGCTACAAAGGGGTTGATGTTGTACTAACTAGCAAAGAAGTGACACTTGCAGGGTTTCTATAAGACGTGTAAACATTCAAATTGTTTTACCACTTGTTGGGTCTATGTTTAGCCTGTTTTTGGCAGCTATCTAAGAGTAACCATGGACCAAGATGGTTCGAACCTGCTGAGGTTCGGAAAAGTGGCTTCAATGCATTTGTGGAGCCTTGGAATGGTTGAGATGTGCATCGCCCGGATATTAAAAAAAAACGTGCAAAGATGGAAAATTTAACCCATATTACAACCCTGGTTGGTGGTTTGGAACATGAATGGATGATTTTTCCATTCAGTTGGGAATGTCATCATCCCAACTGACGAAGTCATATTTTTGAGAGGGGTTGAAACCACCAACCAGCCAATATTACAACAATTTTTTGAAGTTACCATGGTCAGTATCAACATTAAAATATTGGTTGAATTCTCAAAAGATGGATACCATGGTCATGGCTTACGGATATTCCGTGGAAGGCATTGAGCCAATCTAGCAACCCAGGTATGGGGTTCGGCGTCGAACTGTGGGGGTCAACCTCTACCTTCATTTAGATGCTGAATGCATCTAAAACAGAATGGGAGCTATGCCTAATGGCCCATTATACAGTTAGTTCATGTTAGTTCATTGGGAATCTAAAAGCCTTTCTAATGGTGTTACCCTCTGGCAAACGTTTACAAAAAACTATGGAAAATCACAATTTTTAATAGGTAAATCAACTATTTCTATGGCCATTTTCAATAGCTATGGCTATGTTTGTTTACCACTGGCTAAGTCCATTTAAGTCTCACATGTTTGCTCCCATCCCATCTTAAATCCCATTAAATCACGATAGTTTTTGATGAAATCCCTGATAACACACACCCATGATTTTCCTCCAAAAACCCAGGCTATTACTTTGCAGCCGCCCAGCTGGAAGACGTTTATTTGGAGGAGGATCCCTCAGCGCGTTTCACCTTTTATTTGGATCCTTTGGAGCCTTTGAACTCGGAGGATCCCACCAAAAATGTGAATCCGGAGGTGGTGTGCTGTCAATTCCTGGAGAAAAAAATGGGGGAGGAATTGGGGTGGGGACTGTCTTGGCAACCTGGGTTGTGTTTGTGTGGAATGGTGCTGAAAGATTTGGCGATGTGAAAACCTGAATGATCCTGAATGCTTGATGGTTTGGAACATTTGGATTATGTTTCCATAATATATTGGGAATATCATCATCCCAACTGACGAAGTCATATTTTTCAGAGGGGTAGGTGTACCACCAACCAGATAATATCATTTATTAATTGTTATTTATTAATGATTATTAATGGTTACCAGTGAATGGTTGGTGGTGGATTCAAATTATTCTGGTTGGTGGTTTCAAAAATGTGTTTGTTTTTCATTTCATATATGGGATATCATCCTTCCCATTGACAAACTCATATTTTTCAAGATGGCTATTGCACCACCAACTAGGCATTGAGATTCATGAACTATAGATTCATCGACCGCCACATTGGTGGGTGATATATTATGATTTCTTTTTTCCATTGGAAGATCATCATATTTCAGTTGACATCGAAATTCCGAATGGGTGAATTTCCACCACACCGCTTCGGGGCCTTCCGCTCGACTCCTGATCTTCCGGGCGATGCCGTCAATGATTCGTTGCAAGGTGGTGCCCCCCTGGCCACAAAAACGCGTTCAGCTGGGGGCCACATAACTTCAATAACTATATGTATATGGATACTATGGTTTATAGATGTTTATAGTAGATAGTTTATATCCATAAATACCAGTATATCTCCAATAACTATAGTAACTATGGTTTATGGTACATATATCTATAGTTAATGGGGTTTATAAACCAACTTATAACTGGGGGGCATCACATTGTAGTAGGTTGAAAAATGTTAAAATTCAAAGGTTATAAAATTATAACCCCCGGTATGAGTGGGCGACTACCCCATCGTGTTGTTGAGCACAAGGTGGTGCCTCCCCAGTTAAAAGTTTGTTAATCAACCCTGACCTCTAGATATCTACCATAAACAAAACCGTTGACCTACAAACTTAGCTCACAAATCAGGACACCACTTCGCAAATATTTTCTCTTACATCACCATGGTTATCCCGATCATATCCCATATGTCAGTGTTCCCCAGAATTTCAGTGGTGAATTCTCCTGGGGCCCCCCCCAAGTTGGATCCCAGAGATGTTGGTCGTAGCTGGCTTCTTGATGGGTAAATCAATCAATGGAAATTCCAGGATCCCAAAATGGAGATACTGTTCTATATAAGGCCATATTTTGGGGGTATATCCCCTTACATAGCCCTTACATAGGCCTTATATATGTTAGGTACCTACAATTTAGGTTCCTGAAATGGCCATTGAATCAATGGCAAATTGGGGGAGTCCAAATCCCATGGAAATCCCATCCATGATCCAATGCCCCCCCAAAAAAATGGTCTGCTTGGTGGTTTGGAACATGAATGGATCATAAATGGTTAATGGAGTAATGATGGTTAATCATGGTTAAGATTGGTTAATAATGGTTAATAATGGTTAATAATCACTGGTTGGTGGTTTCAAACATGAATGGATTATGTTTCCATAAAATATCGGGAATGTCATCATCCCAACTGACGAAATCATATTTTTCAGAGGGGTAGGGCTCAACCACCATCCAGGCATTCACCATAGTATTTCTCATATAAATCTCCCGGGCAAATCCCCCGAAAAATGGTCGCACCATTTCTTGCTTCACCGAGGCGCTGTGAGTTGTCGCCCTTCTTCTGCCCCGCGCCACTGGCCACCAACGCCCACCTGGTACAGCTCGACACGCAGTTCCGCCGCGGTGATGTCGGGGTTGCCTGGTGACGCCTGGGAGACCGAAACAGAAACCATGGAGAGTCGTGGGGCTACCATGGCCTACCTATTAATAATTGCTGATGAAAAACTGGAAGTTCAAGGGATTTTCATAGGATTTCAGGAGGATTTGATTTGGGAAACCAGATGAAACCAGTGATTTAGTGCGATAGAAGGGGATGAATTGTCACTATCAGATTGTTCATGGGATTGATTGGGTTTTGACAATCAACATAGGTAATGGTGATTGTTTTGTTCGTGATTTAAGCAGCAGAAATTGGGTCAACGGTAAACCAAAGATAGGGGCTGGATGTAGTGGGGATCAGATGCCTACTATTGGATTGTGGATTAGATGCCAACAAAAGTGGCGATTTTCCACCAGATAGCTCGCAAGCTATAGGGGTTCTTACTTCTCAAAGGTGAGGTCTTCGGTGGCGAACTTTTGAGCCATGGTGCTGTGCAGGGTGCTGTCCAGACTGCGGTGGCGAAGTCTGGCAAAGGTGCTGTGCAGGGTGCTGTGCAGGGTGCTGTGCAGGGTGCTGTCCAGACTGCGGTGGCGAAGTCTGGCAAAAAGTGTGCAGGGTGCTGTGCAGGGTGCCAGACTGCGGTGGCGAAGTCTGGCAAAGGTGCTGTGCAGGGTGCTGTGCAGGGTGTCTCGAAGTGGCAGGGTGTTGTGCTGTGCAGACCGCGGTGGCGAAGTCAGGCTGTGCAAGGGTCTGGCGAAGTCTGGCAAAGGTGCTGTGCAGGGTGCTGTGCAGGGTGCTGTCCAGACTGCGGTGGTAGTCTGCAAAGGTGCTGTGCAGGGTGCTCTGCAGGGTGTTGTCCAGACTGCGGTGGCGAAGTCTGGCAAAGGTGCTGTGCAGGGTGCTGTGCGGGATGCTGTGCAGGGCTGTCCAGACCGCGGTGGCGAAGTCAGGGAAAGGTGCTGTGCAGGGTGCTGTGCAGGGTGCTGTCCAGCGGTGGCGAAGTCTGGCAAAGGTGCTGCGCAGTGCTGTGCAGGGTGCTGTGCAGGGTGCTGTCCAGACTGCGGTGGCGAAGTCTGGCAAAGGTGCTGTGCAGGGTGCTGTGCAGGGTGCTGTGCAGGGTGCTGTACTAGTGCTGTTGGTGAAGTCTGGCAAAGGTGCTGTGCAGGGTGCTGTGCAGAGTGCTGTTCAGTCTGTTTGGCAAAGGTGCTGTGCAGGGTGCTGTGTAGAGTGCTGTTCAGACTGCAGTGGCGAAGTCTGGCAAAGGTGCTGTGCAGGGTGCTGTGCAGAGTGCTGTTCAGACTGCAGTGGCGAAGTCTGGCAAAGGTGCTTTGCAGGGTGCTGTGCAGGGTGCTGTCCTGACTGCGGCGGCGAAGTCTGGCAAAATTGCTGTGCAGGGTGCTGTGCAGGGTGCTGTGCAGGGTGCTGTCCAGACTGCAGTGGCGAAGTCTGGGAAAGGTGCTGTGCAGGGTGCTGTGCAGGGTGCTGTGCAGCGAGGTGCTGCGCAGGGCAGGGTGCTGTCCAGACTGCGGTGGCGAAGTGTGGCAAAGGTGTTGTGCAGGGTGCTGTGCAAGGTGTTGTCCAGACTGCGGTGGCGAAGTCTGGCAAAGGTGCTGTGGAGGGTGCTGTGCAGGGTGCTCTGCAGGGTGTTGTCCAGAGTGCGGTGGCGAAGTCTGGCAAAGGTGCTGTGCAGGGTGCTGTGCAGGGTGCTGTGCCTGTCCAGACTGCGGTGGCGAAGTCTGGCAAAGGTGCTGTGCAGGGTGCTGTTCCAGACTGCGGTGGCGAAGTCTGGCAAAGGTGCTGTGCAGGGTGCTGCTGTGCAGGGTGCTGTCCAGACTGCGGTGGCGAAGTCTGGCAAAGGTGCTGTGCAGGGTGCTGTGCAGGGTGCTGTGCAGGGTGCTGTGCAGGGTGCTGTCCAGACTGCAGTGGCGAAGTCTTGCAAAGGTGCTGTGCAGGGTGCTGTGCATGGTGCTGTGCAGGGTGCTGTACTAGTGCGTTGGCGAAGTCTGGCAAAGGTGCTGTGCAGGGTGCTGTGCAGAGTGCTGTTCAGTGTGTTTGGCAAAGGTGCTGTGCAGGGTGCTGTGTAGAGTGCTGTTCAGACTGCAGTGGCGAAGTCTGGCAAAGGTGCTGTGCAGGGTGCTGTGCAGAGTGCTGTTCAGACTGCAGTGGCGAAGTCTGGCAAAGGTGCTTTGCAGGGTGCTGTGCAGGGTGCTGTCCTGACTGCGGCGGCGAAGTCTGGCAAAATTGCTGTGCAGGGTGCTGTGCAGGGTGCTGTGCAGGGTGCTGTCCAGACTGCAGTGGCGAAGTCTGGGAAAGGTGCTGTGCAGGGTGCTGTGCAGGGTGCTGTGCAGCGAGGTGCTGCGCAGGGCAGGGTGCTGTCCAGACTGCGGTGGCGAAGTGTGGCAAAGGTGTTGTGCAGGGTGCTGTGCAAGGTGTTGTCCAGACTGCGGTGGCGAAGTCTGGCAAAGGTGCTGTGGAGGGTGCTGTGCAGGGTGCTCTGCAGGGTGTTGTCCAGAGTGCGGTGGCGAAGTCTGGCAAAGGTGCTGTGCAGGGTGCTGTGCAGGGTGCTGTCCAGACTGCGGTGGCGAAGTCTGGGAAAGGTGCTGTGCAGGGTGCTGTGCAGGGTGCTGTTCAGACTGCAGTGGCGAAGTCTGGCAAAGGTGCTGTGCAGGGTGCTGTGCAGGGTGCTGTGCAGGATGCTGTGCAGGGTGCTGTGCAGGGTGCTGTGCAGGGTGCTGTCCAGACTGCAGTGGCGAAGTCTGGCAAAGGTGCTGTGCAGGGTGAAGTCTGGCAAAGGTGCTGTGCAGGGTGCTGTGCAGGGTGCTGTCCAGACTGCGGTGGCGAAGTCTGGCAAAGGTGCTGTGCAGGGTGCTGCGCAGGGTGCTGTGCAGGGGGCTGTGCTGTGCAGGGTGCTGTGCAGGGTGTTGTCCAGACTGCAGTGGCGAAGTCTGGCAAAGGTGCTGCTGTGCAGAGTGCTGTTCAGACTGCAGTGGCGAAGTCTGGCAAAGGTGCTTTGCAGGGTGCTGTGCAAGGTGCTGTGCAGGGTGCTGTGCAGGATGTTGTCCAGATTGCAGTGGCGAAGTCTGGCAAAATTGCTGTGCAGGGTGCTGTGCAGGGAGCTGTAGTGGCGAAGTCTAGCAAAGGTGCTGTGCAGGGTGCTGTGCAGGGTGCTGTGCAGTGTGCTGTCCAGGCTGCAGTGGCGAAGTCTGGCAAAGGTGCTGTGCAGGGTGCTGTGCAGGGTGCTGCAGGGTGCTGCGCAGGGTGCTGCGCAGGGTGCTGTGCAGGGTCCTGTGCAGGGTGTTGTCGAGACTGCGGTGGCGAAGTCTGGCAAAGGTGCTGTGCAGGGTGCTGTGCAGGGTGCTCTGCAAGGTACTGTGCAGGGTGCTGTGCAGGGTGCTGTGCAGGGTGTTGTCCAGACTGCGGTGGCGAAGTCTGGCAAAGGTGCTGTGCAGGGTACTGTGAAGGGTGCTGCGAAAGGTGCTGTGCAGGGTGCTGTGCAGCGTGCTGTGCTTTGGTTCCAGCGTTGGTAACCATCAGTTCCAACCTTTAGGTCCAGGAACTGGAAGTTCTTTGCAATGGTAACCTATGGTTCCCAGGTTGGGAAGCATGAGTTCCAACTTCTGGTAACCGGCAGTTGCTTGCAATGGTAACCCATGGTTCCCAGGTTGGGAACAATGACTGCTAACCTCTGGGAACCGGCAGTTCCTTGCAATGGTAACCTGGTGTTCCCACGTTGGCAACAGTGAGTTCCAACCTTTGGGAACCGGCAGTTCCTTGCCATGAACCAAACGCAAACATTCCGGTACCGGTCCATTAAGCAAAACAAAGCGTTCTTTACCGGTCCATTAAGCAAAACCATAAAGTTGTAAAGAAAATGTTTTCATATCATTTTAACATGCACCTTTTTCGTGCAAAAACATTTTTATGCCGGCCCAACAGCCAAACGCAAACATTCCGCTACCGGTCCATGAAGCAAAACAAAAGGTTCTGTTACCGGCTCAGTAAACGAAACAAAACAACATTAAGAACCATGAGTTCTAACTTTTTGCAATCAACAGATCCTTCCACTCGTAACGTTACTTTTTCAAGCTTGGAACCATGAGTTTCAAGCTTTGGGAACCCGCAGTTCCTTACAATGAAAGCCGCTTAGCTTCGAAAACATAAATTCTAACTTCTGGGAACCGGCAATTCTTTGCAATGGTAACCTCTGGTTCCCAGGTTGGGAACCGTAAGTTTCAAGGTCTGGGAACCGGCAGTTCCTTGCCATGGTAACCTTTGGTTCCCACGTTGGGAACCATCAGTTCCAACCTTTAGGATGGAAGTTCTTTGCAATGGTAACCTATGGTTCCCAGGTTGGGAGGCATGAGTTCCAACCTCTGGGAACCGGCAGTTGCTTGCAATGGTAACCTCTGGTTCCCAGGTTGGGAACAATGACTGCTAACCTCTGGGAACCGGCAGTTCCTTGCAATGGTAACCTGTGGTTCCCACGTTGGCAACAGTGAGTTCCAACCTTTGGGAACCGGCAGTTCCTTGCCATGAACCAAACGCAAACATTCCGGTAGCGGTCCATTAAGCAAAACAAAGCGTTCTTTACCGGTCCATTAAGCAAAACCATAAAGTTGTAAAGAAAATGTTTTCATATCATTTTAACATGCACCTTTTTCGTGCAAAAACATTTTTATGCCGGCCCGGCAGCCGAACGCAAACATTCCGCTACCGGTCCATTAAGCAAAACAAAAGGTTCTGTTACCGGCTCAGTAAACAAAACAAAACAACATTAGGAACCATGAGTTCTAACTTTTTGGAATCAACAGATCCTTCCACTGATAACATATGCTTTTTCAGGTTTGGAACCATGAGTTTCAAGCTTTCGGAACCGGCAATTCCTTACAATGATAGTTGCTTAGCTTCGAAAAAAATTACTTTACTTCGTGTGATCCCCACCATGACATTTATACATTTTCTTACTGGCAAATCTTCTGGCATTCTATCTGACATATCTTCTGACATTCTATTTGACATTCTATCTGGCATATCTTCTGGCAAATGATCTGGCATATCTTCTGGCATATCTTCTGGCATTCTATCTGGCAAATCTTCTGGCATTCTATCTGGCATATCTTCTGGCATTCTATCTGACATATCTTCTGGCATTCTATCTGGCATTCTTCTGGCATATATATCTGACATATCTTCTGGCATTCTATCTGACATTCTTCTGGCATATATTCTGACATATCTTCTGGCATATCTTCTGGCATATCTTCTGGCATATCTTCTGACATATCTATCTGGCATATCTTCTGGCATATTTTCTGGCATTCTATCTGGCAAATCTTCTGGCATTCTATCTGGCATTCTATCTGGCATATCTTCTGGCATATTATCTGGCATTCTATCTGGCATATCTTCTGGCATATATTCTGACATATCTTCTGGCATTCTATCTGGCATTCTATTTGGCATTCTATCTGGCATATCTTCTGGCATATCTTCTGACATTCTTTCTGACATTCTTTCTAACTTTCTTCTGCACATTCTTTGTCCCATATCTTCCTACATGAGGTCCGGCAGGGAACACTTGGCGTGGATACTCGCGGTTGAGGTCCGGCAGGGAACACTGGGCGTGGATGGTCGTGGTTGAGGTCCGGCAGGGAACACTGGGCGAGGATGGTCGTGGTTGAGGTCCGGCAGGGAACATTGGGCGTGGATGGTCGTGGTTGAGGTCCGGCAGGGAATACTGGGCGTGGATGGTCGTGGTTGAGGTCCGGCAGAGAACACTGTGGATCGCGGGTCGCAGTTGAGCAAGGACGACGAGGACGAGGAGGACGAGGAGGAGGAGGACGAGGCAGGAGGAGGCGGAGGAGGAGGAGGAGCAGGAGGAGGAGGAGCAGGAGGAGCAGGAGGAGGAGGAGGCAACTGACATAAAATCTAACAACCCTCACCTGGCAGGTGGGGAAAAAGTTCTAACCTCTGGGAACCGGCAATTCCTTGCAATGGTTCCCAGGTTGGGAACCGTAAGTTTCAAGGTCTGGGAACCGGCAGTTCCTTGCCATGGTAACCTTTGGTTCCCACGTTGGGAACCATCAGTTCCAACCTTTAGGATGGAAGTTCTTTGCAATGGTAACCTATGGTTCCCAGGTTGGGAAGCATGAGTTCCAACCTCTGGTAACCGGCAGTTACTTGCAATGGTAACCTCTGGTTCCCAGGTTGGGAACCATGCGTTCCAACCTCTGGGAACCGGCAGTTCCTTGCAATGGTAACCTGTGGTTCCCATGTTGGCAACCGTGAGTTCCAACCTTTGACACCGGCAGTTCCTTGCCATGAACGAAACGCAAACATTCCGGTACCGGTCCATTAAGCAAAACAAAGCGTTCTGTACAGGTCCATTAAGCAAAACTAAAGGTTCTGTTACCGGCTCAGTAAACAAAACAAAACAACATTGAGAACCATGAGTTCTAGCTTTTTGCAATCAACAGACCCTTCCACTGGTAACGTTACTTTTACAGGCTTGGAACCATGAGTTTCAAGCTTTGGGAATCCGCAGTTCCTTACAATGATAGCCGCTTAGCTTCGAAAACATAAATTCTAACTTCTGGGAACCGGCAATTCCTTGCAATAGTAACCTCTGGTTCCCAGGTTGGGAACCGTAAGTTTCAAGGTCTGGGAACCGGCAGCTCATTGCCATGGTAACCTTTGGTTCCCACGTTGGGAACCATCAGTTCCAACCTTTAGGAATTGAAAGTTCTTTGCAATGGTAACCTATGCTTCCCAGGTTGGGAAGCATGAGTTCCAACCTCTGGTAACCGGCAGTTGCTTGCAATGGTAACCTCTGGTTCCCAGGTTGGGAACCATGCGTTCTAACCTCTGGGAACCGGCAGTTCCTTGCAATGGTAACCTGTGGTTCCCACGTTGGCAACAGTGAGTTCCAACCTTTGGGAACCGGCAGTTCCTTGCCATGAACCAAACGCAAACATTCCGGTACCGGTCCATTAAGCAAAACAAAGCGTTCTTTACCGGTCCATTAAGCAAAACCATAAAGTTGTAAAGAAAATGTTTTCATATCATTTTGACATGCACCTTTTTCGTGCAAAAACATTTTTATGCCGGCCCGGCAGCCGAACGCAAACATTTCGCTACCGGTCCATTAAGCAAAACAAAAGGTTCTGTTACCGGCTCAGTAAACAAAACAAAACAACATTAGGAACCATGAGTTCTAACTTTTTGGAATCAACAGATCCTTCCACTCGTAACGTTACTTTTTCAAGCTTGGAACCATGAGTTTCAAGCTTTGGGAACCCAGAGTTCCTTACAATGAAAGCCGCTTAGCTTCGAAAAAATAAATTCTAACTTCTGGGAACCGGCAATTCCTTGCAATGGTAACCTCCCTTTCCCAGGTTGGGAACCATGCGTTCCAACCTCTGGGAACCGGCAGTTCCTTGCAATGGTAACCTGTGGTTCCCCTGTTGGCAACAGTGAGTTCCAACCTTTGGGAACCGGCAGTTCCTTGCCATGAACCAAGCGCAAACATTCCGGTACCGGTCCATTAAGCAAAACAAAGCGTTCTTTACCGGTCCATTAAGCAAAACCATAAAGTTGTAAAGAAAATGTTTTCATATCATTTTAACATGCACCTTTTTCGTGCAAAAACATTTTTATGCCGGCCCAGCAGCCGAACGCAAACATTCCGCTACCGGCCCATTAAGCAAAACAAAAGGTTCTGTTACCGGCTCAGTAAACAAAACAAAACAACATTAAGAACCATGAGTTCTAACTTTTTGGAATCAACAGATCCTTCCACTGATAACGTATGCTTTTTCAGGTTTGGAACCATGAGTTTCAAGCTTTGGCAACCGGCAATTCCTTGCAATGATAGTTGCTTAGCTTGGAAAACATAAATTCTAACTTCTGGGAACCGGCAATTCCTTGCAATGGTAACCTCTGGTTCCCAGGTTGGGAACCGTAAGTTTCAAGGTCTGGGAACCGGCAGTTCCTTGCCATGGTAACCTTTGGTTCCCACGTTGGGAACCATCAGTTCCAACCTTTAGGATGGAAGTTCTTTGCAATGGTAACCTATGCTTCCCAGGTTGGGAAGCATGAGTTCCAACCTCTGGGAACCGGCAGTTGCTTGCAATGGTAACCTCTGGTTCCCAGGTTGGGAACAATGACTTCAAACCTGTGGGAGCCGGCAGTTCCTTGCAATGGTAACCTGTGGTTCCCATGTTGGCAACCGTGAGTTCCCATCTTTGGGAACCGGCAGTTCCTTGCCATGAACCAAACGCAAACATTCCGGTACCGGTCCATTAAGCAAAACAAAGCGTTCAACCGGCAGTTCCTTGCCATGGTAACCTTTGGTTCCCACGTTGGGAACCATCAGTTCCAACCTTTTCTATCTGGGGTCTATGCCGGTGTAATTTTAATTTATTTTTGGCACTAAGATGCCATGGAACCCGCATCTATCTTTCACGTAATCCCTTGATTAGAGTGGATTAGATCCCAAAAATTGTGATATCATGGGATCTGATGAGAATAATGGGGCGTAAATGATAATGACTTCACGTCGCGGCATCATTGGAAATATTGTTTGAAGGGAGGAGTATCCCAAAAATAACCGAACTTTTCATGAATGGCCATTTCAGGAACCGGTTTATTGGAGGTACCTACCATATATTTTTGGCATATTTTTCCGGCCTAAATTTCAGGAAATATCCCCACAAAATATTACCAACAATATGGTACTAACGTACCTCCATTTTAGGATCTTGAAATTAGTGGTATAGCTACACTCTGGTTATTTAAGATAGCCATGGAAAATTACCCATTTATAGATGGTTTCTGATGATTTACCCGTTAAAAATGATTGATGAATTACTGCAATTTATCCCAGACTTTGGCCCGAATGCCTAGCAGGGGTAAGCCTGTGTCAGCAGAAAAGCGGGATTTCGTTTCCTATTGCCATGGAATCGCACTTGTTTGGATCCCCTAAGCCACAGCCGGGCGATTTCTTCACTGGAGTGTTGCATGTCTCCGAACATGCTGATATGAATCCAATTTCATTGAATCCCATTGAATTCATTTAAACTACATTTAGATCCCATTAAATTCCATGTAAATCTGGTTCAATCCCCCTTAAATGCCATGAATCCTATATAACTTGACAATTTAGCAGACATTTTCATATCCTCGGTCCCCCTTTACCGCGTCTTTTTCGAGGTGGTAAACCTGGAATGCCACACAGGCGGCACCGGGTGAGCCTGGAGAGTGGCTGTTTTCATAGTTCCCATGTGGGATTTTATGGTGGGATTCAAGGATTTAACTTCTGGTAATTTGTGACCGTTTGCGACATAGAAAATGGCCATAGAAATAGTGGATTCACCCATGAAAAATGGTGATTTTCCATAGTTTTTTGTTTGTTTACCAGAGGGTAATGGGGAAGAATGGTGACTTCATGGGATTTGATTGGGATCAAAAAAATGGTGTCTTGGGATTTCACAGTGTTTTTCTGATTTCGCGGAGGTTGGAATGATTTCTGACGGGATTTCATGGGATTTAAGCAACAATAATATGGATTTAAGCAATTTCATGGTCATTTTCCACGGGAATCCCATGTGATATGAAGAAACACCAAGGCAGTGGGTTCAACCAGCCAGGTCACGTTGCATCATTCCAACCGGGGAAAATACGGTATACCCGGGGATGATTTCAATGGTAAGTTCAACTGGAATGATGGTGCCCTCCAGTGATGTTAGCTGGTTTACAAACCCCATTAACTAGTTCGATATATCTACCATAAGTCCTAGTTATTAGAGTTATAAACCAACTTAGCTATCTTTGGGGCACCACATTGTGGAATGATGGTTAGGATTGGGGAAACAATAGGGAAATCATCCTCAAATGGCCGCAAGTTTCAGGTCAGTGAAATATTATAATTTACCCAGAATAGTGATGGATCCTAAAATGGAGGTACTGTACCATATAAGGCCATATTTTGTGGTGATATTCCCTGAAATTTGGGCTTGAAAAATAGGGCTTATATATGGTAGGTACCTCCAATTTGGGTTCTTGAGATGGCCAGTGATGATTTATTATTGTGTTTACCACATCAATGGGAATAGAATGGCAATATAATGGGCTATAACAATTATATTTTTTACCACATCAATGGGAATAGAATGGCAATATAATGGGCTATAACAATTATATTTGTTTACCACATCAATGGGAATATAATGATTCCTATTATTATTATTGTTATTTATTACCGGCGTCAATATCTGAGGCCCGCTCAGCGCCACCAACACCAAACGAGGTGGCAAAGCCACAAGTGCCTGCTAAGCCTGCTAAGCGATCAGCAGAGCCAGAAGCACCAACTCCAGTGAAGCGGCAGCTGCCAGAGGAGAGGCCACAGCTGCGTGCGCTGTGCGAGAAGATGCTCCTGGCAGGGCCAACGGAGCGACGCATACGGTTTTCGACTTGTTGGTCCGTATTTACTAGCAGCTGTCTGAGGTTCTAGGGGAAACCCCTATTGATCTTTGCGTCTATCAGGCGATTATGCAGCTGTCTGGTCAAGAACCAGCTCAAAGACCGCCCAAGCCCAGAGGTGGTCAGTGCCACGGGCCACCAGCAGTGAAGCCACTTGCTGCACAGGCAGTGGCACCAGTGGCAGAACCTGCTGCAGTGATGGAGCCACCTGCGGGACAGCCAGAACCTGGAATAACTTCGCTTTGAAGCTTGCAGCTAGACAGATAGATAGATAGATAGACAGATAGATAGATAGAGTTCAGCAAAGTGCATGCCAAGGTTTTCGAGGAAGTCAAGGATTTCAAGGTTGCACAGGCTGTGGAGTTTAGGAACTGCATGTTCAGGTCAAGGCTGTGGTCAGGGAATGCCATGTGTTTCAGGTCAAGGACAGAACTTGAGTCAAGGTCTGTCAGATAGGCCCTTGGTCTCGTTTGGAGCCTTGCACCAGAGCCTACTGTTCCTCCTCCACAGCCAGCACCACCGAGAGGTCTCACACCAGCGACTCAGGCCTTCGCGTTGGGAGCGCGTCTGTACTCATTGATCTGACCGGCATGAACTAGCATCAAGAAAGGCGCGGCAGCTGACGAGCATTTTAGACTTTTGGGGAGTGGCTGGAACATGCTGCAATCATCAGTGAGACGTCGGCATGGCTATTGCGAGATACTGCGAGTACTGATGTCACTCGTAAATCCAAAAGCATCCAAAAGGATTTAAAACATCTAAGCTGTCAGTAGTGATTGTGTCAGTACTGGATAGATAGATAGACAGACAGACAGATAGACAGATAGATAGACAGAAAGATAGATTAGATAGATAGATAGGATTAGATTAGATTAGATTAGATTAGATTAGATAGATAGATAGATAGGTAGATAGATATATAGATAGATAGATTTAGATAGATAGATAAGTAAGATAGATAGGTAGATAGATGGATAGATAGATAGATAGATTAGATAGATATAGATATAGATATAGATATAGATATAGATATAGATATAGATAGATAGATAGATATAGATATAGATATAGATATAGATAGATAGAGATAGATAGATAGATAGATCGATATAGATAGATAGATAGATAGATAGATAGATAGATAGATAGGTAGATAGATGGATAGATAGATAGATAGACAGATAGATAGATAGATAGATAGACAACAACAAATACAAACGCAAAAATACTACGCTAAATTACACTGCACGAGTTACACTACACTACACTAGTTGCATCTAATTACGCTGCACTACGCAGATTACATTACATTTACAACTACAGCAGCAACCACCACAACAACAACAACTACTACTACTACTACTACTACTGCCACCACCACAGCTACAACTACACTACACTAATTACACTGCAGTACACTACAACTACAAATACAACTACAACCGCACTACATTACACAACACTACACTACACTAATTACACCGCATTACAATTACAACTCCGCTACACTACACTACAACTACAGCTACAACTGCACTACACCACACTACATCCAGCAGCTGTTGTGTGGTGACCACTGCAACCATTGCAGTCCAGAAAACACAGCTCCAACCACCTTTCGGTCCATCAGTGGATCCGCTCTGCCATCCGTGATTCACAACAACGAACCTCTCCTATAGGCTTCCTATTTTTGAAACTTCCGCCACCGCCTTGTGCGGCACTAAGCCTGAATTCTGCGAGACTTCCTCAATTTTTGAACTTGACAGCATCAAAAATGAAGCAATTCTGCAAGAGTTCCTCAATTTTGGAAGTTGACAAAATCAAAAACGAAGCAATTCTGCAAGACACCCTTCAAAAATGGACAGTTGAGTGCAGAGCTGACGGGTGCCTCCAAATGGACCAGACAGGAGAGGAGCATGGACAAGGAAAAGAGGCGCAGACACACAGGATCACTCCACATCCAGGATGTTGAATGTCACCTCCGGTTGACAAGCGAGCTCTCCCTTCACTGGATTGGCGATTCCTTGCGGTGGTTGCAACCTCTTGACCATTTATACGTGTTCATAGAGTGATCTTGCACAGGATTGGTTGCCCTTTGGTAAACTAGCATAGCTTTGGAACATATCATTTTTGAATAGGAGTTAACCATGTCCAGCCTGCTATGTATAGCTGAAAAACCAGAGGTTATCATTTTCGACTTGGTGATTTACCCAATTAACAAGTGTAAGTACTACCCACCCAAAATTTTGGGCATATCACCAGTGTCATGACACTGGAAAATCAGGAAATGATGCCTTAGGTGGTGCCCCCGGGAGATAGAGTTCAGTTGGGGGCCACACAACTCCAATTTCACTATGGTTTTTGTTGCTGATATATATATATGTATCTATCTATAGTTTATATCCATAGATATCCATATATCTGGGTAAAATATAGTGACCTCACTATAGTTAATGGGTTTATAACTAATTTATAACTTGGGGGCACCACCTTTCAAGATAAGGTTTGAATCAGTGGAATGGCTGATGGGAAAATCAATCAACAGGAAACCGGAGTTTTACCATCCAAATACGTCCTGTGATTGTAAATATGTTTGCCCTTAACAAAATCTGAGTCTGAATATTCTTTATTTTTGGATTTTGGCCCATACACAACATTCACAACATTTCGTGCAATGTATGGTGCCACCCAGTTACAAGTTGGTTTAGTTCCACCCAACCAACTATAGACCTATGTACCATGTAAACCCAACAGTCAAGTGACTTATTTCAACCAACTTAGTTAAGGAACTGGGACAGTGGGGTTTGAACCTTTTTTTTGATGGATAGTGGGTGAAACCCCAACAAATCCCAACAAGATGACGTGTCCAAAAAAATCTATCATGAAACCTCCATGATGTCATGTTTCAGGGGATCTTTCGCAAACTTGTTGAGTCGATAAAGGAAACAAAAAAGTGGGGGGTTGAAACAATCGACTTTAGATATATCATGATATATCATGAGTTTCTGTTGTATACCCATGGTTGTATTTCCACATCAAAGTACCATTTTTATGTCTCAATCATATCGCCATTATATTCCATTAAATCACCGTGTTTGTTGGTTAAATCCCAATTTTTCTGCGTTCAATCCCACAAAATCCCGTCAGAAATCACCATGTTTATAAGTTAATCCCGCAATGTGGGACCCCCAAACGATACCTAAGTTGGTGCAAATAACTCCAATAACTCTGGTACTTATAGCTATACTTACTGGGGCTCATAATCTAATTTATTACTGGGGGGCCCCACATTGCTGAATCCCCCATGAAAAAATCACCATTTTTTTCGGTTGAAATCTCCGCGCGGCAGGTTTCACCTATTTGGAAGGGGACCTGCAGATCTATTGCAACGTCAGCGATGACCACGATGGAGGCGGCTGGATCCTTCTGGAGTTTTTTTTTTTTCGTAGCTATGGTATAGATTAGATGAACCAAAGACTATTCATGATGATGTACCTCTCAAAAATTGTGATTTTCAATGATATTAACATATATTAACCATTTTGAGCGGGGATTAAGAGTGATTTTCGATGGGGCACGCGGCCGCGGTTCAGGCAGCAATCGCCCAAGGAATGGCGCCACCGGCAGCCCCGGCGCCGATTCTGTTCCCGATACCAGCTGCACCAAACGACAGGGACGCGGCCCTAATTGGATTCATCAATGATCAGCTGTCCCAAGGATGCTTGGAAGAGCATGTCTGAGCTTGCACAGGGTGTCTCCTTCATCCGTCATTCCCAACAATGAGATCTTGAGCATCAATCCTGATGCACAAGACAGTGAGAGGTTTGAGGGCTTCCGCATTTGTGCAGCCACGCGGGCTGCTCAGCGTGGCCCCAATGCAACCATGGCTTTGTACCAGCAGCTGCTCACCACTGCCAAGCCTTTTGCGCAGCCCACGCCTTTGCTGAAGGAGTCGGATGAGGCCTTGATAGTGGACATCAATGTGCACTCAGGTGACCACGCTCTAGCCAGCGTCATGCTCATGAATGAGGGCTTCAACATCAAGCATGTGCTTCTCAAATGCAAGAACAAAACTTCCGTTGCATCTGTGGAGTTTGTCATGAAGGGGCTGGGTTCCTTCCTAGCATCCAAAGGGATGAAGCATGAAATCGTCTTGAAAGATGAGCAGGGTAACAAAGTTGCCCCTGTCACTGCTGCCAGTTTGTCTTCTCTGACCCCTTCAGACAAGGAGTATCTGAAGAGCATCAATGTGTTGGAAGCATACGAAGGCGTCACCAGCTGGCAATCCAAGCTTTCCGTCACAATTGTCCCTGATTATGCTGGGGAGGTGAGCGGCGAGCAACTGAGGTGGATTCTGCGCATCTTGGGCAATGCTCGAGCTCTTTCGCCGAATGTCGCGGGCGCACCTGTGGGTGGTCCTCCAGACGACGACGTTTATTTCCCAGCTGCTACAGTTTACACATGGTACCAGTTTGTCGTCTATTTGGTGCGAAATGCACCTGTCCAGCCACCAGCATTGCCATGTCCCACGACCTTCTCAATGATCGGGAATTTAATGGAAATTCCGGAATTTCATGGGATTTTGTGACGTTAAGCCATGCAGTCATTTTCCGGTCCCATGAAATCCCATGTCAATGTTAAATCCCATTAAATCCCTGCTGGATCCTCATTAAATCACCACTAGTGCTGGGTTAATTCCTGGATAATCATCCCACGAATCGTAGCTGATTAGTAGCTACAGTTAGTTCACCCGCCATAGCTGCTACTTGGAGGACTTGCCATGAGAGTTATTGACCACTTACTAAATGAGCAGTGGCTGCTAAACCCTTGTTGGTTGATGATAGGGAGATTATACCCTCTGGTAAACTAACAGTTTGCTATTGAATATGGCCATAGAAATAGTGAATACCAATTAATAGCACGGTGATTTTCCATAGTTATGTTAGTTTACCAGAGGGTACTACCCAATATATTGGGGATTACAAAATTCCTACAGGGTAATGCCTGCAAACCAGCAAGTATTTCATGGAATGATAGAAGGACGTTGACCACTTACTACAAAGTGCAGCACATGGTTTTGTAAGGTAAGTTCGTTATCAATATCGTCAATATTGCTGGAGGTGGTGTTGGATATAGTTTGCCAGCGGTTGGGATTCAAAACCAACTTGTTGAATTTTTAGTTAGTTTGTGTTTTTCGTCAGCAGAGAATGTATGTGCTGCAACCAAGGTTTCGAACCCATTTTGTGTGCAACCATCTCAATGTTTCTGTTTCGTTCGTTATATTTCGCATTCACTTCTCATTGGTTCCTTTGGATGCCGAGGTGGTCACAGCAACGATCACTACAACGTGTGTCTGTGCGTGTGTGTGTGTGCGTTTGTGTATGTGTGTGTGTTAAAGCATTTGTGTCTAAAACGTTTGGTTGTAAAAGTGTCTGTGTGTAACAGCGTCTGTGTGTAAAAGCGTTTGTGTCTAACAGCGTCTGTGTGTAAAAGCGTCATATGTGTAAAAGTGTCTGTGTGTAAAAGCGTCTGTATGAAAAAATGTCTGTGTGTAAAGGAGCGTGTGTGCAAAGGCATCTGCGTGTCAAAGCGTCTGCCTGTGAAAGGGGTTTCTGTGTAAAAGTGATTTATGTGGAAAAGCGTCTGTGTGTAAAAGTGTCTGTGGGTAAAAATGCCTGTGTCAAAGTGTCTGATGTCGAAGTCTTTTTTTGCTTTTCTTCGATGGTCATCTTAAAGCCTTGACATGTCATCTTTTTCTTCTCGTCTGCCTACAATACATATTTTATTTTTTGTCTTGATACTAACAGCAGAATAACTTGCTCCTCTACGCTCTCGGCCCATCCGTCGTCTAGTTTCAAATTGAGTGGATCTTGTTGGCGTGTCCAGAACCCCATGTGGTAGTCGGGTAGTCTTACGAGGTGGTGCCCCCCAGTTATGTCAGGTAGTTTAGCCATAGTAACTATAGACCATAGATATATCTACCATAAATAGATAGACCACTATAGTAAACCATAGTAACTTATTGGAGCCATAGCAACTATAAGTTATATCTATAGCCATAGTAACTTATTGGAGCTATGTTCACCACCTTAGCAAAGGCGAACTGGGGCACCACATGGTACCGCTTTGCCACATGGAACTTCCACGACAGCCTCAGCAAACTTCCACGCACTTCGGCAGGACAGTGGAAAGTGGCTGACGGCACCGTGGCAAAGCCGGTCGGGGGCACCCAGAAAGCGCACGGCTGCGGCTTCAGCCTTAGGGACTCCGTTAGCCAAGTGAGGCATCAAGAACTGAGCCATGATATTCTGCTTGATTCATTGACGTTGTTTGGGATTGAATGGGGGTTTTACCATCAAACTATGTGGATACCATGATAATCTGGTTGATTCATTGATTTTGTTCAGGATTTAATGGCGTTTTAACCATCAAACTATTGGGGTACCATGATATTCTGCTTGATTCATTGATGTTGTTTGGGATTTAACGGGAATTTTAACCATCAAACTATGTGGATACCATGATATTCTGGTTGATTCATTGATGCTGTTTGGGATTTAAGGGGAATGTTAACCATCAAACTATGTGGATACCATGATATTCTGGTTGATTCATTGATGCTGTTTGGGATTTAAGGGGAATGTTAACCATCAAACTATGTGGGTACCATGATATTCTGGTTGATTCATTGATGTTGTTTGGGATTCAATGCTAATTTTAACCATCAAACTATGTGGATACCATGATATTCTGGTTGATTCATTGGTGCTGTTTGGGATTTAAGGGGAATTTTAACCATCAAACTATGTGGATACCATGATATTCTGGTTGATTCATTGATGTTGTTTGGGATTCAATGCTAATTTTAACCATAAATCTTTGTGGATACCATGATTTTCTGATTCATTGATGTTAGTTGTTTTGGATTTAGTGGGGTTTCAAACTATGTGGATACCATGATATTCTGTTTGATTCATTGATGTTGTTTGGGGTTTTATTGGAGGTTTTAACCATCAAACTATGTGGATACCATGATTCTCTGGTTGATTCACTGATGTTTTTTCGGAATGGGAATGAAAAGGCATCAAACTATGGGGATATAAGATGATATAAGTGCTGATAAGTGGGTAGGCACTTCAGCCAAGTTGGTTTTTAACTAAAGTAGTTAATATGGTGATTGAATGGGACTTCATCGGATTTAGTTGGCTGATGTGGTTTAGCAACATAAGAACTATGGTTTGCGGTGGATTTGAGTATATCCGGGTTGATTGAATTTGTTGGGACTTATACTCGCCAATTGCTTGGGGAGTATGATAACCCACAGTAGGGAAACCACCAACCAACTAGTAACTAGTATTTCATGGGATCGTATTCTGTGGTGTTTTTCATGGCTCAAATTGGTTTAGAACCTGGGTTAACCGTTGGGTGTTTTGGGGAATATAAAGCGAACTAGTATTCATCTGGTTTGTCAAGCAACCATAACTGTAGGGAAACCCGCCTTGTAGGTGTTTCTTTTTACATGAAACGAATCGAGAATCAAAGGAGTCAGATGTTTGGACAGTTGATGTTGCCTCTGAAACCGCAGGGATAGGTACATATGGTACATGATGGCTAATTATACCGTCTTTTGCTTTCAATTGTTCTTTTGCTCACCGGTTCAAACCAGCTAAAGATCTCTAAAGTCATGTTTGGCAATCAATGACGCCAGCAAGTTATATTTGCTTTGTGTGCACCCATCTTGATAGTTAAATACCCTTCCGCAGCCATGAACCAGCTTCGCTAAGTATGGGGTCCCATCGACCCAGCGGTTAACCTGGTGATGATTCGGTGATGAACCAACTTGGATAGCTCAAATCAAGCATTATCAACTATGTATACCCCTGTATACTGTATATCTCCATCTGGTTGGTGGTTTGGAAAATGAATTTGATTTTTCCATATATTGGGAATAATCATCCCAAATGACTTTCATATTTTCAGAGGGGTAGGTATACCACCAACCAGCCATGTTTTCATTAAAACCGTACATCTCTTTCACTTGGGACCAGCGTTCGCCGGGTTCACCGTGACGCAGGTGGTTTGCGTGCCACAGCAGGATTTCTGCCTGCTGCCGCTGGTCAGCAATGGCTACGTCTACAACGTCACGGAGCAGGGCACTGTACCTCGGAGCATGCGCTATGCGCTACCTCGATGGATTCGAAAAATCCGCAAATTGTGGTGCCCCTCAGTGATGTCTGTTGGTTTATAACAACCATGAACTATAGATATATGTACCATAAACCATAGTATCCATATACCCTCTGGCAATTTAACATAAGTATTGAAAATCACCATTTTGAATTGGTAAATCAACTATTTCTATGGCAATTTTCAAGCTGGTTTTGTCAAGATATTTGGCGAACTATGGGGCACCACCTTTTGGGGGATGAACGAAAAGCCATAGATTCGGAAGGTTTTTTTCTGAGCGCTTCTGAGAAAGCCAACAGTTGATAGCCCAGTCATTTTGCATCGTTTTTCCTTGAGAAAGCCGCTGTTTTTGTGTTTCTTGTGCATTTTGAATTCAAAATGCAGCTATCTGCACATAGAACTTGGATATATTATTTATATCATCGGTTCTGCTAGTTTAGTTCTTCTTGATATACATGCAGGGTTTATCGATTCCAGGGATCTTCCAAGCAGTACCCAACTGTGGTGCCGACCGGACGCGGGCAGACATTTTACAGGGAATTCATCAATCAAAATTTGGGAGATATCAAAGTTAGATGTGGACAGTGTTGTTCACACTTGTGGATGCGTTTCCATTGATTAGTGCTATCTATATATCTATGTATATATATATATATACATATTTATATATATATACATATTTATATATATATATACATATTTATATATATATACATATTTATATATATATATACATATTTATATATATATATACATATTTATATATATATACATATTTATATATATATATGGCGTCATACTAAGTGACCACAATAAGACTGACAACGAAGCGTAGAGTAAATCCAACAACAACCCCCAATGGTGAAGGTGGTGCCAGCCAAGGTCTCTTTGCTTGTGTGACAAAGATCATAAGTAGTTACTTTTTTGACAATGTGGCAGCTTCTGTACCAGTTATTATGATAGGAACTATAGACCAATCATGATAGCGCCACCTTCTGATTATTACTAATCTTGATCTAGTTATAAAGCAACCTAGCTAACTATGGGGCCCCACCTTCTGATAATAACACCAATCATGACAGTAGCACTGACGGTTTATGATGCGATTTATTTCTCACACTACTGACTCATGACCCCGATACTAAGGAAGAAACTCCACTGAGGAACAATAGGGGCTTACTAATTTCACCATTCCAATCATAATATCCACCAAAAACGATGCAAAATTCCCAGAAGAACATCATTGAATGGGAATTGGTTCCTGATTGGAAGTAAACACTGGACATTGTGTGGTTAATGGAATGGGTGATATGATCAACACAAGTTGATATACTAGGTCATAAATATGCTCATGTGGATAATTGTCAGATCTCATATTTTTCACATGCACTACACGTTATAAGGGGATTTAAAACCTATCCATGTTTGAGTCAGTTAAATCACGTTATAATCACGTTAAATCCCCTTTTGCATCGATCCAAATTGGGGTTCCTGCTCAGATGGGAAGCGTCATCGAACTACACTGTCAAGACGGCTTTCAGGACTGGTTCCCCCGATCTTTAGGTGATGTGCACCGCCTTGACCGGAGTTATCACATACAAGGTGGTGCCCTCCAAGTTATCAGTTGGTTTATAATCCATTAACTATAGATATATCTACCATAAGTCCTAGTTATTAGAGTTATAAACCAACTTAGCTATCTGGGGGGCACCACCTTGTAGCTATTGAAAATGGCCATAAAAATAGTTGATTTAGCTATTGCAAATGACGATTTTCCATAGTTGTGTCACTTTACCAGAGGGTATGGTTGAACATATGGGAACTTGACCATAAAAACTGAGATTTTGGCTACAACTATATAACTGGCTGAAAGCCAAACAATTGGAGTTTGAAGCCAGAAGAATGGGAAGTGAAGTAGATGTTACGAATTGGGCGAGTTGTTTTCACTTGAAAGGGTTGCCGGGTGGTGAACCCAACACAAAAGGGTGATGTTGAAGAGGAAATTGTGCATTTTGGGGATATCTGTGTTGGGGCAAGGCCCAGTTCTGAGTTACAAACCCATCTACCTAACTATTTCGATATATCCACGAACAGGCAGGGCCGCCCAGTTATAAGATGCTATAAGTTTATGAACCCCATCTCACTATAGATACATCCCGAATAAACCCTAGTTGTTGGAGTTATGCGTACACCAATTTAGCCAACTATAAATCCCATGATATTTTTTTTTGTCACCATTATCTTGGCCAAAACACCCCTGACTTTTTGTCAATCGTTAGCCAATCGCTAGCTGAAGCAACTATACGCAGGGAGGTCCTTCCAATCGTATTAAGTGGGCTATGATTATTGCTTGAAGTATGTTGAAGTCCAACTGGATCTCCTCATTTTTCTTGGTTACATCCCCATCATGATCATCATTTTGCCGCTTAAATGCCCATGAAATTTCATTTTATCTCCATCAAATCACCATAAAATCATCATTGAATCACCATAAAATTCCATTAGATCACCATAAAATGTATTAAATCACCATAAATTCCCATGAAAACACCATGTTTCATCACCATTTTTCATCAGCGCATAGCAGGATCCAAGATCGCAAGTGGAACAGCGTACAGCCCTCTGTGGCGGTCTGGGACAGTTCCAAGTTGGCCGCTTGGGCATCTGATGCGGCGAAGGGGCCCCCATGGTGGTTGGAAAAAATGGTGATTTATAGTATTTATAGGTTGATAATAGTTGAAACATGCTGATTTCAGGGGATTTCATGGGATTTGGATGATTAAGTTGGTTTAGTCCGCACCAATAACTAATGGTTTACGAGGGATAGAGCTATAGTTGATGGGCTTGTAAGCAAACTTATAACCGGGAAGTGGTAGTTGGCTAAGTCGCGGTCATCCATGACGACTGGACGATTTAGGGGTACTCCATGACTGAGAGGAAACCTCCATATGATAATATCCCATTGGTTGATGGTTAAGTCACCATCATCCCATTACATCCCAATATTTTTTTCGGGTTGTACATATACCATAGATAGACCATAGACCAATGGATAGTTTGGAGCGTCACCTTGCAGCTGCTTAGAAGGGCCGAGCGGTTGCTTGCATGCCTTTTCTGGGCGTGCCTAAACGCGCTGAAAAAAAAACGGTTGCAAGGTTAGAAAACAGCTGCGATGATCACTTAAATAGCTCCATGGCCCACCTAAGTATCAGTTCATGTATTCTAGTTCATCCAACTAAGCGGGATTTCAACCATCGCCCAAGATGTTCATGACATTGGGTTTACCAGATGAAAGAACATGTGGCTCGCCAAGGCACTATAACTATGGCAATAAACGACAGTTGGCATATAACCTATATACCACTTATAACCTATATAGTTCTAATACCCATAGGATCCATGTATGCTATATATGGTAACATTTACCATCCATATACCCCAAATGTTAGCATGTATACCATACATGGATCCTATGGGATATAACCAATACAATAAGTTGTATACTTCGAAAGAACCACTGATTAGTGGACCTGCCCCAGAAATCGATATGGCTGCACTAATCCAAGGCGGAGCCGTCCCAAAAATTTGGGGAAAACATCAGGGGAACATCGAAATTTCTCCGGATATTTTAATGAAACTTATTCCTGGTTGGTGGTTTCATTGGTTTAGTATGGGGTAATGATGGTTAATAATGGTTAATAATCTCTGGTTGGTGGTTTCAAACATGAATTTTGTTTTCCATAATATATGGGATGTCATCTTTCCCATTGACTTTCATATTTTTCAAGATGGCTTTTTACCCACCAACCAGTCGTCCGAAAAGGGTGATGACACCAGAAAAAAAAGGGAGCAACCCCGGGCAAAGCGCATCTCCACTGATAGGGACAAGCCGCGACATGCCGCTGGTTACATAAACCACCCCCATAGTTGGCCAAGTTGGCTGCAGGTTGTGCAGGTTTTTTGTAGAATTTATGGTGGATATATCTATAGTTGAGAAAAAAAAACTACACCAATAGCAGCACAACCAATGCCATCAATAAGTATACGTGTTAGTTTATGTTTCATATCTCTAGTTTTTGATTGTTTGTAATATTCAAACCAAACAGAACTCGAGGGCAGCGTGGACAGCCGAGGTATCTCGCGGGTGAGTCGTGTCCCTTGGCAATGTCAATTTGGTACCCGGCTGATGGGAGCGCAAATCCCCATACGAATCTCCCATAGTACTTCCATAGGGTTTATATATAAATGTAATAGGTGATTTCTGCTGATTTATACTGATTTTTGGTGATTTATGGTGACTTTTTGGTGATTTATGGTGATTTTTCGTGATTTTTTGTGATTTATGGTGATTTAGGGTGATTTATGGTGATTTTTGGTGATTTATCATTGTTTTTGGCGTTTTTTTGGTGATTTCTGCTGATTTATGCTGATTTATGGTGATTTATGCTGATTTATGGTGATTTATGGTGATTTATGCTGATTTATGGTGATTTATGGTGACTTTTTGGTGATTTATGGTGATTTTTGGTGATTTATGGAGATTTTTGGTGATTTTGGTGATTTAGGTTGATTTTGTGTGATTTTTTGTGATTTATGGTGATTTATGCGTAAGGGAAAAATCTACAGGAAAGCATGGTCAACCTCCAATCATGGAAGTAAACCGGGGGTTTCCTGTAGATTTTCCCCGCCAAGCCAATGACATAAGAATTCCCGTTTGGGAGCCTGATGGCTGGGTCGACTGGTTACAAAGTGGTGCCCCCGGTCGATAGCTAAGTTGGTGAACATAACTCCAATTTCACTATGGTTTATGATACGCAAATAACTATACTATTCCTGGTGTTTATAAACCAACTAACATCAGTGGGGGGGCCCACATTGTAGATATGTTCAATTGTAGATTGAATGGTAAAATGTACATTCAGCAGCAGTGAGATTTGTTTGGCAGGTCTCTAAGATTCACCATGATGGGAATGGGGGTCCCATTATTAGGGGTCGCTTTTGATTCGATAAATCTGGGTAAATTAGATCACGACCTCACTTGTCTCCCTCACTGGACATCATGGTTTATGTTAGGGAAATCATCCCCAAATGGCCGCAAGATTCAGGTTAGTGAAATATTATAACTTACCCAGATCTTATTTAATCTGGTAAACCCACTGCCATACAGCATCCCATTAACCAAAAGGTGAGACCTACAACCAGGACTATGCCAACGACGTCGTCAAGGAGTGCAAGGTCATCGAACGAGGCAGTGGATGACAAGACCTCTGCCATCGCGCCGGTGACGGAAGAGGATCCAAATAAGGAAGGGGAAAGCACGATGGTTCTCCACACAGGAGGAATGGCATGGTCCAATGCATCGAAGATGGATCCCTTTGAGCGACAGCAGGGACACGAACGAGGATGCGCAGGAGGTGCTGGAGATACCGGAGATGCCTACAACCCCCCCTGTAGCTGCGACTGGTGGCAGCATGGGAGAACAGGAACCAGAAGCTGAGTCACCAAGGAAAACTCAGCCCTGGAGAGAGTTGCTGAAGACCAAGGATGGATGGCGCTCCATTCTCTACGACCCGGACCCAAATGCGGGCATAGCTGTGGATGTCGATTGTTTCGAATGCGGCCATGGAAGGCCACAGCAGGTGGCATGCAGTCCCGATCGAAAGGAGTGTGAAATGTGCAGCGAAATCAGTCCGACGAAGAAGTGGGCCATCATATTTGCATTGTTGAAGTATCTGGAATTTTATCTAGTGACTGATTGAAATATTTACATATATAGGGCATAGCCAATTTCATAAACCTCTATAAAATGGGGATGGTTTGTTATTGGTTTTACCACATCTTGTTATAATAATCTTATTTAATCAATGACGCTTTGCTAAACCCCAGGTGGTTGATGATGTGTGGGCTTACCACACAAAATTACTCTTTTGATGGATGGAGGTGTGATGTCCAGGTGACAAATGGTCCATAAGTATACACAAGTAACAATCTTTAGCGATGCCCAAGGGGACCAACTTTTCCCACTTTTCGTCGCAAAAAATGGCCAAATGGATCTCACGTCGTCTCACCTTGTAGGGATGAGGGGCCATGTGTGGTTACCATGTCATCAATGGGAATTCCAGGATCCTAAAATGGAGGTACGTTAGTACCATATAAGGCCATATTTTGTGGGGATATTCCCTTACATAGGCCTTATATAGGCCTTGTATATGGTAGGTACCTCCAATTTAGGATCCTGAAATGGCCATTGATGTCAGCTTACACTCTGATAATCTAACATAGCTATGGAACATGGCAATTTATAGTTGATGTAGCTACTAAAAATGATGATCTTCGCCAGTTTACCAGAGGGTATACACCGATTCATTGGATTACACTCTGGTAATTTGTTACAGTTTGCTATTGAAGCCATGGCCCAGCTATAGTTGATTTACCGAACTTAAAAATTGTGATTTTCCACAGCTACTGTATGTTAGTTTACCAGAGGGTATAGTTGCAAGTTGCTGTGTAAAACTTTAATAAATGTCAATTAACTGTGTACTTTTAGTCAGCTGGATTATATCAATATATCTGAATCTAGATATATGTATGCTATTTTGTGTTGGCTAAATCATATTTAATCACAATGTTTGTTGGTTAAATCACTACAATTCCATGCAATCGCTATTTTTGGTTGTTGAAATTCCATTAAATCCATCATTTTGGGGCTCTTTAAATCGCAATCAATCACATTTTGAGGTCGGCAAAGTCCTGGAGTTACTACGTGTTTCTTGCTTCAATCCCATGAAAAGACATGTTTTTTTTAATGGAATATTAACCACCAAACATGGGAGAAGGGAATCAATGGAATGCAATGGAATCAACAAATCAAAATGAAGCCCTTTAAATCCCATTTAATCACAGGATCAATTAGGCTCTAAAAAAATCCCCAAAGATTCACTAAGTGTTTCTTGGATTTCTTGCTTCAATCCCATCAAAAACACCATGTTTGACGGTTTAAATCCCATTTTGTTGGGGTGATTCTGAGCCACCAAAAACCGACCGAAGACCGTCACATCCTCCACGTGAGGATTTGATTCGCGCCACGAATTTGGTCCAAGACGTGCTGGACGAATTGGAATCCTACTGGGCAACCTGCCATGAATGGGACCTGAAACATGGGATTTCCATGGATTTTAAGCAACAAAAATGGTGATTTCTTGGGATTGAAAACAACCAAACATAGTGATTGAATGGCAGTTTTTATTGCTTTAACCAACAAACAAGGGGTATTCATAAAATATCAATGCGATATAGTGGAAAAAAACCTTTTGTAGTGGGATTTCAACCTTGAATTCATGGTGGTTTCCTGCGATTGCCAACGAAAATGGTGATTTAATGGGGTTTGAGACTAAAGCGAACAAGGAACGTGACTTAGAGCCATGGAGTTATATAGCTCGTTAATTACTGGATGATATCCCCCATAAATGGCTCATAATTCATTGAAACCAAAAGGTGGGTTGGATTGGTAGGGGATTCCCACAACAAGGTTTCGGGCCACCAGCATCATATTACAACATATTTTTTCAATTAAAAACAAATTTCCCCATATTCAATCATTTATTTGATTGTATCTGAATTTATTTGACTTTATTTGAATTTATTTGCTTTGGGACCTCCCTGCAGTTATCAAGCAATACATAGCAATACATCATGTGACAAGCAAATGTGTTTTAAATCCTTTCATCATAGAAGCTCAACATTTGACAACACAAGGAAATATGATAACAGCTGACAGTTGAGCAGCAATTCTGCCGCTGGCCTCAGCAAAGTTGTTGAAAGGTTGCGTTAGTTTTATGTCGTTTTTTTCTTGTTGTTGTCTTGTTTTTTGTTTTTTCCAGCAAATTTGAGATATTTTGAGATTTTTTGAGATAATTTGAGATTTTTTTGTTTTTTTTGCGATTTTCTATGGTCCAGAAAAATATGCAATACAGAACCCAGTCTTGCAAAACCACGTTTGAAAAACAACATTAGAGACATTTTGAGATATTTTGAGATATTTTGAAATTTCTTGAGATATTTTGAGATTTTGTGAGATATTTTGAGATTTTGTGAGTTTTTTTGAGATTTTGTGAGATTGTTTGAGATTTTTTGAGTTGTTTTATTGTTTTTGCTTTCATATTTTTCATTTTTTTCATATTTTTTTATTCAATTTTATTCATATATTTTCATATGTTTGATTGAAAAAACCATTGCCAATCCAGACCACTGCAGATCTAACCCACGTTTTGGTGTTGCTGAATAAAAGTGGGTTTTAACCATTTTTAAGCCAGTTATGAACCAGATGACTAAGCAGACTAAGCACCAACATTTGGAGGTTTCCACAGATGAGGAAAGCCCAATAGTTGGATGGTTTTAGGGTGTTTAATTTCATGGAAAATCCAAGTTAAATTGGATGATTTAGGAGGTGCCCCTACTTTAGGAAACCCCCGGCGTGTCTGAGAATTTGAGGCATTTTCAATAGGGAAAATAAATGAAAATGATGATTAACCAGCGAATTTTGGGGTAGCCATATCGAGCAGGGGGCATTACCACGTTTTGAACCTCTTGGACTGCAACAACATCCATTCTCCACGAGGGAGACTCAACTGTATGGTCTGGAACTGTGGCGGCTTGGCAGCTCACCATCTTGATGAACTCAAGCTGTGGATGCACTCACAGCGTCTGGATGTGGCAGCGCTGATTGAAACACACTGGACTTTCAGCAACGACTGGTCTGATGATTGGCACTGCATTCACTCTGGCACATCCCAGCACAGGCAAGCAGGCATTCTGGTTTTGGTGTCTTCCAAACTGTGTGGGGCTGACAAGATCAAGTGGCTTGAGATCCTGCCTGGCAGACTGCTGCATGTCAGACTTCAACTCGAAGGACGACCACTGGACATTATTGGATGCTATCAGCACACTTGTTTGAAAACTGGTTCCAACCTAACATTGAAAGCCGAAAGCAGTAACATGGCAAGATCCCAGACCATCTAAAACCTCTGAAACCTCACTACAAATCTAAAGTCGGCAGTCTGAAAGCTACAAGGCGCTCCTCCGCCAATCTTCGAATCGTTGTTGTTTCTCATTGTCGATCTGCCCTCCTTCCCTCCGTTTCTTAGCTGGTTCTCCATTGCTAGCTGAAGCAATGGTGATTTGGTGAAATCAGCATTATATAAACTGATTGGTGGTTTAGAACATGTTTTATTTTCCATAATATATGGGATAATCCTTCCCACTGATTTTCATATTTTTCAGAGGGGTAGGTATACCACCAACCGGTATAAATAATCATTAACTCCCATTAAAAATCAAAAAATACCATATTCACATACATTACCCATATCCCATTAAATTCCATTAAATCCCATTAAATTCCATCATATAAATCATCATTAACTTTCATTAATCATCATTAACTTTCCTTAAACTACCATTAACTCCCATTAAACATTACTATTCACATACATTCACCCATATTACTTATATAAATCATCATTAACTCCCATTAAACTACCATAAAAACATCAGTTCCCAGAACCTGGCTAAATCATGAAATCCTCAAATCCAGCGGCCCAAGGCCATGGACACCCGCGAGTTGGGGGCCTCAGGAGCCTCACCTTGTGCCACGATGTGCCACGGGAGATTCGGTGCGGAGGTTTGGAAGTTGGGGTTGGCCACTTATGGGGGTTGCAGCATCGGTTGTACGGCGCTGCTTTTGCGCAGGTGCATGGCCTGTGTTCCGAACGTTTTTTTTTCCCACTGTGTCCCAGATTGTGTTTTTGAAAAGTAGCCAGATGAATGAGTTTAAGCAGCAAACAAGATGAAGCCCACGAACCCGAATGCTCACACGTATGTTAATGGTACAGATGTCAAAACACATGGATATGCAGTCACGCACAATACCTTTCTGCAATAGTTTATTTGAACAGTCTTGTACATGTTTCCCTTGTTACCAGTCTGCAGTGTGGAGTGGAAAGTGTAGAGTGTGGAGCGTGGAGTGTGAAGTAAGGAGTGTGGAGTGTAAAGTGTGCAGTGGGGAGTGTAGAGTGCGTAAAGTGTAGAATGCGGAGTGTAATGTGGAGAGTGTGGAGTATGGAGTGCAAAGTGTAGAGTGTGGAGTGTTGTGTGTAGAGTGTGGAGTGAGGAGTGTAAAGTAAGGAGTGTGGAGTGTAGAGTGTAAAGTGTAGAGTGCGGAGTGTGGAGTGTGGAGTGTAAAGTGAGGAGTGTAAAGTGTGGAGTGAGGAGTGTAAAGTGGGGAGTGTGGAGTGTAGAGTGTGGAGTGTGGAGTGCGGAGTGTAAAGTGTAAAGTGTGGAGTGTGGAATGTAAAGTGTAGAGTGTGGAGTGTGGAGTGTGGAGTGCAAAGCGTAGAGTGTGGTGTGTAGAGTGTGGAGTGTGGAGTGTAAAATGTAAAGTGTGGAGTGTAGAGTAAGGAGTGTGTAGTGTAAAGTGAGGAGTGTGGAGTGTAAAGTGTAGAGTGCGGGGTGTAAAGTGTAGAGTGAGGAGTGAGGAGTGGAAAGTGTAGAGTGTAGTGTAAAGTGTGGAGTGTGGAGTGTAAAGTCTCAGGTGAGGAGTGAGGAATGTAAAGTGCAAAGTGTGGAGTGTAAAGTGTAGAGTGTGGAGTCTAAAGTGTAAATTGTGGAGTGTAAAGTGTAGAGTGTGGAGCGCGGAGCTTCCCCCATAGACACGGCGACGCCACAGGAAAACCAGAGACTCGAGACGAGACACGTGGGTGCAAAAAAACGAGCATTTCGTTCGAGACTTCCTCCAAGCTTGATATTTTCGACACGTTATCAAACAGGTTGGAATGTCACAAAGTGCCACGCCTGCCACGCAAAACGACATGACAACCTGCTTGGACACATTCGAATAGGAGATGTGTTCCAGCTTCCCCCATAGACGCGGCGACGCCACAGGAAAACCAGCGACTCGAGACAAGACACGTGGATGCAGAAAAACCAGCATTTCGTGCGAGACTTCCTCCAATTTTGACATTTTCAACACGTTATCAAACAGCTTGGAATGTCACAAAGTGCCGCGCCTGCCACGCAAAACGACATGACAACCTGCTTGGACACATTCGAATAGAAGATGTTTTCCAGCTTCCCCCATAGACACGGCGACGCCACAGGACAACGAGAGACTCGCGACAAGACACGTGGATGCAGAAAAACCAGCATTTCGTACGAGACTTCCGGCAATTTTCACAGTTGCCGACAAGATAAAAAGACAAGTTTTGCAGCTTCCCCCATAGACACGGCGAGGCCACAGGAAAACCAGACACGCGAGAAGAGACAGGTGGGAGCACCAAAACGAGCATTTCGTGCGAGACTTCCTCCACTTTTCACACTTTGCAGCTTCAAAATCGACGTTTTCCTACGAGTTTTCCTTAGAACCTGAAAATTTTGCAACCTCAAAATCGATGTTTCGTGCGAGGCTTCCGTCAATTTTCAGCACATGTCAGAAAATGCCACGCCTGCCACGGAATTTGCACTTTGTCACCACTTGACGCAGCCCTGCCAATGCGATTTACAAAAAACACGCCACAGGACGCGTCTAAAGTGCTGCGCCTGCCACGAAAAATGACGATGGACGCGTCCAAAGTGCTGCGCCTGCCACGAAAACTGCAACACATCTTCTGAAAACGTCGCAAAAGTATTGCGCCTGCCACGCAAAACGACTTGCGACACGTTGCAGAACACGTCTGAATGTCACGAAGTGCCACACCTGCCACGCGAAACGAAGCAGCCAGACGTCTGAAACCTCCAAAAAGGACCACCTCTGTAAAACTTCCCATAGGCACGGCCATACGGGGATCGCGCGGACGGTTGCGAACGGTTGCGAACGGTTGCGCTCGCGAACGCAACGTCGAGCGAACACACCCTCAACCCCCAGACCCCCAGAGTGAAACGGGAACCCTTGCTACGCATTCGGGAAAAAATGGTGAATTAGTAGGAATTCATAGGATTGAACCAGTAACAATGATGATTTCATGGCATTTACCCTCTGGAAAACGTGTACAAAAAGCGAACTGGAAAACCACCATGTTCAATGGGTAAATTAACTATTTCGACTGGGCCATTTTCAGTAGCAAACTGTTAGTTTACCAGAGGGTAACTGAAAGATGAGGGTAGATGAGGTTACAATGTGGACAGATGATGTTTAGTAGAGGAAATGATCCCTCGATCCAGAAATATGATTGGAAGATAAGGCAGCAAGAATGTGGATTACGCCGCCATGATGAAGCTGGAGCACATCATTTTTGTAGACGAAATCAACATGTCCCAAAATTGCCAACTTATTTTTTAGGTGCAAAGGTATAAAAACCCACTTACGATTTGAAGGATGACCCACCAAGCAGTGAATGCAAACCGCACGAAACGCGGAGAAGTTCAGCATAAATCCCCACATATTGATGTTTAAACCTACCATTTTTCGTGATGTTCATGGCTTAGACTACCCTTCACCGCAACGATAGTCAGTTAGAGTTGTTTTGCAACTGGTTTATATAGATTTAGTGAAGCAATCACAAAGCACGAATTTGTAAAATTGGGGATGTTTTGCTATCTTATAAAATTGCATATATTATTTTACCCACATCAACTAAAACTTATGGTAGTAGCTGTTACTCTCACAGGTAAAATGTATGGGTCACCATTTCAACATTCGCAAAAATGGGATTTTACCATCGAGATTGCTGAAATCTAAGATTTTTTTCAGTGATTGTCAACCATCTTGTTGAAATCGTGACACATACATCAAACATAGAAATTCTTGTCAACCATCATACATCTTACATTGTGGTGCCCCCGGTCGATAGCTAAGTTGGTGAACATAACTCTAATTTCACGTTTGGACTTATGGTAGATATATCGAACTAGTTCATGGGATTATAAACCAACGTTCACATCACTTGGGGGGCACCACCTTGTAGATTACCACCAACTAAGATGTATGGTGCATGAACATCGACCATTCCCTCAACTGCACCAGGTCCGACACCAACTGGCGCGCGCTGATGCAGTTCGAGTACCGTTGGCGTTCCGAGCTAGAACGAGGGCTAGAAGGTAGCTGCAACACTGGGATTGTCCGCCGGCCCCAAACAAAACCATACTGTAGGAAAATTACCCTCTGGTAAACTAGCATAACTATGGAAAATCACATTTTTTAGTGGGAAAATCCACTATAAATGGCAATTTTCAATAGCAAACTGTTAGTTTACCAGAGGGTAATGAATTTAACAACATTCATCATTCAACCCAGAAAAATGCGGAGGTTCATGGGATTTATAGCTGATTTGTGATAGCTGAGTTGATGCACAGAACTTGGTTAACCTTTGGGTTTAGAGGGGATAAAATTGCGTCTGGATAATTAATGGGTGTGTAAACCACCTGATATTGTTTGGGCCTCACGTTGACTTTACTGGTGCTAAACGCAGGGAATTTTCGGGAATGATCCATTTCATCCCTATCAATAATCATCCCAGCAACCCCCAGCAACCCCCAGCAACCCATCCAGCAACCCTACGTTTAGCAGCAGTAAGTGACTTTACAACAAGAATTTGGATACTAAAAACTACGGGGGCTCAACTCATGGTGAAATTGTCACAGTGACGTGTGATTGCACGCATGGAAGAGATCGATTTTATCCTCCAATTTGTTGTCATTAATTTGTATCCCATTAAGTATGGTTAAACAATGTTAAATATCATTCATGATAGTTAATTATGTAATTATGGATAATCGTCTCCCATAAAATCTCGTTAAATCCCATTAGACACCCTTAAAATTTAAATGCAATTTATCCCATGAAATACCACTAAATCGCCATAAAACCCCATAAGATCCCACCATGTGGGGCCCCCAACCGATAGCGTTCAGTTGGTGCAAATAACTCCAATGTCACTATGGTTTATGGTACGCAAATAACTATAGTTTTCATAGGGTTTATAGATTATAATTTATAACTGGCGGGCCCCACATTGCACTAAATCGCCCTTCATGTTGAAACTCCCACGAAAAAGCTGGCTCAAATTCCTTTCTGCCCCACTGGTTTCCATCGACGTGCCGTCCTGTACGCAGGCTTACCGGACGGCAGTGCTGTGCAGGAGGTCGGGAGCGGATGGGACCGTTGTTGCGGAAAAAAACTGTGGATGGGGCAGCGAAATCCTGCACCTGATAGGTGGTTTATCCCATTATTTACAGGGGTTCAATCATCCTTTGATGGTGCAGGATTGCAGGATTTCGTTGGCCCATCCACAGTATGTTGCAGGATGCTGCCCCCCAGTGATGTGAACGTTGGTTTACAAACCCCATGAAAACATGTGAAAACTATAGTTTAATATCTACCATAAACCATAGAATTCAGCCACTTAAATCTCAACTTAACGCGAGCTCGATTGGGGGCCCCATGCTGTGGGAGTTCTCCCAATTTTCAGGGCTTTTTCCGGTGATTTCATAGCCTTTAACACAGTGAAAAATGGGGTTAAATCAATGAATTTAATCCACAGAACCATAATGATCTGGTTGGTGGGTTGGAACATGAATGGATTATTTTTCCCATCATATTGGGAATGTCATCATCCCAACTGACGAACTCCATCATTTTTCAGAGGGGTAGGGCTCAACCACCAACCAGTGATGATTTCGTTGACATCAAATCAGGGAATATTAGTGATGCTCTATGGATCCAGTCCCACTTCCTGAGAAGATACAAAATTTCGAAAAACAGTCATCATACCCCAGTCCCACTTCCTTTCAGAAGGTACGGCTGGATCCATAGGGATGGCAATTGTTGTTCCATGTATTTTCCAAGTCATCGCCGCAGGCCCCAAAAAGGGCTGTTGGTGTTCAGATTCGACGTCTGATTCGACGTCTGAAGATATGAAGGTTTCCGATAGATGTCATGGGGGTACCCCTACTGGTTGGTGGTTTGGAACATGAATGGATTATTTTCCCCAATAGTTGGGATCATGATCCAATCTGACTTTCATATTTTTCAGGGGGGTGGCTCAACCACCAACCAGCCTAGTTATCAGCCATTTTCGATTTGGATTTTCCAGCTATTGGGGTACCCCCATTTATGGAAACCCCCATATTGATACCGCTGATCAATCCGCTAGTAGGAAATTACATTACCATTATCGGATGAATGACCATACAATGGGTATCGGTATGAGTCAGAAAGGCAGAGCCTCGCAACTATTTGCCTTGTTTCTGAAGGGTCCTGATTTTCTGCCCCATATCAAAAGGGGCATACCCACAGTGCCCATTTCAATGGGGAAAATGCTCACAGACCATTATACGTATTTTGAGGTGCCCCTTTTTTGACATGCCCAGATACAAAGATACAAAATGCATTCATCTTCTGAACATCTGCAAGCTGAGCATGTTCTGGAAGAAAGATTGAAGACCCAGGGAATCAGATTTTGCAATTTGTTTTGCATGTTTTTACTAAACCATCCAGCTTCTTTGGGTTCGTCCAGTGATGACTATTGCGTCGGATCATGAAGTCTGCAGTTCAACTTGTACTTTGAACATCTTTGAACAAAGGGTAGACACCCTACAATGTGGGGCCCCCGTCGATAGCTAAGTTGGTGAAAAACACTCCAAGTTCACTATGGTTTATGGTACGCAAATAACTATAGTATTCATGGGGTTTATAAACCAGTTTATAACGTTTGGGGGCCCCACATTGTAGACACCTTAGAAAACATATTTATTCATGTCCGTTGCCATGGCTTCGGAACTTGACACCAACAAAAATTGGAATCTTGGAGTAGCTCGGAATTCATTTCGGCCTGGCGCCCCAGTATACGGCCAATCACCATTGGTGCGCCAAGCCACGCAATGGTGCTGTGAATTGTTTCCCCATCTTGGTTGATTAGCCCTGGAAAGTGTGCAGTGAAAAACCCATTCTTTGTTTGTCATGTCACCATCTGGTTGGTGGTTTGGATCATTTTTTATTTTCCCATATATTGGGAATAATCATCCCAACTGACTTTCATATTTTTCAGAGGGGTTGAAACCACCAACCAGCCATGGCTTCCTTTGGATGTTGAGTCACCAACCCACTAGATGGCATAGTGGACATTTTGAAGAAAGCCATGACGTCTGCTGTTGAGAATCCACTTTAATTTGCCAGTGAACACTTTCCATTTCGAACAGTTTGGGACTTTGGGTTGTCAAGTTGTCAAAATAATTTGCTTTTTGCAAGAAATCCGTCGAAGACCTACAATTTGATGGTACCCTCTGGTAAATTAGCATAGCTACGAAAATGACCATTTATAGTGGATTTACCCATTAACAATGGTGATTTTCCATAGTTATGTTAGTTTACCAGAGGGTAATTTCTCATGATTTCACCATGGTGTGTTTCCCTTTTCGCCAAGAATTCACCCCACTGGCCATGTGGATCGTGGCAGGTCCTGTTTCAGATTCCCAACTACGATGGCGTCACAGACAAGTGGCTGGCGGTCTTTACCATGGAGGATGTGCGAAACCTCAAGAGGACCATGGTTTTTGACTTGTTTTTGGGTCATGGTTTAGGTCCGGTGAATTAAATAATATTAAATAGATCTAAATGGACCTTATACGGATCTATTCTACAGCTCGAGGCCACCCAGTTTTAAGTTTATTTATAAAACAATCATCATGTTTGGACCTTCGAGTGAATATTCAAAAAACTGCTACATTGGCATGGAATGGGGTTGCCTTTTTGAGACATGCGACATCTCCGAGACAAGTTGAAATTGTTTGATTACATAGTATTAATGGGATTTTCAATTATAAACCAACTATTCTCGGGATCCCTTTGTGGAAACCGCCATGGCAATATCCATATATTGTCAATACCAATGGAATTATTGCCATCGGCCATGCACCAGAAACCTTGGTGAAGTGGATCTAGCCATTCTGGGAGTCGAATTTTTGGGGATTTTTTTTCTGGGGGAATCTATTTGTGGGGAAGACATTGTGTTTGGCATGGTTGCCTATCCTGACATATGGCCTTTGTGTTTTGTTCGTAGATATTTTGACCCATCTGACCTTTCAAAACGGGGAAACCATCGCGGATCATACATGAGTATAGCATCTCCGTACAAGATGAGGCCCCAAAATGACTACAATCACTATGGCTGGCGGGGAGATAACTACGTATAAGATTCCTTGGGATTTGATGGGATTTATCGCTGATTTATGATAACGAAGATGCTTTATAACACAATAACTATGGTTTTGGGTCGATATAACTATAAGATTCATTGGTTTATAAACAAACAAACATAACCGGGAGGCCTCACCCTTGTAGTCTGCACACTTTTATGCGGATCTATTGAGTGTAGATGTTATGCCAATGGGTGCCATGTGATATTTGAATGTAAAGCCAGAAGCTAAACAATTCGACATTCTGCTAGAATTGCATTCAATAGATTGGTATTTTTATAGCAATGATACAGGGCATTTTATCTTTGGTCCCTTTTGGGCCAAGCATTTTGATTCCAAAGTTGAAAGCATGTGGCTCTGAAAATTAGAGATTGACCTTCCATGTTCTGGCACTGAAGGAAATCATGAGGAAACAATAGATTTAGACGTTTTCACCTACCCTCTGGTAAACTAACATAACTATGGAAAATCACCATTTTTGATGGGTAAATCAACTATAAATTGCCATTTTCAATAGCTATGTTGCTTGGTTTTGTGGTCCATCATGGCGATTGACCTGCACCAAGTCGTTGAGCAGATATACGTTGGGCGCTATGGAGTTTCTAAAAGCCTGCTTGCACTACCATATGTGGGCCCCCCCAGTGATGTTAGTTGGTTTATAAACACCAGTAACTATAATTATAAGTATCATAAACCATAGTTATTGGAGTTATAAACCAACTTAGCTACTGGTTGGTGGTTGAGCCACCCCTCTGAAAAATATGAGTTCGTCAGTTGGGATGATGACCTTCCCAATATGATGGGAAAAGTAATCCAAATGTTCCAAACCACCAACCAGAAATAAACCAAATGTGAGCTCGTCTGAAAATAGGATATGCCAAAATACAGCTGCTGATGATGATTTTTCTTTTACAGATACCATTTTGGGATCCATCTTTGTTCAGACAAACTTAAAAGTTGGTGCCACCCGCAGTTTTGTTTGCTTTAACCCCACCAACTATAGATATATCTACCATAAATCCAACAGTTAATCTACTTATTTCAACCAGCTTAGCTGATCAAATAGCCTTAAATCATCTTAAATCCACTTGAATCCCATTAAAGTTACTAGTTTTGCTGCTTAAACTTACCTAAACGCGAACTAGTTCTGGGGCACCACCATTAACGTCACCACCAGACGCAACGTCGCAACGTTTTGTTTCTCCACGGCCACAGGATGTTGGAAGAGAAGCAACTGGAGATGCTAGATCTCGTGGAGCAGCACCACGGCATGCATAGCGAAACGTAATGCGGGGGTCGATGGTCGACTGAAAATAATGGTTGATGGTTTGGAAACGTCACCAACAAGAATCTGGTTGGTGGTGACTGGAACAGTTGGATTATTTTTCGATATATTGGGAATAGTCATCCCAACTGACGAACTCATATTTTTTAGAGGGGTAGGTATACCACCAACCAGATAATGGATGAATAGTGGAGAATTGGAATAGCCTCTGGTCATTTGTGACAGTTTGCTATTGAAAATGCCGAGTCGAAATAGTTGATCTACATAGTAAAAACGGTGATTTTCCAGTTCGCGAACTGTAAACGTTTTCTAGAGGATAACCCTAGGTTCAAGGACATTTAATAGGATTGACCCAAGTAAAATTGTGATTTAGTGGGATTAAGCAACAAAAATGAGGTTTTCGTGGGATATATATATATAATGTGGTAAACTCAATGAATCATTGCTGTAACAACCATTTGGGGGTCATGTTACACAATCCCAAATACTCGTATACCTAAAAGACTCAATCGGGGATCCAAAACAGTATTGGTTTACTATCAAAACAATTGTGTTACACCCAATGGTTGTTATAAACAATCATAACTATAACATGTATTATTGGATTTACATCATACATATAACAACTGGTTGGTGGTTTGGAACATTTTTTATTTTCCAATATATTGAGAATAATAATCCCAACTGACTTTCATATGCTTGCGAGGGGTAGGTATACCACCAACCAGACAATAGTTGTTTAACTATTACTGATGCAATGGGTCCAAATATCGATATGGCTTTGTCAATTGGATAATCCTGGGATTTTTCATGAAATAAACCAGCTATTGGGGTACCCCGGGTACATTTATGGAACCCCCAAATCAATATTAATCAGTGGAATTTGGGGAAGTGTTTCTCAATTTTTCAGACAACGCTCCAGTTTGAGCTTGGTCAATATGCAGAATACCCAAGAGTCTTCACCCCACAGCGCTGCGGAAAGGGAAAGCAATCGGATGGGAGGCATGTGGATCTGCCATGAACCAGAAACCATGTACACTTGATCAGCTACCATGTTAATTTGAATTTTATCTTCAATAGTTGGGGTTCAGAGATTGGGTTTGCCACATAACTTTTTCGGATTGTTTTTTTGAGCAGAAAGCCTGTGATCAGAACATGTGGGATCAGCCCAGAAATGATTTCCAATGACATCACCATAAAACGATTGTTACTACAAGTTGGTGACCCCTAGTTGTGTTTCTTGGTTGATGAACCCGGTTAACTGTAGATATATCTACCATAAACCCTCGTTATGTTCCTCATTACATAAAGTAACCCAACCAACCATGTGGCATCTTTTTGGCCATTCGGAGGTATACTTGCCTCATTTTCAGAGAAGCTCAGCTCATTTCCATTGACATAAATTGTCATCCTCCAAATTCACATCAATTGACTCTTGTTGCGGGGTGCTCGTCGACGAATCCCAGATCTTGAATCCCAAAGCGACACCATACGTCGGGCTAGCACCGCTGCACGTTTCGTTTCCCCCCTGGGTGCCACTCATCGGTGGCAAAACAGTTCAACGATGGCAGCAGTGGGACCTGGCTTGAATTCAGGCAACTTGAGCTCGATGGAAGGGGAGACTTGTGAAGAGCTTGCGCGCTAAGGCCATCTCCGTTGACCTCTTTGCTGAAGCCCGTGGGATCGGTCCCCCTTTTTACTGCGTGTTCATCGGGTCAGCCGATCCTACACCAAATCGGATCATTTTCCAAGTGGATCTGTGTCAGCCCTGAGCTGAGTTGAGTGCCTCTAGTGTCCGCCCATAAAATGAGGAACAGCGGCAGCATTTTCTGGGTGGCTACTGGGTGGCTAAACCACAACCAGAAACCAGTTTAATGTGTAGGGTTTACATGGGTTGACTTCCGCTTAAACATCACATTTCTATGTAGCCACATGCTATACAAGTAGAAGTGGTTCAGTAGCTATGACGGCTATGACCCCATTTACAACTGCAGTTCCAAGCGCAAAAATACAAGCCACTATAGTCCCTCTGTTCCCCATGTGCTACTTTCTGGGCCTCCAGTTAGAAGTCGGTTTACGACCCCATGCAACTATGATATATCCCCATCAACCTTACTAGCGACTATAGTATATTAAGGTAATAAGTCGAGCTAAACCAACTCAGCATAACTTAGGGGCATCACATTGTAGCCATTGCCCCAGTGAAAAAAAACTGCCGAGGCAAGGACAACAGAGCCACTGGGCCAGTTTTGTTCAGGGGGAGGAGCTTGAATAAACCTTGGTGAGCCTTGGTGCACGGTTGCACAACTGGGGGAACAGATTGTTGAAGGGTTGTTTACAAGCTGGGACTCCCTAGATGTGTAAGTTGGTGAACATCACTTCAATAACTAGTGTTTATAGTAGATGTAGATATAGCCAATGGGGTTTCAAAACCAACTCACAACTGGGGCCCACCTTGTGCTTTAATCTGTTGCTATAAACAAGGATATTTACCCCTAGGGTAACCATACAAAAAGATGTGGAAAAAACAATGGTTTCTGCAGGAGAAGAATCTAGAATTGACGGTGCTTCCATGTCTCTGTTAGTTTACAGGAGGGCTTTGTTTAACCATGTTAAACCCATAATTAGTAAGAAAGCTTATCAACAAACTAGTAAAATGAGATGGGATAGTGGGGGTTCAAATGAGAAACCTGGGCACTCCATTTACCAATAAACAATCCTTTACCCCATCGTTTTGGATGTTTTTTCTTCCGATGTTTCTGGTACAAACAGTTTGTATCTGAGTGTCCTGGTACTAACCAAAAAAAAACACATGCCTTAAAGGATATCCCAATTTCCATGAATCCATTTCACAATCCCGCAATCATCCGTATATCCCAGAAAAAATGGAATATCTACGTTTTAACCCGGGTGTGCTTCACCACTTTGGAAGATATCAACTAGTATGCATAACTATAGTTCTAGGGGCACCATATCCCAACTTATAGAGGTTTAAATCCCCATGTTGTTTTCCATTAAATGACCATTTTTGTTCCTTAAATTCCATGAAAAATCACTATGTGTTTGTTGGTGAAGTCAGTGAAGTCCCAAAATCAGCCACTAGTTTCATCTAATTGGGGAAAAAACATGGGGATCTTCATTGAAAACATAATTTGTTGCGTCATCACTTTTCATCACTTTTCTAGGGTCCGAATGATCCAAGTTCTATCCAAGTTCTTGGTGAAATCCCAGGGTTTTTTTTGGGTTCTGATCCATATTTTTCTTGGTGAAGTTCCATGGAAAATCACCATGACATGTTGGTGAAAGCACCATGACTTTCATGGTTTTTCTCACCATTAAAATGGTGAAATCACCACAACTTGTTAAAGCATCACCATATTCATAAGGAGGTTTCCATAGATGGGGGTACCCCAAAATAGATGGTTTACGATGGAAACCCACCTACAAAGGGATAATTTAGGGGCATCTACTGTGGATGGTTGCGAAATCCTGCACCAGTTGACTGTTAGCTTTTCCCATGATTTTGTTTGGCTTTCAACCATCCTTTGGATGGTGCAGGATTTCGCAACCATCCACAGTATGTTGCAGGATGCTGCCCCCCAGTGATGTGAACGTTGGTTTGTAAACCAAATGAAAATTATACTTTCATATCTACCATAAACCATGTATCAAGTAAATTAAAACATATCTAAGATTATGTATTCCATCACTTAAACCTACTTTAATATCTATATAGAATTCAGCCACTAAAGTCTCCATCAAAGTAACCTCTGGAAGGTCCACAGCCCCTCTTGGACTGCGATCGAACGCCCAGCTGGTGTCCATTGCCGAAGTGTCCCGGCGTTAAACGACAGCGAGTTCAGCAACGAAGTCATGGTGATTTCATAGGATTTCACCAATAAAAATGGTGATTTCATCGGATTTCATGGCGGAAACGGATGATTTTATGTTTTTTCCGGATTTCCGGAGGAACATGGTGATTTCATGAAATCTAATGGGATTTCATCAATTTTAATGGAGGTCTTGTGGGAATAGTGGGATTTATCCACCCAAATTTCTCAAAATTTGGGATTTGACCAAGATCATTCTGAGTTGATGGCATGTATGTGTGAAAATCAGGTTTTCTACAAGGATATGAAAGCAAGAATGTGGGAATCTGTGGGGATTTAAAGCAATCTGGGCAAATTTGATCACGACCGAAGCCTGTTCTCCCGAAGCCTGGAATCATGTTTTTTTATAGGGGAAATTATCCCAAAATGGCCTTTGTGGGGGCAAGCCGTAGATGAATTGGTCAAAATCAGGAAAGAGCAACATTCTCACGGAGGCTGCGTCAATGCCTACAATGTGCCGTTCTGAGGATACCCTCTGGTAAACTAACATAGCTATTGAAAATGGCCATTTACAGTGAGTTTTACCATTAAAAATGGTGCTTTTCCATACTTATGTTAGTTTACCAGAGGGTATCAAATTCCAGTATCGCGAGGATGAAGAGCAGCAAACATCTGGCAGCCTGGGAACTTTCAAGCTGGAATCCGTTGCCCGATCACCTTTGATGCAGGAGAGGAATCTATCAATGGCCATTCCAGGATCCGATTGATTGGAGGTACCGATTCCATATATTTTTGGCCTATATATATCAGGCCTAAATTTCAGGGAATATCCCCAGAAAATATGGCCTTTGATACTAACGTACTCCCTTTTTAGGATCCTGAAAATCCCATTGAATCTCTAGGCCTTCTCTAGGTACCAAATGTCTCAGAATCTCGAAGAGTTTGAGCCATGCAGGGAAGCCGTGCCTAAGGATGGCTCTTCAAATGGTCAAGGCCTTATTTCAGCTTAGTGAATTTTATACTGGTTGGTGGTTTCAAACATTTTTTATTTTTCCCATCATATTGGGAATAGTAACCCCAACTGATTAGTATTTTTCAAGATGGTTGAAACCACCAACCAGATTATAATTTGCCCAGATAATATCCCCTGGCAAAACGGGAGGAAGTCAAAGGAACATAATGATGATGTGTGTGTATTCTTTCGGTGTCAGTGATGGAAAAAGATGATGGAATGAAAGACCTTATTTTCAGACACGCCCCACAAAAAAGGAACAGAAATCAAAGATTTACCATGGGATTTTTGTTCTGGACCCACAGAAATCAATGCTTCGTCCGACTTTTGGGCATCCGACTTTTGGGGTTGGGCCCATTTCTCTTCAGGAAATCATAGGAAAACCATAGGAAATTGGGATTTCATGGGATTTGTAGCTGATCTATGATAGCTAAGTTGGTGAACATAACTCCAAGAACTCACTATGGTTGAAAAAGGTGGTAAATCTATAGTTAATGGGCTTATAAGCAATTTTATAACCAATAGCGTTCAGTTGGTGAACATAGAACCCAATAACTATCTGGCTGGTGGTTTGGAACATGTGGATTATTTTCCCCATCATATTGGGAATAATAACCCCAATTGACTCATATTTTTCAGAGGGGTTGAAGCCACCAACCAGATTTGTTCATACATGACAACCAGCAAATATGAGGATAATTTTTGGTGGGTTTTTAAGTTGGTTGTTTGGATCTTGGGCAGATGTTTCAGTTTTCATCAAGATGTTTTGAAACTTGGCCAGCTATGAGTTGGCTTGGAATCCCTCTGAATTGTGGATACTTCTACCATAAACCATACCCTCTAGTAAACTAACATAGCTATGGGAAATCACCACTTTTAATGGGTAAATCAACCAAAAAATGGACATGTTCAATATGTAACGAATTACCAGGGTGTAAACCTCGAAGGTCATCCTGGGGCGCCATGTCATTGGCCCCAAAGGTTGCCGCCCAACAGCCAGTTCACCACGACCAGTCCGACGCCCGTGGCGCTTGGAGAGGAAATCTCCATGGAGTGTCATCCGCACTACGTGGCTTGGATGTTGGAAGGGGTTGGAGAATGGAGCTGGTTTTTGAAGGGGGAAAAATGTGGATTTTGCCATTGTGCCCAGAAAAAATGTGATTTAATCGGATTTGATGAGTATTGAATGGGATATCACTCTGATTTAAGGGTGATTGAATGGGAATTGAAGCCAGAAAACTGGTGATTTAGTGGGATTTCAAGGAAAACTCATGGGCTTTCACGAAGGAAAATGATGATTTTTATGGACGTATCACCAACAATGGAGCTTTCCTTTCTTTAGGTAAATCATCATCTGATTTGTGGTGTGGAACATGTTTTTTTCCATATATTGGGAATTTCATCATCCCAACTGACGAACTCCATCATTTTTAGAGGGGTAGGTATGCCACCAACCAGTCATTGTTATCATCTGTTTCCCCTGATCATTTTCGATCATGTCAAGTTACCGGTCACCTTACTGGGGAGTTGACCCCATGGGTGTGCTGTACAATATATGACAATCACCTTGTTGAAGAGGTAAAGCATCATGTTTATCATCCATGTCTCATGGTTGGGAAGGGAAATCATCCCCAAATTGCCTTACTTCAGGTTAGTGAATTATTATAATTTACCAAGATCCATGTCTATGGGCCATCATGTTCCAAAGAAGTAGAATCATCAGCTGACTTGGATCGGGCCATGGAGTTAGTCAACTGATCAGTGGCTATGTTTCATAGGTTACAGCTCAGCCAACTAAATAATATAGCCAGAAAATATATTTATATAGCTATATTAACATTGTTTTTCTACAAAAGACTTATTTATAATACAATCATGATTTAATATAGTATAGTAAAATTACATTTGATAATATAGCTAGATACTAACAATTTTCAGTAGTATGTAATATAGCTATAATATCACGGCCATCTCTGATTACCAGCCAATTACAGCCACTTACTGGCCAGAAAATCCCACAGCGCGCCTGGCATGGTCAATGAAGAGCCTCATGCCAATCAATCTAGAAAGGTACCCATTTATCAATCTAGAACCTATTGTTTGACGATCATCAAGGTAGACATCCTGTGAAAATTCTGTGATTTCCCATTGCCATGCGTACAACTGGAGGCTAGTTCTGCAAGAAATCCCGGATGTCCTGAGGTCGTCGAGACCAGTAAGTGGCACCACTCACCCCATCTGCTGCTCCAAAAGTTTGCTTCTCACTGCTCGAGGACCCCCTAGGAATGTTAGTTGGTTTTTTTTCACCAATCCAACTGCAGATATATCTGCCATAAACTTCAGTTGAATTCGCTAAATCATTAACTTCAACTGCAGGACAAGGTGTTGCAACATATTCCCTTGTTTCCCCATTATATGCCCACGGCATCGCCATCAAATGGTTGTTTTGTTTTAAAAAAAACATTAAATCCCTTTAAATCGTCATAACTTTGCCGGTCAGGTTCACTTCAATCACCATAGCCATCAAATCCTATAAATCACCATCAAATCCTACTAAATTCCCATAAGTTCTGATCAAATCGCACTTAAGTCCCATAAAATCACCATGAAAGTCCCACAAAATCCCATGTTTATTTGCTGGTTCTATCCCCCTCCCATTCGGCAGGGAAGCATCGCCCTAGGTCTATGACCTGGGTCTTCAGACACTGATGTGTTTCTGGGACGGAAACGCCATGGGGTTAACCTTGGAGATGGGGAGTTCAACCTGAATGGCGATTTTTTGTTGGATTTCAAGGGATTGAGTTGTCATTTCATGGGAATCTACTGGGATTGAATGGTGATTATCTGGTTGGTGGTTTGGACCATTGTTTTCCATAATATGTGCAATAGAAATCCCAACTGACTAATTTTTTTCAGAGGGATTGAAACCACCGACCAGTTATGGTATTTGATTTGGATTCAATTCAGATCGAATGGGATTTAGTGGGATTTAACCAACAAATATATGCTCTGTCAATACGATTTAATGGAGACAATTGGTATATACAGCAAACAAGGCATTTTATTGGTAACTTCATCCACCTCGATTTGATTGAGGTGGCAGTTATAACAATGGGCATACACATAATTGGCAGTTTAATCATCAACAACTGCTTTAACTCACACAAGTGGTAGTTTAATACCACAAAATCATGGCAGTGTGTATAGTAAGTTTGACAAAAAAAGGAATGCCCAATAACAAAGTTTGGTTACAGGCTTATTTTCTTTGACCATACGTGGAGAACCCTCATTGTTTGGCTGTTTGGCTGGTAAAAAACAAACTGTGAGTATCATTTGTTGCGAAAGTGAGTCGGTGTGGCAGACCTCTCGAAATCGATCTTAATCCTGGTTGGTTGTTTGGAACATTTTTTATTTTCCATAATATATGGGATAATCCTTTCCATTGACTACTATTCTTCAAGATTGTTAAAACCACCAACCAGTTAAGCTGTTTGGGAAAGAGTTGGCTGGCTGCCTGGTGTGTGGTTTCAAATATGTGCGGGCTTCCATCCCTATTTACTAAGTATGTGGTGATTATTGCAACTGACTTATATGCCCTCTTTCCACTGGTCGATGGGGTAACACTCCATTTTTCACCAATGAATACCACGGCCTCCATTTTCTCCCATGGTTCTTGGCAGACATCACTGGCTCTGAAAGCAGCATTTAAAAATCATGTCTTGGCTAGTTAAGTCTGTGGGGGTATGCTGTAACCCTGATTCCAGATATGCCCTTATTCCTCGTCTTTGGCCAGTTGGAATTCTCCGGGATTCCAGGGTCCCATATTGACGAGTCTGTGGATGCTAGCACTATAAGCCACCCATCAAGGTCTTGCAATGAAGCCTGAAATAAAAAAATACAATTAGAATCAATTAGATTGTTCAATAGTTTGCAGTTACTGTGATAATTAGTCAGTTTATAGTTGGGTTAAGGTTGAATAGTTCATAAGCATGAAGGTTCTGACCCGCAAGAAAATTATTTTACTTCGAGTTATCCCCACCATGACATATACGTTTTGTTACTGGCAAATCTTCTGGCATTCTATCTGACATATCTTCTGGCATTCATCTGGCATGTCTTCTGGCATTCTATCTGGCATATCTTCTGGCATTCTACCTTGCATATCTTCTGCAATATGTTCTGGCATATCTTCTGGCACTCTATCTGGCATATCTTCTGGCATATCTTCTGACATTCTATCTGGCATTCTATCTGGCAAATCTTCTGGCGTTCTATCTGGCAAACATTCTGGCACTTTATCTGGCATACCTTCTGGCATTCTATCTGATATTCTATCTGGCGTACCTTCTGGCATTCTATCTGACATATCTTCTGGCGTATCTTCTGGCATTCTAACTTGCATATCTTCTGGCATTCTACCTGGCATATCTTCTGGCATATGTTCTGGCATATCTTCCGGCACTCTATCTGGCATATCTTCTGACATTCTATCTGGAATTCTATCTGGCAAATCTTCTGGCGTTCTATCTGGCAAACATTCTGGCACTTTATCTAGCATACCTTCTGGCATTCTATCTGACATTCTATCTGGCATACCTTCTGGCATTCTATCTGGCATATTTTCTGGCATTTTATCTGGCATATCTTCTGGCATTCTATCTGGCATATCTTCTGGCATTCTACCTGGCATATCTTCTGGCATATGTTCTGGCACATCTTTTGGCACTCTATCTGGCATATCTTCTGACATTCTATCTGGCATTCTATCTGGCAAATCTTCTGGCGTTCTATCTGGCAAACATTCTGGCACTTTATCTGGCATACCTTCTGGCATTCTATCTGACATTCTATCTGGCATACCTTCTGGCATTCTATATCCTCCGTGCTACCGGTAATTTTTTTTCCTGTGACTCCACTTCGGCGAATAAAAATGCCAAGTCAGGTAAAAATCATCAAAAAATGGATGTCGCAAGGTTGGGGTTCAGGAAAACAAATGTTGGAGCCAGGAAAGCAGGATTAGTAACATAAGGTTGTACCACAGGATTTTATATGTTTCGAAGATTTGCTTGCCAGGATTGCATGGTTTTCCAAACAAGGTTGGGGTACAGGAAAAAAATCTCTGGGCCAATCTGTCGAACAGGAGAGGGTAGGATCTACATAAAGGTTGTGATCATACTTTTTAATGCATTTCAGTGGTTTGTAAAAAGGTTGAATCCGATAGCTTCACTGGATTTTAATTTTGAACAGTTATGAACTCCGTATGGTTTTCTTCAACAATATCCTCCTCTGTACTACCAAAAAATTTTTCCTGGGGGTTCAGTACGCTTTTTAAAAAACACTATTTTCCAAAAATCTAGCAGACAGTGGGTGAGGGTCCAGGGGCATGATACGGGGCCAGGAATCAAATATCATACCAAAAAAGGCCCAGTTTTTTTTCCTGAAAGCTTCCTGACGTACAGTGGCAGGAAATCAATTTCTGTCTGTTGTGATTGAGGGGGTTGATCTATCAGTTTGTGTATGTAAGGCATCAGGAAATCAATCATGAATGACTCTGATAGTGGGTAAGTTTGTAGAATTCCCAAGGTTAGTAGCCAGGAATTTGAAGGTGGATGGATCAAATGGGAGTTTACTAGAACATATCTAAATGTCAAACCCCAGGAAAAAATGTACCATGATTACTTGAGGGGGTATGATTCTTTACATGACTTTGCAAAAGGGTACAACCACATATGTTCAGCTTCACCAACCAAAAAAGGTGACTTCAAGAGGCCGAGGCGCACGTGTCAAAAATAAAATTCAAGGGGCTGGACCTTTTTTGACTGAATACTTGCGGATGATCTTCAAAGGTTGGCCCCACAGGAAAAAAGTCGCATCACCAGGCCAATCATCCACAGATAGGACATGATGGGACGAATTCAAGAATTTTGTGTCAACGCGCGCGCAAATTACAACACATATGTTTTTTGCTGAAAATGCATTTGTCCTTGCAAAAGGGTACAACCACATATCTTTAGCTTCACCAACCAAAAAAGTGACTTGAAGAGGCCGAGGCGCAGGTGTCAAAAATAAAATCCAAGGGGCTGGACCTTTTTTTGACTGAATACTTGCGGGATAATCTTCAAAGGCTGACCCCACAGGAAAAAAATCCCATCTCCAGGCCAACCATCCACAGATAGGACATGATGGGACGAATTCAAGAATTTTGTGTCAACGCGCCCAAATTGCAAAACAGGCGTTTTTTTTCTGAAAAGACATTTGTCCTTGCAAAAGGGGTACAACCACATATGTTCAGCTTCACCAACCAAGGGGCTGGACCTTTTTTGACTGAATACTTGCGGATGATCTTCAAAGGTTGGCCCCACAGGAAAAAAGTCGCATCACCAGGCCAATCATCCACAGATAGGACATGATGGGACGAATTCAAGAATTTTGTGTCAACGCGCGCCCAAATTGCAAAACACATGTTTTTTGCTGAAAATGCATTTGTCCTTGCAAAAGGGTACAACCACATATCTTCAGCTTCACCAACCAAAAAAAGGTGACTTGAAGAGGCCGAGGCGCAGGTGTTAAAAATAAAATCCAAGGGGCTGGACCTTTTTTTGGCCGAATTCTTGTGGATGATCTTCAAAGGCTGACCCCACAGGAAAAAAATCGCATCACCAGGTCAACCATCCATAGATAGGAAATGATGGGACGAATTGAAGAATTTTGTTCCAACGTGTGGCCAAATTGCAAAACAGGCGTTTTTTTCCTGAAGATACATTTGTCCATGCAAAAGGGTTGTGCATTGCCGTGGGCATCTGCCGGACCGCACTCGTGAAGCCGTGGACTCTGAAAAACTGCGAGCTGTCAGCCGGGAAGTCAGGTGCCAGGAATTCATTTTTTTCCGTATCAGATTGAGGGGGGGAAGATATGGCATGTTACCAACGCAAGCATCCAGGAAATATTTTTTTTACTTGGATATGAGAGGAGTAAATTTATTGGATGTTGGACGTTGGGCACCACGAAATTAGCAAAGAAAATTCAAAAAGGTGGTTGGAAGTGAGATTTCGGCTTCAGAGGTTAGGAGCCAGGAATTTAAAGCTCTAAAACCTCTCTCAAAGGTTAGGGGTCATCATTTTAGACCGATTTTTTTTCTAGGACTGTACCCCACTTTTTTTTACCGACGGGGATCAACAATCATGTAGAGAGGACACATCATTTCTGGTCATTTCCAACAGAGAGAGAGAGAGAGATAAACAGTTCTGGACCTCCAAAGCCTAGTGTCATCCATCTCCCCGTCTTGAAAGATCTTGACAGCATGCGAGCAAAAAAATGATGGAGCCGGTGGAAACCCTGTGACCCAGGATTTGAATTATATGACAAGAAAAGTGTTTATGCCAAACCCTCAGCAGTTTTTGAAAGGTCGTGATCTTCCAATTCAATCGACTTGACGATCTGAATGGGGTAGGTACACATGTATCATCATAAAGGTTATGACCCAGGAAAAGAGTTGTGTCAGCGCAATGGTGGGCCAGGAGACATGTTAGTCCACATAAAGGTTGTGGAACAGGATTTTAATTTGTTTGCCCGGGAAATTGCAACTTGGTTGTTGGCTTAAATCTGTTGGGTTGTACCCTTTGGAAATCAATTCCAAAAGGTTGTGGACCAAACGATTTAAGGCATTTTTTTCCAGGACTAGACCCTTTTGAGCGGTACCACGGGCTATCATTCTATCTGGCATACCTTCTGGCATTCTATCTGGCAAACATTCTGGCACTTTATCTGGCATATCTTGTGGCATTCTTTCTGGCATTCTATCTGGCGTTCTATCTGGCATATCTTCTGGCATATCTTCTGGCATTCTATCTGGCCGTTGAGGTCCAGCGGTGCTCACTGAGCTCGGAGGGTCCCAGGTTGAGGTCCAGCGGTGCTCACTGAGCTCGGACGGTCCCAGGTTGAGGTCCAGCGGTGCTCACTGAGCTCGGACGGTCCCAGGTTGAGGTCCAGCGGTGCTCACTGAGCTCGGACGGTCCCAGGTTGAGGTCCAGCGGTGCTCACTGAGCTCGGAAGGTCCCAGGTTGAGGTCCAGCGGTGCCCAGTGCGCTCAGACCCTTGCAGTTGAGGTCCAGCAGTGCCCACTGCGTGCGGCAGTTGGCGAAGAGCTTGGCGAAGAGTTGGCAAGGCGGAAGTGGACATGGAAGTGGAGGCAGAGGTGGCGGAAGTTGGCGAAGAGCTTGGCGAAGAGTTGGCAAGGCGGAAGTGGACATGGAGGAGGAGGAGGAGAAGAAGAAGGAGGAGGAAGAGGAGGAGGAGGAGAAGAACAACTCTGATTAAATCTAACAACCCTCACCTGGCAGGTGGGGACTTATGACCCATTCAAAGTTCAAAACCACGGATACCCGCTGGCTTGCAAAGATTCTGGCCGTGCCATGATATGCCCATCACAAACAGGAATTGTTGGTTGAACCCACCAAGTGCGGTTCTCAGCCATGCCCCCCTAGGTTGTTTCTCTTTTTTTTTGGTGGTAATCTATCTATCGATCGATCTATCTATCGATCTATCTATCTATCTACCTATCTATCTATCTATCTGTCGATCGATCTATCGTTCTATCGATCTATCTATCTACCTATATATCTGTATTTCTATTGATCTATCGATCTATCTGTCTATCGTTCTTTCGATCTATCTATCTATCTTTCTTTCTTTCTTTCGATCTATCTATCTATCTACCTATCTATCTATCGATCGATCGATCTATTCTATCGATCTACCTATCTATCTATTTCTACCTATCTATCTGTCTATCTACCTATCTATCTACCTTTCTTTCTTTCTATCTATCTGTCTATCTATCTATCTATCTATCTATCTATCTATCTATCTATCTATCTATCTAGTGACCTATCGATCTATCGATCTATCTATCTACCTATCTATCTTTCTTTCTTTCGATCTATCTATCTATCTACCTCTCTATCTATCTTTCTTTCTTTCGATCTATCTATCTATCTACCTATCTATCTATCTATCTATCTATCCATCTATCCATCTATCCAATCATCCATCTATCCGTCTATCCATCTATCCATCTATCCATCTCTCCATCTATCTGTCTATCTATCTATCTATCTATCTATCTATCTATCTATCGTTCTTTCGATCTATCTATCAATCTATCTATCTATCTATCGTTCTTTCGATCTATCTATCTACCTATCTATCTATTTATCGATCTATCGATCTATCGATATCTATCTATATCTGTCGATATCTATCGATATCTATCGTTCTATATCTATCTATCTATCTATCTATCTATCTATCTATCTATCTATCTATCTATCTATCTATCTATCTATCTATCTATCTATCTATCTATATATCTATCTATCTATCTATCTATCTATCTATCTATCTATCTATCTATCTATCTATCTATCTACCTCTCTATCTATCTTTCTTTCTTTCGATCTATCTATCTATCTACCTATCTATCTATCTATCTATCCATCTATCCATCTATCCATCTATCCATTCATCCATCTATCCATCTATCCATCTATCCATCTATCCATCTATCCATCTCTCCATCTATCTATCTATCTATCTATCTATCTATTTATCTATCTATCTATCTATCTATCCATCTATCTTTCTATCTATCTATCTATCTTATCTATCTATCTATCTATCTACCTATCTATCTATCTATCTATCTATCTATCTATCTATCTCTGGTTATTTCGATCTATCTATCTATCTACCTATCTATCTTTTTATCGATCTATCGATCTATCGATATCTATCGATATCTATCGATATCTGTCGATATCTATCGATATCTATCGATATCTATCGTTCTATATCTATCTATATCGTTCTCTATCTATCTATATCGATCTATCTATCTATCTATCTATCTATCTATATCTATCTATCTACCTCTCTATCTATCTTTCTTTCTTTCGATCTATTTATCTATCTTTCTATCTATATCTATCTATCTATCTATCTATCCATCTATCCATCTATCCATTCATCCATCTATCCATCTATCCATCTCTCCATCTATCTATCTATCTATCTATCTATCTATCTATTTCTTTCTACATCTATCTATATTTATCTATATGTATCTATATCTATCTATCATTGTATCTATACTTGTGTCTATCTATATCTATCTATATCTATCTATCTCTATCTATCTCTATCTTTCTCTATCAATCTATCTATCTACCTATCTATCCTATCCTATCCTATCCTATCCTATCCTATCTATATGCATCACCGCTAGAAGTTAAACCTTTAGGCAGGGGATCATCAAATATTGAGTGTTTTCTGTGTTGGTGAAACCTGTAATTATGTGAGCATAGAATCCCGCAATGGGAACCATATGATTTTTCAAGGGAAGTTCCAATTTTTCACGTCGCCAAAAAGGAGCAGAAAACTAACTCAGCCTCAAACAAACCACTCGCCATCACCCAACAAGCAGTCTCATAATATGTGTTGGTTTAGATCCCATTTCCAAGAATATAACTACATCCTCATTACATCCATCTTCCTCTTGGTCAGTTGATATCCCACCTGAGATGGTCACTGCCAAGTGGATTTCGAACGTGATGCCGCCCTGCCATTGTAAAGGCCAGGTGATCGCTGCATGCTCCGACGTTGAGGACGTCGAGAATCGTTGTTGCGTTGCCACCGAGGGCGTGGCAGAGGCGTGTTGCCAATGGCGTGTTGCCACAATCGACATCCTCGAGCGGGCCTCTTTCCGACTGGAAGTCCTGGCATTTGGGAACCTCATTGCTTCCAACGGCATAGTCCAACCCAGGCTCAAGGAGTATTATTACTCCTACAGCTATGGTGAGCGTGACATCGAGGCATGCTTCTGTAGAAAGTTGGTTCTTTTTTTTCTGGGTTGCTGTTAACATAGGCAAATAGGCCCTGATCCATTATATAAAATCCAGCCTGGCAGCATCTCCCATTGATTGATGAAAAAAGAGGGTTTGAAGGTTTACCCCTTTAACAACAGGTTTGTTGAATGATAGATGGGATTAACCAGCTCCCGGCCCCTCTATTTTTACCAGAAGGACATTATTGTCTGAAACAGCATTTCTCTGACTTCAACCCAAGGGTGGAGCTCAATTATTCCTTGAATGTCTGAACATTCAGAAATGGAGCCTGTTCATTTTGGCCTGTCAGCAGACTAGCTTCGTGATCGTTTTGGCCTGTCAGCCAAATATGATCAAATATGGGCCCATGTAAGTTATTTAGCCAGTATTGTCCCCATTGGATCTCTTTGAAACACCATATTTGTTGGTTGTATCCCATTACATCCCATACAAACCCGCTAATCCCCAGTTTTTCAAGGTAAATCCTCGTACCCACAACTGTTAGTTGCCCCCACTTCCAACAACCAAGGTGGAAACTCCATCAACGGAAGCTCCCAATGGCTCGCGCCTGACGGCAGTCAAGCGCGGCCTGAGATTAGTTGTACCTTGCGACTTGCGCGATAAGAACTTGGGGCGCCGGGGGGGATGTTTGCCTTCCAAACATGGGATTAAAATAGAATTATAGGAATATCATAGTTTATTGTAGGATATCTATGGATGATATGATTTAGTCCAACCAACGTTGGGGTTTTAGCATCTTGAACAAGGATATAATGGATATATATATATATATCATTTTAAATCATGGGTATATCATATGATCTGGGCGATTTGGTTCAAAGGTCTGCAGGAATGCTTGGATGGGCCATCGAGTTAACTGAGTTAACTCATTCGTAATCCCTCCTGGGTAAGTCATGATGTTTCACCCATTTCTATACATCATGACTTACAAAAGAAGTGCACCAGGAAGTTAACTAACCATCATGGGTTTCACCATGAATTTCACTAGTTAACAAGCCTCCATCAGCCATCCTTTGTGCACCTGCTTGGTGGTCCCGCCGGTTATGGGATGAACATGGACCGGGTCGGTCAGCTGGTTATGATATCGATACGGTTGGACGTAGCCTCTGGTCATTGAATTGGTTATGGAAAAATGATGAAAAATGGGGAAAAATGGTCCCTAGATGTCCATAGAATAGGTGATTTACGTATTCATTCAAATTGGTGATGTTCATGTGAAATTTCCAGCGTATTGAAATAGGCCCAACCCAAAAAGCTGGGCTCCTCTTTGTGGGAACTCACCTTTGCAGGGAGTGTGGTCAACCCAAAAAATGTCATACCAAAATTTTGGCGTAAATACCCTTTGGTAAACTAACACAGAAAACTATGGAAAATTACCATTTTTAATGGGTAAATCAACTATTTCGATGGGCCATTTTCAATAGCAAACTGTAACAGCCATTACCAGAGGGTAATCCGATCAATCGGTGTATACCCTCTAGTAAACTGGTGAAGATCATCATTTTTTGTAGCTACATCAACTATAAATTGCCATGTTCCATGGCTATGTTGAATAAGCAGGTGGTAGACAAATTTTATCAACCACAAATTTTCATCGACCACAAATCGAGCAGTGTTCAAGACCGTTAGTTTATGATTATCTATGAGACGATGCCACCCAATATATTGGCGATTCTCATGAGTCGTAATCTATAAATCAAGGAGTGACTCCACATGAAAACCAGGCAGTTTCTGACTGCTCAACGGGGATGGTTCACTACTGGTAAAACCCCAAGTTTGAATCCATCCGGCGTGAAATGTGGTCTACTTGTACCACATTTCATGATGAATAAAGCCATCAAACCCATACCGCGGTAACCCATCGAATGTGGTATTTGGATGTAATTGAAGCTACGATTTTTCACAGATTCGACAGCTATTTTTGCACCGGATAGTGAACTCTGGTAGGGAAATGTTCCATTGATTAATGAAGAGGTCCCCCGAATGAACAATGGGTAAATGATATTACATCTGGTTGGTGGTTTGGAACATTGTTTCCCCTAATATATGGGATAATCCTACCCATTGACTTATATTTTTCGAGATGGTTAAAACCACCAATCCGAAATGGTATACCAAACTGGCCGTTTTTTCCATCATCGTTTCCTAAAAGGACAGACAAGATTCCCAACGTCTGATGAGAGGCTAAATGTGCCACTCCAATGCCATAAGCCATTGATTAATGGGGTTATATGGTATATTTATTGCAAAATCATGCGATGATAGTGAGATAATAGTGGATAATAGTCGAGGATAGCTATCATAAACCATCCCCTTCTTGGGAGCGAACAAAGTTACAATGTGGTGCCCCCTAGATAGCTAAGTTGGTTTTTAAACCCCATGAAAACTATAGTTATAAGTACCAAAAACCATAGTTATTGGAGTTATGTGCACCAACTGAACGCTATCGACCGGGGGCACCACATTGTAGCTATCCAAACCAACCATGTGATATTTTTCCGTGGGATCCACCCACTGAGATGATGTAAAACGACCCCAGTCATGGTTGGCGATTCTCCCGTTCTTATCTTGAAGCTCAAACAGGGCTTGTAGAATCACAATGTTTGCTGACTGACTCCAAATTGTTAAATCCCGGTTTTAGTTTGCAGAAGATGGTGATTGTTTCTATTATGTGCGGTAGTATCTTATTTGATGGTTTGAACCATGTTTTGTCTGTTTGATTCTGCCAAGAGTCACAATGTGAGCTGCTTCACTCTGTATTCATGTGCATCACTTTTTCCGTGACTGGTCTTTAGAACCATATGTTTTTCTGCGTACTGTGAGTTGGCTAAAGTTCAGAAAGATCAATTGCCAACTGTCTTCACCCGGTTCACTGAAGCAGGGATTGCTCGACCTCTTGAGAAGGAGAAGCCAGGGAGGCTACAGCCGATTGCATCGATCCTCATGAAGATCCTCGCGGCCAGGATGGCACGTCCGGACCTTCTAAGGGCAACTCAAAGCCTTGCATCCCGGGTCACTCCGGAACGGCTTCCTGAGCATATGCCCTCGGTCGCTCTTACTCCGGCCCGTTTGAGGCAGATAAATCTTCTGTCTATGACGCGCTCGTCAGCTCTGCAGCTGCGATGACCTATGCTTTTCACAAGAAGCAGAGAAGGCATCTTACACGGCTTCTGGGACATGCATGTGAAGATGACGCTTGTGTCCTCAATCGGCGAGCGCGGATGGCCATGCAGGCTTGGAGGAACGGAGGCCATGTAGATCTTGACTGGATCTATGAGGGCGGGGATGTTGAACCCGGTGAAGAAGCTTATGCTCCTAAAATGCATCCCTGTCATGATCCATGTTGTCCAGAAATGGGAAAGCTGGAAACAGAAGGAGAGCTTGTTCGGACTGGAAAGCATCTCACTCTCGCGCATAGTTCGACAATTAATGCGATTGAGGTCGGCCGGATTCGGACGATGGCTCTTGCCGAATATGGCATTACAAGCATGCATTGCACCGACTTGTAGGCTACTTGAAATCCACAACCGATGTTTTCATGGGAGGTTTTGTGGGAGATTCTTTTGATGATTGTCAGCTATGTTGTTTGCTGATGCGGACCACGCTGGGGAGTTTGATTCGAAATCAGCATCAGGTTGTGCCATGTTTTTGGTTGGCCCCAACATTTATTTTCCCCTGAACGCGTTTAGCGAAAAACAAACAGTTGTAGCCAACTCATCCTATCCTGCGGTTGTTCAACATGTGCAACCATGAAGTTGTGAAGCACTTCTTTCTTAACTTGGATGCACATTGACACGAGTCGTAACCGGTGATGTTCTAGTGAGTAAAATACACTTGCTGCTTGTAATTTCCATGTATATAATTATATATATATATATAGATAGATAGATTCTAGATGATGAACGATATCATGTAACTTACTAAAGTCACCATTTCCGGTTGGTTCAACTCCAGATATCAACTGATTCAATCCGCACTTTGCAACTTTTGCTGATACAACCCGAACACTGCGTAAGCTGGCAACAAAGTCCCATTTGGTTGCTGTGCAGTAATTCCAACAATGCTGGTCACATTGGAGTTGCAATTTGAAGGGTTTCACGGGCATACCTCTTTTTCAGACCTAGCATACATCAGTACCCTATGGATCCAAGTAGGACTTGAGAAGGTAAGAGAAAAATCAAAAATATCAACCCCCCAGTCGTATTTCCTCAGAAGATACAACTGGATCCACGGGGCATAGCTATAACTTATAAACCATTAATAGGGTAAGTCACTTGCATCGGGGAGTTGCAATCACCAAGCAAGTTACAAACCAGCTGCTAAGTGAATTGATAGTACACAATACACTATAACGATAACCCTATGGGTCCAGTTCTACCTTCCAAGTATTTCGGGGGCGGTTGATATAGAGGATCATCCCAGTGGGTATGCTTGGCAGCCTCGCTGAAGATCAAGCTATGCAGGATGTAGATCTACTGCTTTGGAAATCTTCGTTTGTTGGTTAAACCAGGGGCTCCTTGCGACTGAGTCCTTGGCTGCTTCACTATTTAACTAAGATTCGACCACTTAAACCAAATACATCATAATGAATCCAGTGAGGAACTACTTCAATCCCTTCAAATTGCCATTGATTCATATTAAACCGCATCAAAATCCCATGCAATCACCGCTAAGTCACACTTAAATCACCATGAAATCCCATTAAATCAGCATTAAATCCCATTAAATCACCATGAAATCCCATTAAATCACCATGAAATCACCATTTGCAGATCCCCAGTTTCTCCCCAGGAACCGTTCCTGGTGTCCGGAGCTTCCGAGCCTGATAAACCACGCCGCGGTGGTGTCGATGATGCCGTTGCACCGGGCCGTGGACACGGAGGTACGCCAGGGTGGAACGCAGGGGAAGTGATGGGTAGTAAGAGAAAGTATATAAATGGCCATAGAAATAGTTGATTTGGATTTACCATGTGTATCAATGGTTTATATATTAACGGGTATATATATTTATATATGGATTTACCCATTAATGGGGAAATACCTCTGGCAAACATACAAAAAACGATGGAAAATCACCATGCTATCGTAATGGGAAAATGAACTAAGCTACATATTCCCAGATAATCTGGTTGGTGGTTTGGATAGAAATGGCCATAGAAATAGTTGATTCGGATTTACCATATATATATCAACATATATATATATATCAATGGATTTACCATATGTATCAATGGTTTGTATATTAATTGGTATATATATATATGTGGTTTTACCCACTAATAGCATGGTTATTTTCCATATATATATATACACTGCTTGGTGGTTTGGAACATGAATGGATCATTTTTCCAGTCAGTTGGAAATAAGAAACCCAACCGACGAACTCATATTTTCCAGAGGGGTTGAAACCACCAACCAGTGATTTTAGCCACCAAAAATTGGCAATTGCTGGTGATTCAATGATTATCTAATGAGATTTAAATGGTTGATTTTTTTTCCTTTGTTCCTTTTGAGCCCGAGGCGGAGAACGGATCCTCCACCCAAGCTGCCAGGTTGCAGCAGAAGACATGGGAAGAGCCAGCACGGAATTGGGATGCTCCAAGCTTGCCGACAGTTCCATCGTCAGCTACTACCAGTTCTCAGGCGGAAGCCAAGGCAGAGCAGAAGTACCGCGATTTGCTCCAGAAACTGAGGAACACTCCGGACAGTTTGAATCTCAGGCCCCAGAGGCAGCAAATGGGGCCCGCCGGAAGGCACAGCAAGAGGATTTCCAAAAGGACGACACCGATCTGGGAAGATCAAGGCAGCCAGAGAGTATCTATGATCAGTTCAGGAACAATAGGGATATAACATGATATAACCCCCAAATATGGTGATTTCATGGAATTTAATGATGATTCTATGGCAATTTTAGCAACAGTATAGGGTTTGTAAGATATCACCTGCAAAAATGAAACTTTGGGACTTAGGTCTTACCTATGGATGCTATGGTGAGTGATCTTCATGGAACTTAATGGGGATATCATGGGAATACAATGGGCGAATACAATGGGATTAATTGTGCTTTTGGGGTTATTTTCCTTATAAGGAATGGTCATTAAGCCATGTTCATAGGTTGATATGTACCCATGATAAGGATTCCTATTAATGGTGGGATGAGAAGCCACATAACATCTTTTGACCAGTCCACATATGAAGGGACATTGTTTTTTTTGAAGTACTTCGGGAGCTCATGGATTTTCTTCACGAAACGGTGGGAAAACTCTAACACAAACCCAGAGATATTGTGGTGGTAGCTGACAAAACCAAGATTTTAAGCAGCAACGATGAGGTGTTAGCCAACAGAATTTGGAATTGATCCAACAATCATTGTTGAAGAAAAACGGGACATCAACCCCACAAACCATTTTTTTGTAGCAAACAGAAATGTGGTAACAAAATAGACCAAGAGAAGTCATCAAAGGCGCATGGGGTTTCTAAGGAAACCTTGGTGAATGGTTGGCATGAGCTGACCGAGAAATAAGGATCAAAAGCGCAACAACCATAAAGAGATCATATGATAGCTATCCAAGGTAGCTGGACAATCTGTGTGAGTATATATTTGGTTTGGTCTGGACTCATGTTGGAAGAATATTGCTGTATATTATACTATATCTATCTATATCGTTGGTAAATACCTAAAATGAATGGAGAGTAAAGTCCAGGGAGGGTTGGAAAAATCTTCACCAAAAAACTTGTAGATTTTCTGCGATCAATTCGTGGGTTGTCCTGTAGATTTGCCCGCTAGAATCTTAGCCTTTGGTTAAAGGGAACATCCGCACAATGTGGGGCTCCCCAGTGATGTTAGTTGGTTTATAAACCCAATTAACTATAGTTATAAGTACCATAAACCATAGTTCTTGGAGTTATAAACCAACTTAGCTATCTTGGGGGCCCCACATTGCAGGATTGGCTATGAGTCAAGACCTGACCCGAAAAATCCTCCAAAAATAACTAAAGTTGCTGGATGTAAACATTCCCCCAGTCATATAGTACCAGGTTTTGACCCATCCCCATGTAAGGATTTAAATCGATCCCTTCTCCGGCTGAAAATTGGTGATCGTAAATGGGTCAAAAAACCATCCATGGATGATCCGCCTAAAATGACGAAATCATTGATAATTAACCAGGATATTTTCAGCTGTTTACAATCATTACCCGAATCATTACCCTTTTCGTACGTTGACAGTTTGCAACGGAAAATAACCGTTTTTAATCAGCTACAAATGAGCCTTTTTCCACGGCTGCGTTAAAATACCAAAGGCTTTAAGAAACCACCAGTCCACAATGTTGCCCTAAACCATCGAGACTATATACAATATATGCGTTCTTATAATAGTAATATATATATATATATATCTTCCCATAATTATATTCTATTGTTGAGTAACTAGTATGCTAATATAAAAATATTACTATATATGATTAGCATTTCACATACAATTCTCCAATAGTGAACACACACATATATATATATATGTATATTCACTTATTTTACACAACTACAGTATATTGAAAGTACAGTATACTAAGTACATCATATAAAGTTATACCTCTAATCTCTTATATGTTTTACCACTTATATATTTTTACATTACCTCCAATGATCAATATATTATATATATAATAGTATTTACTATTCCCACTGGTTAATCATCAATTTTGGTTAACTAAGGTTTGACTTTAATTATTTGGGACCAGCTACCATGCATTATATTAGTTTTTAACGGCCCATAACATTATATTAGTTATTCATGGCCATGTTAGTTATATGTGGTGATGCCAATAACTAATATAATTGAATGGTCCCAGAACTAACTTATGGTCCAATTAACCAATATAATCGATAACTATTTTTCTATTTTGGTTAACCTTTAATTACATCCAGTTACCATGCATCTTTGTTCGTTACTACCTCAATACTATGAATCACCACATGGCCCATCGCACAGTGGCGGTAGGTGCGCTTCGCCTGTCGTCGTGGATTTCAAGCGACCGCTGGCCATGCCTTCGGGCGATGTTCGGTGGACGGCTGGTGCTCCATGGCAGGCGCCGCAACACGGAGCTTCCAGCAAAAAAATGGTGAATGAGTAGGAAATCATAGCATTGAACTAGTAAGAATAGCGATTTCATGGCATTTCACCAATAAAAATGGCGATTTCATGAGATTTCACCAATAAAAATTGGGATTTCATGGCATTTCACCAATAAAAATGGGGATTTCATGGCATTTCACAAATAAAAATTGTGATTTCATGGCATTCACCAATAAAAATGGCGACTTCATGGCATTTCACCAATAAAAATGGCGATTTCATTGCATTTCACCAATAAAAATTGCGATTTCATGGCATTTCACCAATAAAAATTTGGATTTCATGGCATTTCACCAATAAAAATTGCGATTTCATGGCATTTCACCAATAAAAATGGCGATTTCATGGCCTTTTAACCATCAACAAGTGTGTGTTTTCGTGAAAACAAAGCAAGGATTTCGCCAGCAAACAGATGGTGATTTAGAGGAGATATCATCTATGAAACAGGAACTTTAAAGGGGCTCTGATTCGAATTTAGATGGTGATTTAGTCAGTTTTGACCAACAATATAATATATATACATATTTAATATGAAATATATTATATATATATGTGTGTTTTATCAATGGGATGAAACGAGGCAAAATGGTGGTTCCATGGGATATAAGCAACCAAAATATTCAGTAAACGCTGCATCACCATGGCCCACAAGAAGAGTTTATAACCCATATATCTGGGGATATGATGGGATATTTCCATTAATTTCATTGTGGTTTTTGAGGGTTATGACCTTCCGGTCATTCGTTCCATGGCTATGGAAAACGGTCCGGTTAGGTCGATGGTTTTGGTTCTGAAAGTTGGCAATGTTCGATTGTATTGCCAGGTGGTACTTGATGGTACCGGTAAACATACAAAAAGCTATGGAAAATGGCCATTAATGGTTGATTTACCGAACTTAAAAATGGTGATTATCATAGTTTTTTGTATGTTTACCAGAGGGTAACTACCAATTCAATTCAAAACAATTCTGCCTTGTTTTCGTAGGTAAGAAACTAATCCCTTCCCCCGTTCATATGAAACACCCCCTAAACGAACCCATTGTTTTTTGTTGGAAATTTCCACATCCTTGGGACCATTCATGGGGTGTTTAATATGAACGGTGATGGGAGTTGGATCATTCACATGATCCAAATCCCCAGATCTTCTTAGATGGGCCATGGAGTTAGGGATAACTAGTTAGTAGCCATGGATTATTTCATTGGGATTTTTTGCGCGTAACAAATCCTCAGCTACTAACCAGGAATCGGCAAAATCCCATGGCCCGCTGCGTCAGATCCGTCCGATCCGACGTGCGTCACACCTCCGGATTGGCTCCGATGCGCAGCTTGCCTCGCATGGGCGGCTGCAAGCGGCTGCAAGGTGGTCCTCCATAGCTAAGGTGGTTTGTAACTCGGTGAATTCTATGGTTTATTTAGGTCATATTTAGGGCGGTCTATAAATAAAGCAACTTAGCTATAAAGTTAAGTAATGGTTTTAATTTAATATGCTAGTGGTGCCCCCCATCAACTAGCTTGACTATGGTTTATACTGCATAGTTAATGGGGTCGATAAAACAATTTATAAATGGGGGCCACCACCTTGTGAATCTGTTGCCATAATCCCTCCTAGTTGTAATTTGGTATGCAAACCCCATCTGGTTGGTGGTTTCAAACATGGCCTTTATTTTCCATAATATATGGGATGTCATCCTGCCCATTGACGAACTCATATTTTTCAAGATGGTTATTGCACCACCAACCAGCCATTGAGATTCATGAACTATAGGTAAATCAAATAAATCCTAGTTACTAGTTATC